GTATCGAGGTGCCCTACATCTTGTGCAACCCAAGCAAATCCAAAGCCAAGTATAAACAAAATACAACCATATGCCAATCTAAATAATTGGCAAGTCTAGATTACTCCAGTTTAAATGAAGTCTTTGGGCTCCTTTTTATTATATATTATCGAGATAATTTAACGACTGTTTTTCCACCGTAAAATGTTCTTTTTTGAGAATAGATGTTAGTGTCGCCTCTTTCAACATTGTTTGTCGAAGACCAATTCTTAGCCGGATGTTCACGAGCGTCTGGGTGAGGATGGGACGGGCGAGGTAAGTGGACAACCTTTACCCTGGATCGGCATTGCTGACCCCTGTGTTTACTCCAGGGAAACCGGACTTCTCTAAAATCTAGCCATAGTCATTAAAGGGTAACTGCCTGTTCCCTTCTCCTACGCAATAAAGTTAACGCTAGCGATGACGTTAAAATTGTTAACTTGCATTTGTTATAGTTGAGTGAGTGAGTGAATGTAGTTTTACGCCGCCTAAGCACTATTCCAGCAATATCATCGGGGATACCAGAAATGGGCTTCACACATTGTACCCTTGTTAGGAAACGAACCCGGGTCTTCGGCGTGAGTAGCGAACGCTTTAAACACTAGGTTACCCCACCGTCCCTTTGTTAATGTTAATGAATTAAATGCAACATCACGTTTCTTAAGTTTCACATGTTGTTTTTGTGTAAGGGATACAAATACACTCAAATACGGATCTGTCGATATCTCGAATATTTCGAGATAGCCCAGGCTCGACAACTGTAAAATGCCTACACAATGTACAGGCACCAAGTTTTTACTTCGAGAAAACCCTAAGTTCCACACATCAGTGTATTCTAATCCTTAAAGGAACGGTGGGGTAGCCTAGTGGTTAAAGCGTTTGCTCGTCACGACGAAGGCCCGGGTTCGATTCCCCACATGGGTGCAATGTGTGAAGCCAATTTCTGGTGTCCCCCACCGTGATATTGCTGGAATATTGCTAAAAGCGGCGTAAAACACATCTCACTCACTCACTAAATCTGAATGGTTATGGCTGGGTGTTTTACACAAACTGATGTGTCCTGATAAGGTTGATAAATGGGGATACATGTGTACCAGTTAGACCGATAGACTACCACTGACTTTACCACTGCATCCAATTAAGAGCATTTTAATACAATACTAAAAGAAGTAAATATGGGTGACATTGTAACATACACTGGATGCCAGGGCTAGCGCATAAACTTATGAGAAATATTTGATTGATTTATCAAATTTCGCAAAGAGGATGACGAAATCATATTTCAACATTACAATATGCATCCGCCTACCAAAACATTTCGTGTCATCTTGCATACCACTTCACCGGCTCGGCGTCGGGCACACGAAAGGGGGTCGACAACCTGACATACTGTAAAATATGGAGTGGAGTCTTGGAGTGGAGCCTTGGAGTGGAGTCTTGGAGTGGAGTCTGGAGTATGGAGTATGGAGTATAAGTGCACTTGTCACTTCTGTAAACACTGATTACTGTCTAGAATATGCCATTAATGGTTTTTCCCAGTTGTCGTTTATACCTCCGGAATCACCGGTTTCAAAAGTAAATATCTTATCTTACTCATCTTAGAGATTAGTCTTTCTTTTTTACAGCTCTCGTAGAAATGTTTGTTAATGCTTGTCAGTTTACTCCAAACTTATTAATAAATCGTCACAAATTCGAACTCTGTGCAATTATACTTTCATTTGTAGACAGCAACGTAATCGAGATTGTAAACATGTTTACATGGCAATCCTCAGCAGCATTCCTTTAGCTCTCTGACATTCTGAGGGCAGATCGTATTAGTGATGTGTTTCCTCTAATCTGTCACATTCCAGTGGACTGCCCAAGTGGATTTTCCAAGCCATAGAGAGCTGATGAAACTCACTAACAATCAGCTTGCAAAATATTCTGCTACATTTATTTTTGCTTTTTGTTTGTAAGTTCAAGGATGTAGAGAGATGGCTATTTCTGAACAAAAAGCAAAACAATTATGACTTATGAACAGTTACTTTTGCCATCACTGACAATAAATCCAGTTCTTGAATAATATAGTGCTATGTATCTAATGTAATCAATGTCTTTGTTAAGTAAGAAATAAATAATTCATGCAATAATAACTGTTATATTCCCTGATGATTAGTATGTCTTAGCATAGACCTAATGTATGTACCTTTTCCCTCACTACCGCTTCCTCTACACAAATTTGAATTTACATGTGAACATGTTATATATGTCGTTTTTTGGCTAATAAATAATGCCATTATTAATATTTTGTTTACAGGTTGTAAATAATTTACATGCTTCTCCATCCATCCATTCATCCATCCTTCCATCTATTCATATACATTTTTCTTCTTGATGGCAGCATGGTACTGTTACAGAATGACATTTCTGGAGTTGACAGGGCTAATTGATACGTGTATACAGAATGCCTCCTGTCTTCTGATAAAACTGATAACACCAACCAGCTACAGATGTGAAATGAATGTGCTTGTATAGCTACCCTTATGATCAAAACAAAACAAACTCGGTCACCTAAATATTTACATTAAGACTCCATTCTGAGACTCCACTCCATGTTTTACAGTATGCCCGACAACCTCGTTTATCGGACCCCCGGGAACTGAAGTGACGGATCCCTCTTCGACTTCAAGCGCTCGAGATGTATGACATGAACTCCTTTGGAAAGATAAGCTGCAATTTCTCATAGCTCTTTAATTATTCTAGTAAATAAAAAAAAAAAAATATTAATTTTGAAAATCTTGATCTCGCAGCTTTAATAACCAGTGTATTTAGGAACGACCCCCCTCGTTATCTTTGCTCGCAGAATTTTGTTTATGAACATTCCGGATCTTCCAACTTGAGTCACCTGATAACCCATCCAGGGATGTGAAGTGTTTATTTTACATCATCAGACCACCACCGCTCAATGCGTGGTCGTAGAGTGATGCAACATGTGGTACATCAACATTTACCTCTATTGTGATGTGCGTCCTGTTTTTCCTCATTTCTTTTCACCGTCGGTCTTTTTGACCGTGTCTATGTGACATTGATTCTTTGTACATTTGTCTGCCTGTCTCTCTGACGAGTTGTGAGTCATACAGACCCGAAACAAATACACCCAAGAAAGCCCTTGCAAGTCTAGTTTAACACATAATGAAAGTCTCTTTGTTCTTTTTCATTATATTTTATGGAGTGATTATAATTAAGGAACCGTATTTTCTGTAAAATATGTTCAAAACTGAGACTAAAAGTTCGTCTACTGTAGTAGTATCTACCAGTCTTGCAGGAGACATCTGTCTGTCCTTCCATGCACGTACAGTTGTCCCTGTACAAGTATGGCCAGATTTTTGTCTGACTGTATGTGTCTGTCTGACTGTGCCTGTGTCTGTGTCTGTCTAATCCTATATGTAGCCTGTTTACCCTCCTGCCTCTGCAGTGAAGTTTATTCCTCCAGGTACGTTTGACTTCACATACATGTTTCATCTTGACGTGAGTGAACCAGAAGTAATGAATAAAACAAATACACATGGGTGTTGTTCTATCAAATCCAGAAACCAAACCAAGATAAAGTGGTTTCCAATCCGCAGCCAAATGTCGTCTGCCTGCTCAAGGGAGGCAACTCTATGCAACAGTGCTTTGAATGAATGGGCTCCCATGCTCAGAGAGATTTGTATTCAACTGACTAAGAACACAAAGTTTTTCTTGATTGATGGCTTTGACCTATACCTTCAATATATATCCAAACTGAACAAAACTAAACAAAACATTAATTACAATCATGTTTTAATGTTACAAATTGTAAAACACAGAAAGAATCTAAATTCAACATTAAATAAATATCACAGACAGATCTTCATACAATATTCAGTATAAATAAAAGTTTTGAATTTGGTAACAGCAAAATGGTATTTAGCAAATATACGGTTTGAAATACTGTTTTACATATTGTTTGTAAAGTCAATATAAACAATAAAAATACTCTCTTGGACCGCAAAGCAGACTTCATAATTTCAAGATGAATATTTTCTTGATCCAGTCTTTTTACATTGGCAGGCATTGTGGGTGATAATATTCAGCAGTATTACAACATGTTATGGGTAGTTCAAGGCCACTTAGAACAAGATTTCAGTGATCTCCATGTCTCCTCAAAGTGGGAAAAAGCCAAACGCGATACAGGTCGTACACATTTACCTCTTTGGTACAACTCACAAACATTATTAGTGCTGACAAAACAATGTTCATTATCAGGCACAATCTGGAATTGAGACACATGATCATCGGATCCTGCTACACCAAAGGGACACCACTTGGTATAGTCAGTACAGCTCTGACAGTACCAGCATTACACCTGATGGTGTAAAATCATGCTCATATTCAAGGCTAAACCATTATCTACGAGTGTTTTCACCTCCATGTCACACAAAATCAACAATAAATATATATTGAAGGAAAAAATAAAGGATCACATCTATTCTCCGACATATGTATATACAATGAGGACACTGATTGAAAGTATGCCCAGATATTGCCAGACAGTTGTGAGAGCAGGTCGGGGGCATACTCGATACTGACTTTCATTTAAACTTGAAACAATGACTCAAGTCTGTTCTGTTTGACGTGATTAAAATCTGAAATTTTATGCGATCCCTTATTTTCTCTCTCAGTATATATCAAATCAAATCAAAATATATCGGATTTCTACAGGACCTCAGGAATACTGTTACATGCTTAAACCAGTCATACATATATACACTTGTGTTGGGTACAGTCATCACACAAAGAAGTGAATTAAAATACAAGGGCAATGATATACACTCAGGGGTGGAAATAACCCATTGCCCGACGCCCGAGTCCAGTGTTTTTTTCTGTCGGGCAAGCAAATTTGTATATCACACTGTACCGGTGTCCAGTTGACTTTCCAATATTAATTATGTTGTTTATTTAAAAAATCAACAAGAAAACGGGCCGGTATAGTGGAAAAATTATCAGGGCAAGTGATTTTACATGTGCCACTGTACCGGAGTACACTAGCAATTTTAAAGTTATTTCCACCCCTGACACTGGGTTTAATGCTTCTTTGAAATGGATTTCTGTCATATCACCTGTCATTGTGGTGAAGGAGAAAAAGTGATGCGGTTCTTCAAAGTCTGCAAGTTGGTGAAATCCACAAACATGTTGGTGCAGCCAAACCAAGAAACAATCAACATATGGGATTCAACCCAGACTTATAGATTCCTGGGTTATCTTAAGGATGCAGTTCTGCACACTGAATTGTGGAACCTGAGACATGGCTGCATGATAATTTTTTTAAAATGAACTCTATGAGAAACGTGATATGTATTTTGTGTGGCCCTACAGAGATATTTTTGGAAAAATTGACAGCTGACAATTTGCCATTCATCACTGATTATACTACTCCACTTTGATAGGGATTGTTTTCTCCCCATTACACACAAGTATTTCATAATATACTACTCAAAGAGGTTAAAGAACACCCTCGTCTCTCATGTCACTGTAGTTGTCATGTAACATTAACTATGATGACATGAGAGAAGCAAGTGTTCCTTGACTTCTTTGAGTAGTGTATATGTGTATGTCTAAATATATTTGATAATCCCAATAAAAGTGGAGTGGAATATTTACTTGTGCTTACTGATGAAAAAGGTTGCATTTTTAAAAATATATGACTCATTCCCAAGTGTTTAGTTTGTACATTCCAGATGTTTCACACACAAAATATTGCAAATTTGGTTTAACATATGGACGGCAACATAGGCCCCCACTGCGGGTCAGAAAATCGATAAACTAGGCCCTGGTTTACTATCCAGCCCCCATACTATATAACGTGTATAGTAGGGGGGCTGGATGGTAAACTAGGGCCTAGTTTATCGATTTTCTGACCCACGGTGGTGACCTATGGACGGCAACAGTATGAATGATCAAGTCTTGGAATGGCATTTAGAAGTGATACACATGAAAGGGGAAATTTATGGATGTTAGCTTCTGTAACATTTCAGAGGATATTTGATAAATTTTCCTTTAATATATTAAAATGAGTTAGTGAGGCAATGCATTTTTCCCACTTTGGTGCTGACAAACCTAGAAATATGGCAAATCTGGGATTTAAACCCTGAAACAAGTCTTACATTTTGTTTTTTAAATGATTTCATGAAAGGTTTACAGACAGCAGACAAAATACCAGTTACTACCGTAATTCCATAAATGTATTTATTCTTACCAATATATAGAATATCCAACTATAAATATACCTTTGGGTTTTGGCAAATGGTTTGGAATGACTTTGTTTAATCAGTGGATACAAAATAACAAATGACATCTTTTAAGCTGTGGAAAACATAAATATCAGCTGCAGTTAGAAGGGTTGGGGAATGAGGTTTGAGGTTTGAGGAATAAAATGGAATGACATCTATATATAGCATACCCAATTTCCTTTATCTTCTTTTTAAAATATATCCATTTATAGTGAATGATTTTGAATGACTTCAATATGTTAATAGTTACAGAATGATAACTGATACAATTTTTTAAGCTTTGGTTAGAAGGGCTGAGTTTTGATGGAATGAAATACAGTTAAACATCTCTCTTCCTCAAGCTCTACTTCTTCTTCCCTTTGGCGGAGGACTTCTTCTGTGGACTGTGAGGAACAGGAAGCTTCTTCTCCTCCTTCTTCTCCTCCTGCCGGACGACGGGGGTGGTAGTGGCGGGGGTTCTGCTGGAGGCGGGGGTCCTGCTGGACACAGGGGAGGGCGTGGTGAGGCTGACGGGGGTGGTCACATCCCCCTCCTGGCCGGTCAGCTGGGTCATCTTCTTCTCCAGGGCCCGGAGCTGCTCCTGTACTAGTGTCAGCTCAAGTTCCGCGTCCGCAGCCCGTTGTTCGGCCACCTGGGCTCGATGCTCGGTGTCTCTGTTGAGAGAGTAAGGGGGGATGTAACATATCTTGGTTACATGTGAGTGAGTGAGTGAGTGGCTGACAGAGTGATTCGTGACTGCGTGTGTGAGTTAGTGAGTAGCTGAGAGTGTAGTTTATGAGTGAGTGAGTGAGTGAGTGAGAGTGTATTGTAGAGGAAGCAGTTTATGTAGGTTGGGTGGACAGTGACAATCAACTCAATTCGTTGAATTCAGCTGACTTCCAAGAAGTACATTTTGCAAAGATACTCAATTAAAATGTTTACGTTTTAGTCAAATAATTTTGAAAAAAGACAACTTTGAAAGAAAGTAAACATTTCAGAGATTCCGATAAGGAAGATGTATGTGACGTGTTGACTTACAACAGTTGAGTCTGCAGGTTGCCGACAGCTGCAAGGGCCTCAAATGCTTTTTTTGTGTCTGGTGTACCTGACTTGCTTGCAGCCTGCGCTTCAGGAGCCTGGGAATAACAATGGGAATAACGATGGGAATAACAATGGGAATAATGATGGGAATAACAATGGGAATATTGGTGGGAATAACAATGGGAATATTGGTGGGAATAACAATGGGAATATTGGTGGGAATAACAATGGGAATAATGGGGAATAACAATGGGAATATTGGTGGGAATAACAATGGGAATAACAATGGGAATAATGAAGGGAATAACAATGGGAATAAAGATGGGAATTTCAATGGGAATATTGGTGGGAATAACAATGGGAATATTGGTGGGAATAACAATGGGAATATTGGTGGGAATAACAATCAGGGAAGGACTTTTACTTCCAGATCAGAGTTTATATTTTTAATTTTAGAAGCTCAATTATCTTTTTAAAAACAGATCTAAATAGCTAAAGCATGCAGGTGGTACACATTCACTGCTTTGGTAAAACACGATATAGGGCTGACAAAACAAAGATAATTATCAGACACAATCTGGAAATTAAATGCATAAATGAAAAGATTATTTGTTTTGACACTTTTATATACTGGGTGTTTTTTAAAGAATCTGTATTCCTCTTACCGCCTGTACATCTGACTGTAGCCGAGCCACGTGGGTGTTGTCGTCTGTGCCGATCAGTTCCAGCTTCTCTCCAGTGTCCTCCACAGGGGCCTGGGGGATACGTGACATGTGAGTATCTGACTGTCTGACTGTCATGTGTGAGTATCTGACTGTCTGACTGTCATGTGTGAGTATCTGACTGTCATGTGTGAGTATCTGACTGTCTGACTGTCATGTGTGAGTATTTGTCATGTGTGAGTATCTGACTGTCATGTGTGAGTATCTGACTGTCTGACTGTATTGTGTGAGTATCTAACTGTCTGACTGTATTAATTGTGTGAGTATCTGTCATGTATATCTGACTCTCATGTGTGAGTATCTGACTGCCAGTCATGTGTATCTGGTTGTCATGTGTGAGTATGTGACTGTCTGACTGTCATGTGTGAGTATGTGACTGTCTGACTGTCATGTGTGAGTATCTGTCATGTGTGAGTATCTTACTCAGTACCTGCCAGTCATGTGTATCTGGTTGTCATGTGTGAGTATGTGACTGAACTGTGTGAATATCTGATGGATGTGTTAGAGAAACTGACTGAAATGTGTATCTGACCGACGAGTGTGAGTATCTGACTCATGTGTATCTGACTGTCATGTGTGAATTTCTGACTGTCATGTGGTAATACCTTACTGATTAATATCCGACTTACATGTGTTACTATCTTTGCACTGAGTTCAAGATTTACAACACTCAGTTTTACACACGTAGACAATACCACAATATACTGCAATGTCCAGATACAAATGTGTCACTTAATTGATGCAAGCAAAGGACCCTTGCATATTTTGCCTAAATTTCATGATTTAAAAGACTCACTTTTATACATGTAGCATTTGGTTTCATACTTTCTCACCTACCGCAATAGTTAATCAGCTCCCTTGTACGTGTGAAGACTATATATAGCACTAAACAGGAACAACACTGTAAGCCAAGCATATACTAAATAATCTTACTGGTTGATCTACTGGTTCATCTCCTTCTTCATCTCCTTCCTTCTTCACATCTCCTTCTGCTGTTTGTTCAACTGTCGTCTGCTCTCCACTGTTGTCTGGCGTCTGCTCTACTGTCTGCTCAGTGCTGCCCTCTGCTGGTGTGGGAGCAGGAACTGGAGTAGTCTCCTCTTGTTTCTAAATATGTGGTGTGGTTATAACAGTGAGGTTCTGTATTGTTACTTTCTACACATATTCTGTCTCAACAAATCTACAGTAATTTTCATAATTAAGTAATCACAGTGAGTGAGTTTAGTTTTACGCCACACTCAACAATATGCACAATTGGGCTATGTTGACATGTGTCAACCAAGTCAGCGAGTCTGATCACCCAATCCTGTTAGTCGCCTCTTACGGACAAGCATGCGTTACTGAAGACCAATTCTAACCCAGATCTTCACGGGTTGGAAGAAGTAAGCAAGCAAGGCACTGCTGTGCATGTCACTATGACGATGATACACTTCTTTAGGAAAACCTCACTGATTTTGAGATATGTCAGCGATAATTTTTGTTACAATATTCATGTCGCAATGACAAGACGGTCAGCTGCAGAATCTTCTCAGGAAGTACAGCAGGGACTCTTTTCATCCCTGAGATGTGTTTAAACGAACATGCTCCATATGATTGAGACAGGTGATTCAGGACTCAGACATAAGACACACCTCTACCTTTGTTATTCTCTAATCAGGGTTAGGAAACATTCAGTCAGCGTCTACTCCTTGTGAAACATTATATATTATCTCTATTCCTACCTGGGGGGTTGGAGGTGCTTCTGGTTGCTGCTGTTCCTGTTGTGGCTGTTGCTGCTGTTCCTGCTGCTGCTGTTCCTGCTGCTGTTGCTGCTGCTGCTGCTGCTGCTGCTGTGACTCCAATGGCTCCTTATCGTAGTATCCTTCCGGTTTGGCTGAGGTGGAATCGGTCTTGGACTGACCTTCTAGACGAGGGAATAACTCCTCCACTGTCTCACCGGTCAGCTGACTGGTCAAGATCTTAGCTGTGTGAATCCAGTCCTCGCATTCTGCCTGATTGACAAATATTTCAATGTAAGTACTTCTTGAAAAACCTACAGTTTGAAGAAATTCTCTGTTCCAAAAGAGATGGAAATTATGACTACACTTTCAAGACCTGTCAGCATTCCAACTTAGAGCTGGTCAACAATCTTGTTATATTGGGAGGGAGGGGTGGGGGGGGGGTACCACCACATAACAAAACAGAAAACTCTCATCAAAATGTCCTTAGAAAATCAGCTTGGGTAAAATATTTACTAATGTTCAAATATATACAGATACTTCTTGAAAATGTTTCACATCTGTAATTTTGACAGATTTAGTTACAGCTCTGCATTTGGAGTTTAAACGCTGCACTCAGCAATATTCCAGCTATATGGCGGCGGTCTGTAAATAATCCAGTCTGGGTCAGACAATCCAGTGATCAACAGCATGAGCATCGATCTAAGAAATTTGGATATGATGACATGTGTCGACCAAGTCAGCAAGCCTGACCACCTGACCCCGTTAGGGGTTGTCATATACACATTAACACATCTGAATTGAAAATATTTTCTGATTACATTTTGTAAATGAGTCTGATCTAGTGGTTCAGGGTCAACTATCAACTCAATCCTGGAGGGAGGACAATCATCAGGAAGTACTTACTCTCAGCCTCTTCAGGTCCCGGAGTTCTTGGTCCGCGTGTTCCTCCATGTTGTCCTGGCGCTGCTGTGTGTTCTCCAGGACGATGCCGTCACAGCAGCTGACAAACGACAAGCATCGGCCACATCATATCATGTTCTTTCCCTCCTCAAAATGTCTCATCTTTCAGCATGACTAATATACACACTTAAATGTACATATTCACCTGTCAAATTATATTCATAATTAAAAAAGTATAAAATAAGAAACTATTTCATTGATACTTTGAAAATGATTGTTATCGTTCCTTCAAACAAATCAAATGACAATCCAGGAAAGATTTCACCTGAGTGAAATGACAGCTTTAAGAACCCAAATCCAGTAGCAGACATATTTCAGTACCAAAAAATGGTTTCTTTTTCTTCTTGTTTTAATGTTGTATTATTGTATTATTTTTCTTCCCCATCTGTCTTGAATGGTGACAGTGACAACAAACAAATAAACAAACAAACAAGTAAACAAACAACAAAACAAAATAACATTATTTAATTACATTATATATCAATTTGTACTAAAACCTATGATCCAGGTGAGATAACGGTGAGATCCTTATAGCAGTATGGGTTCCAAAGAGACAGCAATGTCAAAAAACAAAGTCAAGAATGAAAAGACAGAAAAGACCACAAAAGGAAACAACAGATCTGACTACGGACTCAGGCAAATTGCTGAATATAATTTCAGATACCACAAAAACACATTACACATGGAACCATTCACTACAGGGTTGTAGCAAAGGATACCCTGTGTTGGGCAGTGAAACTGGGATATGATACCTGTCTTGACAGTGAAATTATGGTATGACATCCATCTTGATAATGAAATTGCGACATGATACCAATTTGATAGTGAAATTATGGCATGACATCCATCTTGATAGTGGTCTCTGGATAGTGAAATTATGGAATGATACCAATCTTGATGTTGGTATGTTGATAGTGAAATTATGGAATGGTACCCATCTTGTATCTTGATAGAGAAATTTCAGAATGATATCCAAATATCAAAAGGTATAATATAAATAATAAAAATGACATGCATCCCTTCTCACACGGTATTAATGAGATGCATCCCTTCTCACATGGTATTAATGAGATGCATCCCTTCTCACACGGTATTAATGTCTAATAATCAACTTATTGCATGCAGCCTCAATGCACATAATATATCAAATTCCATTACAGACCCAAATAATAACAACTTCCACAAACATGAAAACGTAACACCGGAACAATGTCTGCCATTCAACGAAGCAGACGGAAAACCCAACAACTTCCTTGTGAGCAGAAAACTTACGGCCTCAGTCTACAAAGTGATCTTAGAGCTATTATTGCGATTATGATTATGATTATGATTAAAATAATGTTAAAGTTATGATCATCTCAGCATAAATGTCATTTTTATTAAACTTGGCTTACAGATATGAATTTCCAATTTCAGGTTCGAAGCAGACGTACAGAGATTACTTGTGTTACTTTTCTTGGCCACACGGAGTTAAAAAGAGGGAAACAATTAGAAATTCTTTTGCCAAAAGCAATTTTCTGGCTTGGTGGTCATTTAAAAGTAGTAAACTGGAATCTTTTTTTTGCATATATTTATTTTTGGTAGACCTGAACCAAGTTAAGAAAAAATGTCTAATATCACTTTAAGACTGAGGCCCAAGGTTTAACATGCTCCGTTCAACAAAAAACAGAGCCCGAGTCTACAAGATGCTGACTCACAAGGTGACAGGAAGAGACAGAGAGGAGTTTGTGGCAGCCACAGGTATGTCGTCGACGTAGATGTAGACGGTGTTGTACGCCTCCAGAGTCAGTCTAGCAGAGGCCAGTGTGCAGAGCATGGGTTAGAGAGGTTAGCAGGTGGGTTCAAACAGGGTAAAAGTGTCAGGTTATGAAAGCAGAGAGTCGAAATGTCTGTGGAAGAATTGAGGTAGCAGTATGGTAGACTGGATATAGTTGTAGACTAGTAGTGTGACCTGTGTTGTGGGTGAGGTGAGGTGAAATGGGGTTTAGCGTTGTACTTAAGAATATTTCGCTAATATGACGACATGCATGCGTGTGTATGTATGGCTGTTTGTACTAGCCAAGACTTAAGCTGGTTTTATAGTGCTAGGTTACTGAGATACCATGCTGCAGTTAAGTATGAATACCCCACTCAGACACATTATACTGACTCTGAGCCGACAAGTCCTTGTTGTACCATATTTTAACATCTTTTGGTATGAAGTAGCACGAGAATCAAACCCGAGACCTTCTGCTCTCCGGGCGGACGCTCTAACCACTACACCACGGAGGCGGTGACCCCAAAGGAGTGAGTGAGTATGGTTTTAAGCCGCCTTTAGCAATATTCCAGCAATATCAAGGCGGGGGACAACAGAAATGGGCTTCACACATTGTACCCATGTGGGGAATCAAACCTGGTCTTTGGCGTGACGAGCGAACACTTAACCACTTGGCTACCCCACCCCTAGGGTGCTTCATGAATTGAGCGCTTCCTCAAGAGTTGGTAGTTGTTATTGATATATTCATAATACTGTTGATATCTTTCAACTTAACAGAGTCAGCTGTCAGCACTCACAGTATGTAAGCATGTTCAGCATCGTGTGACTGTGTACAGAAGCAGAATGGCACTGTAACAGGTGTGTCTCATGTGTCCAGCAGGGACGGTGACCTTAGCTAGGATATATGTAGAATATCTTGAGCATGTGTGGCACTAAATGTTTCCCTGAACACTAATCTTGCATAGTTTAGCTTAAAACATGTAACCATAGCGATACTGTAACCATAGTGATACTGTAACCATAGCATTACTGTAACCATAGCGATATTGTAACAGTAGTGATACTGGGACTGCAAGTAATATGGTAGAAGAATGTTGTTGTGTTTTGGTAGGCTTTGCTAGAACAATAGTGGTACTACTAAAATAGTATACTGTGGTAAAACGGGGGTAAAATAGTGGTAGTACTATAGTGGTAGACTGTGGTAAAACGGTGGTAGTACTATAGTGGTAGACTGTGGTAAAACGGTGGTAATACTATAGTGGTAGACTGTGGTAAAATAGTGGTAGTACTAAAGTGGTAGACTGTGGTAAAATAGTGGTAGTACTATAGTGGTAGACTGTGGTAAAACAGTGGTAGTACTATAGTGGTAGACTGTGGTAAAAAACAGTGGTAGTACTATAGTGGTAGACTGTGGTAAAACAGTGGTAGTACTATAGTGGTAGACTGTGGTAAAACAGTGGTAGTACTATAGTGGTAGACTGTGGTAAAACAGTGGTAGTACTATAGTGGTAGACTGTGGTAAAACAGTGGTAGTACTATAGTGGTAGACTGTGGTAAAATAGTGGTAGTACTATAGTGGTAGACTGTGGTAAAATAGTGGTAGTACTATAGTGGTAGACTGTGGTAGTAATAGTGGTAGACTGTGGTAGTACTATAGTGGTAGACTGTGGTAAAATAGTGGTAGTAATATAGTGGTAGACTGTGGTAAAATAGTGGTAGTACTATAGTGCTAGACTGTGGTAAAACAGTGGTAGTACTATAGTGGTAGACTGTGGTAAAATAGTGGTAGTACTATAGTGGTAGACTGTGGTAAAATAGTGGTAGTACTATAGTGGTAGACTGTGGTAAAACAGTGGTAGTACTATAGTGGTAGACTGTGGTGTGGTAGTAAAACTGGTAAAATAGTGGTAGTACTATAGTGCACTATAGACTGTGGTAAAACAGTGGTGTACTATAGTGCTAGACTGTGGTAAAACAGTGGTAGTACTATAGTGGTAGACTGGTAAAATAGTGGTAGTACTATAGTGGTAGACTGTGGTAAAACAGTGGTAGTACTATAGTGGTAGACTGTGGTAAAAACAGTGGTAGTACTATAGTGGTAGACTGTGGTAAAATAGTGGTAGTACTTTAGTGGTAAGACTGTGGTAAAACAGTGGTAGTGGTACTATAGTGGTAGACTGTGGTAAAACAGTGGTAGTACTATAGTGCTAGACTGTGGTAAAATAGTGGTAGTACTATAGTGGTAGACTGTGGTAAAACAGTGGTAGTACTATAGTGCTAGACTGTGGTAAAATAGTGGTAGTACTATAGTGGTAGACTGTGGTAAAACAGTGGTAGTACTATAGTGGTAGACTGTGGTAAAATAGTGGTAGTACTATAGTGCTAGACTGTGGTAAACAGTGGTAGTACTATAGTGCTAGACTGTGGTAAAATAGTGGTAGTACTATAGTGGTAGACTGTGGTAAAATGGTGGGAAAATAGTGGTAGTACTATAGTGGTAGACTGTGGTAAAACAGTGGTAGTACTATAGTGGTAGACTGTGGTAAAACAGTGGTAGTACTATAGTGGTAGACTGTGGTAAAATAGTGGTAGTACTATAGTGGTAGACTGTGGTAAAACAGTGGTAGTACTATAGTGGTAGACTGTGGTAAAACAGTGGTAGTACTATAGTGGTAGTGGACTGTGGTAAAACAGTGGTAGTACTATAGTGGTAGACTGTGGTAAAACAGTGGTAGTACTATAGTGGTAGACTGTGGTAAAACAGTGGTAGACTGTGGTAAAACAGTGATACACTGGTAGAGAAGGGTAGAATGGATACAAGTATAGCAGTAGGTTTGTCATGGTACATTTGTTACTATAGCCGCAGGAATGTGATAGTATTAAAGCAGTACTGATAGAAAAGCAATAGCATTTAGGAAGTACTAATACTGTGTATGTTTACAAAGGTACTCACAGAGTGACATAGTTGGAGAATTTCTGCAGCCTCTCAAACAGTGACTTGGCATTCTCGTGTAGCAGTGGTATAGACGAGCTTCCTAACAGCGCCATCTCACCAGCCTCCACGGAGTTACCCTCCTTGTCCGGTGCAAGTCGCAACAACACCTGCACCATCCACTGCACCATCTCTGAATGCAACGTCGACACCTACACAGCAGAAACCAGTTCATCCTCGTCAACAGAAGAGTCAAGGGACCCAGGAAAAGGGTAGAACTTTATAAATTGCTCAACACTGGTGAAGGATCTCTGGCTAAAGATGACTCTTTTCGTCCTTTCCAAATGTTGAGTAATATATGCCCTACAATAACACTCTCTTATTTTGCTAGTGATTTGTTGATCCTTTGAGCTACAGTAGTCCAAGTGACCTAAAAGACCCATGAGAGTTGTGTCCCTTGGTTGTGGAAAGTATCCGCTCACTGTGGGTTGAAACTCCAGCTTAACTTATGATCAATGTTTTTGGTCTTCATCTAAGTGATATAATACATTATGTATATACACAGCTCAACTATTGATTGCAGTGTATAAAATATAGCCCGTTCACCGTCCGTGACAGTCAGTTTTTGTAAAGGACGATCTATAAATAAGTAAGGCCGTCCTTTGGTCGGCGGAAATATTTGAAAAAACAAACTGAACTTGGTTTGAACTTCGTCTTAGCAATCATGCTCTTTCTCGTTCTCGTTTCAACATTTGTTGAGTTTTTATTGTTTTAGTTTTTGGGACTGGCTATGTTTGTTCAAATTCTGGTCACTTTTTGGGACAGCCAGTCCTTGGACAGGCCACATTTCAAAACTATTTTATACCCAGTTGATAGGGATAAGGTGTGTCAGTGGGGAGGAGAATGTTGTCTGATTGAAACTGACTGATTTGTAATGTTGTCATGTAAATAATATTCGAACAGTCACAGAACTGGAGCATGTACAGCTACCTTTTAAGTTGCTTGAACATAAACACATAGTTGAATAATTTCATATCAAGTAACAGCACAGTATGAGCTGTAGCTGCATCCCTATCAAATGGTGAGCAGTATATCATTGCCAACTACATGCATCAATGGGTTTTCCTTACATCATGCAGAAATGCCACGATATCATTAACTCAAATATTACTCTCCGTCTGTTCCATGAGTGGCCTTGACCTTACCTGCTCAACCAGCTTTGCATCCTCGCTGTCGATGGCATTGCTGGCGGTGGTGGCCCACTTCTGCGTCTTCCTCACAGTGTCGTGGATGTCGATGCTGCAACAGAAAGCAGCTTACTGGTTACAGCCGGGCAGGTTTGTCTGTGTTGGTGCTCCGGACAGGATCATCCTCAGTAAACTAGGGTAATATATCCCCATTCTACCAGGATAAACACCCTGGACAACTTCACAACCAAAGCTTTTGGGTGAGTGAGTGAGTGAGTGAGTGAGTGAGTGAGTGAGTGAGTGAGTGAGTGAGTGAGTGAGTGAGTGAGTGAGTGAGTGAGTGAGTGAGTGAGTGAGTGAGTGAGTGAGTGAGTGAGTGAGTGAGTGAGTGAGTGAGTGAGTGAGTGAGGTGATAGTGTTCTTTTGAAAAATATATCCAATTATTACATAAAATTTGTTTGAGTTATTATATTGGGTATATTTGAACTGAATCAATGGTGGAATGGGAGGAAATGTGTACACAGCTGATTGCCATATCTGGTTCAGTTAATGAGACAATACACACTGTAACATAATCTCTGTATTGTAACAATACCAGACCAGAAGATTAATGTACATGGTATATCATTGTGTACAGCGAAATTTGATCTCAAATTAATATTTTGTTATTGTGAACGTTTACTTATACATGTTGGTTGATACCTCAATTTGCTGACGGGATACAATGTAGTTTTTTGTCTGCCCAAAAAACTCAAAATAGTTATGTTTCCAAAATACTGAAAACTGAGAGGGATGGGCATTATGCTTGGGTGTACACTATTCTCAAGTAAACAAGGTATTGTGAGGGGCAAAAACAGTTTTATTATTGGTTTATATTTCAAATTGATATGCGTAAATAAAGTGAAATGAGATACATTTATGTGTGGACATAAAAAATAACAACGTGTGCAGGTTTATCTAGGATTCCATTACAAATTCAGATGAACTTGAAAAAATTGGTAAAAATTCTGTAGTAGAATGAATAAATAACACTCTTGTTTCACTATAAGTGTTATACTATAGTTTTAAAAAGACAACTTGCATCTCATTAAAAAAACACATCCTAGATGAATAGGAGCGCAAAAATGCATTGGATATAAAGCACAGCAAGATAACATTGAAGATTTCACTGTGAATGGGACAAAATACATACTGGTAAAGACAATCTCAAGTGAGTGAGTGAGTGAGAATGGTTTTACGTCGCGTTTAGAAATATTCTAGCAACATCACGGCAGGGGACACCAGAAATGGGCTTCACACATTGTACCCATGTGGGGAATCAAACCCGGGTCTTTGGCATGACGAGCAAACACTTTAACCACTAGGTTACCCCACCACCCCAAACTGATAAAGTGAGACTGAGAGAACTCCATTAGGCTACCCCACCGCACCTAAACCGTAAAGTGTTCCCTGAGAAGTTTGTGTTTACAAAGGCCCCTCAAAATAATTAGCATAGATGAATATGCAAAATACATAGGTCTCAATAAAAATATCTCTCAAAGTTGAACATTTATACTCATCCAAGAAGAAAAAAAGTTTGCATTTCATGGAACTGATAAAATAGTATGCCATGAGATGGAAATATATCACCTTAAAATGAGGAGTTTCTTCACAATGTCAAAGATTTGTGACTTTCACATAAATGATAAAAGCTGCGCTGAAAAAGCAAATGGGAAACATCATGCTGGTTAGTAAAAGTTGAGGTTTAATGACTGACTTAGTTTTGGTTTTACGCCGCTTTTAGCAATATTCCAGCAACATCTTGGCAGGGGACACCAGAAATGGGCTTCACACATTGTACCCATGTGGGGATTCGAACTTAGGTCTTCGGCGTGACAAGCCAACGCTTTAACCACTAGGCTACCCCACCGTCCTGAGGTTTAATGGAGACATCAGGTGCAGTGTGAGGCAAGTGTAGTGACACGCATGTCCATGTGGTAGACTGCTTGAACAAACCTGCACTAATGCTGGTTTTATAGCGAGTTTACAGAAATACCATGGATATCCACTCAGAGCATACCGACTCCAGGCCAACCAGTCCTAGTTCTATCCCCGCAATGCTGAGCACCAGGCAGGGTGACAATAAGTACCACGTTTTGATCTGCCAAGGCGTGGGATAGAACTATTGACTGACTGACTGATTGAGTTTGGTTTTACACCGCTTTTAGCAATATTCCAGCAACATCACGGCAGGGGACACCAGAAATGGGCTTCACACATTGTACTCATGTGGGGATTCGAACCCGGGTCTTCGTGTGACGAGCCAACACTTTAACCACTAGGCTACCCCACCGCCCGGGATAGAACTAGTCAACAAGAGGACGTAACACTATATCGGACGATATTTAATTTTCAACCAAGCATGTGAGTTAAGGTTGGAGAAAAGTTGAACGTCACAGACATCAAAGATGTGTACAATCTCATTACATTCAGATTTGTAAAAGGTGAGTGTTTGGGGTTTTGAGCCCATGACCAGTGTATCCTGGCATTACAAAGGGAGGTAACTCTGCAGAGTTAAGTGCAGTTTACCACTTTAACCTGATCACAACTTTTGTTTGTTTTTTGTTTCATCAGTCATCAGTTATATTCATGCTATGTCACAGTGACCTGTAAAAAGACAAACCAGTGGTCGATATGATGAGCACTGTCCCACATCAGGACATGATGACACAGAATCAAACAAGCCAACAAACCAGACAAACTAGGCGCCGTTGTAAAAGCAACCGTAGTCCTACAACTGTTGTAAGTCCATGTTAAGATATGGGAGTTACGATCACCTTAGCGCTAAGATCGCTTTGTACAACAGCACCCTGATCCATTCGTCGCCTCTTACAACAAACATAGCTTGGGACATACAAACCAAACTCAGATTAACCTTATAAACTACAATGTTAATAGTCACTGGAAAGAATACACAGAGAAAGATGGAAGGGTTAACTCACACTGGGGTAGAAGACAATGCTGAGAGGTTATTGTGACAAACTAGCAACATTAGAGAAGCAGGCAATGTTGGGAGAGTGTCACCACAGACTATACTGGTGCTGGGATATTCTACCACGGAGCAGATTGTACACAAGTTCTATGTGGAGGATAAACATGTCAGATGGTTCTAAATGTCATAAAATCCTAAAGGGATATGTTTAACGCTATTCATAAACTAAAATGAAATCCCCGAAATATCAACAATTTTAAGTTTCAAAACACACTATCCTGAGAAGACTGGGTTATATTTGTTAAAATAGATTTTTGAAAGCAATGTGATGTATCAGCACCTCAGGGGTCTATTATTAGGGTATTCGAAAACTAAACAATTAAAACATATGCGTATCTCCTGAATACAAAATACAATATTAAGTTCAAAATTATCTTCAAAGGTTAGAAATATATATTTTGAAGTTCAAAAGTACAGTCAAACATTGTTGTGTTGGTGTTGAAGAGACCTACGTAAATACTTCGAGTTATCTGAGGTTACAATAACTTACACAACTGAAACATATACTAAATTAGAAATACGCATGACATAAGCATTTACTTCAAAGTTTTCGACACAAGAGTGTTTAACTGTATCTAGCAAAGTTTGAATATAACAAGCAAAGTTTAAAAGTATCCTCAAAGAAAGTTTTTTGCTCAAATTGGATGTACCAAATGGCTCGGTCATGATGAAGAAGACAATGATAAAAGCTCCCCCTAAAGATGTCAAGTAACAAAGGCTGATATGAAGGTGTGATATGTTCGGTGTGTGAACTCTTGAGTACAATCTGCTCCACAAATGAGTAGCTACATCAGTACATCATAGTGCCGGTCATGCTGACATGCTGTCATGACATTGTCATGTCTACCTAGTGTGTTCCCGCCCCTCCTGCTTGTCCTCCTGTTTCTGGGTCACGCCGACATACTCCAGACATTGGTCCACGGCCACCACCCAGTCATCCATGGTGTGGTAGAAGCTGCTCCAATCCGTCTCCTGCAGGACCATTGAGCCATTCAGGGCTGACGTCAAACGCGTCTCCCACAGCTCAATGGCGTTGGTCAAGTGGATCACGCTCGTCGCCACTCCTGTAAAGGAGTGAGGTCATTGGCAATGCTTTCTAATTATCATTTTCATTGTATAACCAATTCAAGCCAAAAGAGTGAGTGAGTGAGTGAGTATGGTTTTATGTCGCTTTTAGCAATATTCCATCAATATCACGGCAGGGGACACCAGAAATGGGCTTCACACATTGTACCCATGTGGGGGGAATTGAACCCTGGTCTTCGGCGTGACGAGTGAACGTTTTAACCACTAGGCTACCCCACCGCCCCTCAAGCCAAAAGAAACAAGAGGAAATTAAAATAGAAAATAAATATACAGCATGGCTCCAGACCCTAGTAAGTTTTGGTTTATTCTTTTAAGCTCAGCCAATAATAGTCAATATTTTAACACTGAACTTTGCTGAAAATTAATCCAATTCCAGGTCAAATAATTTTGGCACAGATTGAAAATAGTGCATATTTCTCAACAGTGATATTACACTGTCGGTTCTTAATCAAATTTCTGCAGTTTTAAATAGCAAAATTTCATATAATCAATAACACCTGCAAATATGACAACACACATTTCACCTGATAAGAAATCTCAGCCACAGCCCACCATACAGCATGTTTCTTCTATACGGTTTGTTTGTTTAATTGTTTGTTTATTTACACCACACTCAGTGATATTGCAGCTATATGACAGCAGGCTGTAAATAATTTAAGTCTGGATATCATGAGCATTATTTCATGCTTTTGAGAAAAGATGACATGGATCAACGACATCAGTAAGCCTGACACTGGTCCAGTTGCCTCCTAGGACCACAGAAGTCATACAGGTCCAGTGTCTAGTGAGGATGACATGGTATGGCTTGCTTCAGAAGCTGCACTTACCATTTTCTCCACTCATTCTGTTTGTGAACTGTTTTAATAATTCCTCCACTTCCTGCAAAATGATGAACAAAGATCATTAACTGAAAGTAGGAGGCACAACTTTGGTGAAACCTGCGCATGGTCTTGGTACTTACAAACCTGGATATATAATCCGACCAATCAGCATAAAAGGGGATAACATATGATGAAAATTTCAAAAATACTTTAGCAAAAAACAGCAAAATATTAAACTGAGATAAATAGTCTGCACCCATCAGCAGGCAGTACACATAATCATCAACAACCAAAAAACAAAACAGTTTCAGCAGCAGCTACTCACATCATTGAGAACTATCATATTGTCCTGCTCCATGTGCGAACGTCCATCTAGACCGGAGTGACGTCCGAACACCTTAAGGGCACTGTCCGTCCAGCCGTCCATCTCCTTGCGGATATGGATCAACTCATCCTGATTCGACAGAAGTAGATCTCCCGCGAACACTTCAGCCTCCTTTGACAGATTCTGAAGACAGATACAACAGACAATGAAATTCCCATGTCACTTTGCACCAAGGCACGATATCTTCATTTTAATTAAGCCTAAGAAGTAAAATATTGAATCTGCCTCTTTGCACAGTGTAAAAGACAATCTTTTTCTTTTATAAAAATCAATTGATCTTTTCCTTAAAAAAAATAACATTTATTTTGGCTGATACTGTAAACAATCTGGGTTGGAATCATTATATAGTTGAAATTATGACATTATAAATGTGTATGAGCTGACTCACATCCTGTTGTAGTGTGTGAGTGAGTTTAGTTTTACGCCGCACTCAGCAATATTCCAGCTATATGGCGTCGGTATGTAAATAATCGAGTCTGGGCCAGACAACCCAGTGATCAACAGCATGAGCATCGATCTGCGCAATTCGGAACCGATGTCAACGAGACTGACCACCTGATCCCGTTAGTCGCCTCTTACGACCAGCACGGGTTACTGAAGATCAATATTCTAGCCCGGACCTTCACGGGTCTCATCCAGTTGTAACCATCTCAGTTTCAACTAAAAATGTTTGGTAGCACATTCTATTCAGGAAATGCCTACCCCAGCTGATAGTTCATTTATAACTGTCTTCCGATTCGATATCAAGAAAATTGACGATCAGATCAGATAACATGCAGTGAAGCTGTTGCAGCAAGTGGGCTCAATTAGCCAAAATATTATAGTGCAACCTGTCATACCAAACAAAACATGCAAGCATATTGTCGATTTTTATGATAACAGAATTAATATTTACCCAAAACACCAGGACATTGGAAAAAAGTAGTAAGTGAAATGGGGGTTCTGGACCACTTCATCTTGGACCAGATGAAGGAGTCCATTGAGGTCTTTATATCAGAGACGTCAATATACAAATATTACTATTCTACATTGAATTAGTTCAGACATCTTCACCTTAGTGTTTCCTTAAACAGATCTTAAAGACATTTTGGAATTGTATCAGATGTATAAAAACTATCCACAAAACCTTCATTGACCAAAATTGGTCACCTCATCAGGAAGTATGAAACTCGAACTAACCTGTATAGGTTTCAGATTCTTTGAATATATTCCTCCTTGGGGTACTTATAAGCATTTAAATGTCCATTTAAAATCCCTACGACAGTTGTAACAATATTTGAATAAAATATTTACAAAACAAAAACTACGTTTTGTCTTGTGAGACCACTCTTACAGGGCCCTCTGGCCCCCTACAGCCAAGAGCAGGTAACTCTAGACCGTAACCTCAAGACCTCACTTTCCATGCTGAACGACATCATCAGACAGAATGTGGGAGGTGGGTGGTGATTTCCAAGGAGGAATATATTCAAAGAATCTGAAACCTATACAGGTTAGTTCGATTCTTTTTATATATTCCTCCTTGGGGTACTTATAAGCATAAGACAGACTCCTAAAGACGGAGCTAAGGAGCCGCATTCTGTCTGCAGAAAACACCCCGACAAGAAGTGGAATTTCCCAAGCTAATTATAGCAGAAAAAGCACACTTACCCGTCACGGTCCACCATAGCCAATCAGGCGGGGCATGAACCAGGGTCAGGGTCGAACATATGTAAATTGCCCAGCTAAACCTCGCTAAAGCAAACTAACGAGACACACCCTCCCTCCTTCCCGTAATCTACCGAAGCCAAGATAAGGGTCCCGCAATAAGCCGCCAGAAACGAAATGCCTTAATATGTATATATTTAGCAAAGCTTCCAAGGCCAGTAAAGTCTAGAGCAGAATGCAAAGACATGGGAATAAAACCATCACCACATAAAACCCGTCACCAAGGGAATATGTAAACAAGATTTTTAAAACCCAACACCAGTGTTAAAAAAGTTGGCATAGAATGGTTCACATACTTTCTCGAAGCTCAATCGGCTAGAGAGGTGGAACCATGCCCACTGGAGAGAACTGACTGACCGAACCGAGCACGCCACTGGAGAGTCTGTCAAGTTGGTAATGACGGATGAACGCATTCGGACGGCTCCAAATAGCCGCCGAGCAGATCTCCTCAATGGGCAGGGCTGCAGCGTAAGCTTTTCGATGTAGCAACTGTTCTAACCGAATGAGCTTTCAACCCAACAGGCGGATACTCTGTTTGAGTATAGCTCATATGTATGGCAGAGACAAGCCACCGAGAAAATGGTTTGCTTGGTCGCCGGAAGACCAGCCTGAACCCACGCCATAACAACAAAACAATTGGTTACCCTTACGGGTACCCCTTTGTTCGTTTGATATAAGCCTTAAGTGTCTTACGGACATCTAAGACGTGGAGCACGCCGTAGAGAGGTACCGACAGGAAGGCTGAGTGAAAGCTGGGAGCTCAATAGGCTCGCCACATGGAAGGGACTATCCTTCTTAGGGCGGTAAGTATCAGGCAGCCGTGATGCTAACTCTGTCTTTGTGAAAACAGTAAGCTGGATCGGCCGACATTGCATGAATATCGCCAACCCGCTTCGCCTGAAGTCACCGCCATTAAGAAACGCCGCCTTCCACGCCAACAGTTGGAGTGAAAGAGCCGACAGATTGTGAAACAGTGGACCGGACAGCCAATCAAGAACGATTGACAAGTCCCATCGGGACTAATCCGCGGACAACCGGACGGATTCTGTCCACGCCTGCTAAAAGTGCTGTACCAGAGGGTGCTGCCCCAAGAGAGCACACCGTCAACAGGTATATGAAACGCCAGAAATAGCTGTAGAATATCCTTGAACCGTTGAAGCCGCTCGACCGGCCCAACCGAGACTGGAGGAATTCTAAAACACAGACTAAATCTGTAGAAAAGGGATCAAGAATCCCCTGTTGACACACCAGCTTCAGAATAACAGGCCCATCTATCCTCATATTGAACGCTTGTCGAATCCCTCCGCTGGCCAGAATTGTGTCTGCAACTGGTGCAGGAATTCGCCGCGACGGAGGCGATCCCTGACAGCGCCAGGCCACCCACTGAATCCTGGGATTCGGTGGGGCTCTCCGCTCTGGGATAGGAGGTCCGGTCGAAAAGGTAATAGAACAGGAGGCTGAGCCAGAAACCTGAGAATTACCGGAAACCAGCGCAGTGCCGACCAAAGGGGTGCCAGAAGCACAAGTAGCCGAGCTGGTTGTGCGGTCAGCTGTGACAGGACCCTGGAAATCAGTGGTATCGGGGAACGCCCACAGTACCCTGTCCGTCCCAATCGAGCTGAAAGGCGCCGTTGGCTAACGCCCCCGGATCCGAATCCGAGCAAAACACAGGAATCTGGTTCGCCACCCCAGACGCAAAACAGATCCACCTGGAACGACCAAACAACTGGGAGATAATCCCGAATCTCCCGGTCGAAAGCATCCACTGCAGTGGGGCTAGTATACGCCGTGAGAGTGCATCTGCACGGACGCTTGTCTACCCCGGAGATAAACAGGCAAAACCCGAATGTTGAACTGATCGCACCACAGTAGAAACTGCCACCTCCTGAAGGAGCTTACGGAGACACTGTGCCGCCTTTGCTTGAGAATGTAAGACATGGCCGCTTGATTGTCCATTTCTAGATCGAACCACATGGCCCTGCACCAACACTCGAAGCACTTTCGAACACCCGGCGGACTGCTCTCAGTTCTAACACATTGATGTGTAGGCTGACTTCCCCGCCCCACCAGAGGCCGGAGGCTGAGTGCTTCGCCCAGGACCCCCCAACCTGTGAGGGAGGCGCCCATCTGAACTGAGAGGGAAGCGCGTCGGGTGTCGAGGGGATCCCCTGACAAATTCCCGACTTCTGTCCACCATCGCAAGTGAGGAATTAACCACTCGGGCGCTGTGAGAATAATCTCAGAGCTCTGCGAGTGGGACCACAGCTGCGCTTAACGCTTGCTGAACTGGTCGCATCCTCAGACGCCAAGACGCCAAACCATCGCCCACTGTCGCCATGTTGCCTAGCAGCAACCGGGCCATGTTCGGGCTGACGATTGGGCGACTGGAGAAACTGTGAAACAGTACTCTGGACTTTGACGATGCGGTCGGGGCAAGGGAAACAATCCCTAGCTCCGTGTTGAATCTTGCCCCCAAGAATATCAGATCCCAAGTCCGAACGAGGTCTGATTTCTTGAGGTTGATAATCCAGCCCAGTGACACCAGAGTATCCATCACGCACAGTGTGGAGGCTCTGCTTAACTGAGGACCTAAGGCCCTGAGAAGCCAATCGCCTAGGTGCGGGTGACAACACCTGCCCTGAGACCTGGCTAACTGAGCTGGGATTAGCATAAGTTTGGTGAACACCCTTGGCGCCGTGGAGATGCCGGAAGGGGAGCACGCTAAACTGGTAGCACGCCCCGTCGAAGGAGAACCGAGGTACTTCTTGAACTCGGGTGCATTGGAACATGGAGGTATCGTCTTTGAGATCGATTGACGTAAGCCAATCCCCTGTCTCGACGGAGGAGATCACTGACCTGAGTGTCTCCATCCTGAAAGACGGCACCTCCAGTAACTGGTTCAACCCTCTGAGATTCAGAATGGGTCTGAACCCTCCGTCCCTTTGGTCACTAGGAAGTAGGTGGAATAAAACCCTCTACTTGTTGACCCACAGGAACCACTCGATGGCTGCCTTGTTCAGTAAGGACTGAACTTCGCATCGGAGGCTGGCCGCCTTTGTCGGCAAGGGAGGTCGGCACAGGCGCAGCCGAACCCCGAGAAGGACGGAGGATCTCGCCCCACTGTGGCAAATGGCCATCCCTGAGCGTGGACAGGACCCAGGGATTTGAGGTGGCTGCCTCCCACCCCGGAGGAATAGGGACAGCCGGCCGCCGACAGGGACGGTGTGGCAGGAGGCAGTGCACCCCACAGTCGGCAATTCTCCGCTGGCGGAGTGGGGGCAACAAGGGCTCTGGGGAAGGAATCAGCGGGAAGCCGGGCTGGCTTCCCTTTCCCCAAAAGGCTGCTGTGCTTGAGCAGGCTTGCCCTTGCCCCTTGCGCCTGTTCGCTTTGACTGCAAAGGGCAGTCCACTTAGCAACATCCTTCGCCGGGCAGAAGGATAAGCGGATGCAAGCGGGGAAGGCCGCTGGCGAGGAGCGGAGGGCTGCTCCAACAAAGACTTTGAGTCTTTGAAGGTAGAGACAGCCTCCGCGGCCTCCCGTACTACCTGCAATGCCCCAGGGAACAGGGAGGATCCCATGGTATAGGGCAATGACAGGAGCGCTTGTTGTGTGGCCGGCGAATACCGCACCACAGACAACCACAGGCGGCGCAAGCCCATGACGGCACCCATCATCTGGCTGGCACAGCACTGAATGCTATCCCTAGCCAGATGCGAGTGTATGTCCGTGAGCTGGCGCGAGAGCACCGACTCCGATGAGTCGGCGCCACAAGCGCTGTGAGCCACCAGCTGTCCCTGCAGTGCAGACAGGTAGGCCGAGTGGACTGCTACTTTGAGGTAGCACGCTGCGACCGGTAACATTCCTCGAATGACCGGCACACGCAGACTTCAGCGGCAGTGAATTAGCAGGAAAAGGGGAGGCGCCTGCCCTGCCTGGCCGAGGCCAGGGAAGACGAGGACGACCCCTAACGTGACTGGAGGCAAAGACACACTTTCGCCCACCACTGGTGGTTCGAATAGCGCCTCCTCCCCAACTGGTACCTCCTGCCAACGCCGGGCAGATCAAATCTCGAGCGAGAACCAGTTAAGAGGATTTACCACCTCACCTACCAGTGATGGTAGGATGCGTGGCTACCGGGCGACCTTGGTAGGCGCAGCCTCCTCCCCGGAGCCAAACTCCGCGGGGTCGAGCGTCCTGTGTGGGAACGGCCACCTGGGGCAGGGCTTCGGCAATTTTTCCCCGCACCTGCCTCTTGAGAGCGAGCCAAAGGAGTACGGCACTCCCGCCCGCTCCTCCCTCGCTCCATCGTCCTCCATGTCCACTCGCGGCATAATCCTCGGCAGCCGTGCACTCTCATACCCCTGAGAGACCGCCGGATATACCAGAGGCTGAACCCAAAAGACCATAAAGGTCAAGAGGCCAGAAGCAATGAGTCGCCCAGCCGGGCAGAACTCGCCCCCAAGTCGCCGGGCGCCGAGAGGGACCTGCAGCGACAGGCCTCCCCGGCAACCCAGACTGCCTGCCAGGCGCCGAGGTGTTCGAGCTGGCAGTGCCGAGGCGACTGCCAGTCAGGGCACCAGGCTGAAGCCAGGGCAACCCTGCATCGCCGGGCGCCAGCCACCTGTGACGGACTCTACGCCCGGGCGAGGTCGCCCTTAGGTGTCGAGGGCGCACTATCTCCACGGCCTAAGCCGGGATCAAGCTGCCCAGGGGGAGGCGCGTTCCCCGAGCCTAAGCTCGGGCCGCAGCCAACCCCCACAGATGCGTCAGATCCACTCCCTCACGACATCGCGCGAGTGAGCTCCTTTACGGAACCCATCCAACGCCAGATCAATGAGAGATTTCACTGACGCCATCTGTTCCTGGAATAAAGGTTAGTGATTCAACGGGCACAACTGGTGCCGACACAACAGGGGAAGAGACAGGAGCAAGTTGAGGTTTGGTATTAGATGCCTCCTTGGAACCTTTTAGCTCTTTTGGGAGCCGGGCTCAGATGGGAAGCGCCCCGAGACCCCCTTTTTTGTGTGAACGCTTGGACGGGGATCCTGTGCCCAGATATCACCCCCTCCTCGAATCAGATTGCTGTAGAACAGCAGATCCGCTCGCCGTGCTCTAATCGCTTGAGGTGTAAAGTGGCACATGCCACACACCCTCTTCCTCATGGTCAGTTTGGGTGAGGCAACGTAAGCAGACCTCGCGGTGTGTCCTTGACGGGAATGGCCGCAAGGCACGGCACGGGATTTAAACTGCAACAAGTAAACAACCTGTGCAGCAATCAACCCCATACACACATACATATATGAAAAACACGCGATGGGCTTACACAACTAATGCGACAACGTAGCATACAGTTGACAATAACCATACTACGACTGACATAACTACGACTTTTTATATCGTAAGATAGAAAATGCAAGCAGTGGAAACGCCTACATGTAACCACATATACGTAAAATTACTAACCCCACCTGTAACATTGAAAACCACACGGGAAACCAATGAACAGTGATGCTAGCTGGGTACCTGGTCACCATCTTGGCACGCACTCGGGCGAAATGACGCGACAGGTACCAAGTTACAACTAAAAATTATGAATGAAAAAGTTCATAACAAGTCTTCAAATCGCCCATGCAGGGACAAAAGAGAACCATACATACAATTGCTGTTTCTGACCCACTCATAATTCTCGCCGGGAAAAGAAAACTTTCTTGTAATGGACCCACGTCTATGTCGGGAACGACAGCATGGAAAGTGAGGTGCGAGGTTACGGTCTAGAGTTACCTGCTCTGTGGCTATAGGGGGCCAGAGGGCCCTGTAAGGGTGGTCTCACAAGACAAAACGTAGTTTTTGTTTTGTAAATATTTTATTCAAATATTGTTACAACTGTCGTAGGGATTTTAAATGGACATTTAAATGCTTATAAGTACCCCAAGGAGGAATATATAAAAAAGAATTCACTCAGTGTAACTGATGGAACTTGACAAGAGGAATATTTGTTGAAAGTTTTTTTTGTTGAAGTTTTTAATACACTTGTGAATAAAAGATACAAGCCGCACTTTTACATACATATGTGCAAGCCTATCTAACTGAAATCCAAATCTTTATTGAAATTTAGATCCTTGCTATATCATAAAATCCAACATAGGGTGAGAGAATGGTGGTTCAGAAGTTTCTAAGTCTTGACCAATAGTTTACTATATAATAGCTAGTCTGCTGGAAAGTAGAAGGTAATAAAGTGAGGGAGTGAATGAGTTTGGTTTATTGTTGCTTTTAAAACTATTCCATTGTTATCAAGGCATAATGGTGTAATGGCGTAATGTGAGAGAAAATCAAGAAGTGATGCAGATGTTTACCAATTCCCATGTGCATGGATTTTGTCAGTGTTTAAAACTCCCAAAATTCTAAGCCAGACACAGCCGGACTGGTAACTTAAAAACTTACCTGTCCGGATTCAAACTTGCCTGTCCGATTTTCAACAACAACAAAGAAAAAAAAAGAAAAAAAAAAAGAAAAAAAAGGTTTCTGAATACTGTACTGTTTGTAGGCATCGCAATGAACAACATAGCACTAACAGGCAATGCACCAAGTTTAGGTAAACTGAAAGTACGTGTGTTGTGATTGGTTATTGTAAAATTAAGTGTCCAATCGTAAATAGTTTAACATAATTATCATGACACTTCAAACACCTCAAACTGACGACGAGAGAACCTGTCTCATATTATGAGTGAGTGAGTATGGTTTTCGGCGCTTTTAGCAATATCCCAGCAATATCACAGCGGGGGACATCAGAAATGGGCTTCACACATTGCACCCATGTGGGGAATCGAACCCGGGTCTTCAGCATGTCGAGCGGACGCTTTAACCATTAGGCTACCCCACCGCCCCTCTGATATTATGAAATATTTACTGTTAGGGGTAAAAACATCTACCAGACCACCGGACAGGCTACTTTTGAAATTTGACCGTCCGAGATGAAAATAGACCGTTCCGGACGGTCGGGCAGGTGGGAATTTTAAACGCTGATTTTGTGCTGACAACATAAAATCTGGCTGAACCGTGATTCAAAACCGTGATCCCAAGTATCTGGTGCACCAAAGGGATGACTGTGATTCAGTCAAACATTATAGTCCGCCAAAGACCAAGGTGGATCATGGGCTTGAATGTGGCCTTTGAACCCAGTATCAGTTGATACTGGCCACCCAGGGGCAAGACTGAATGGCTACACCTTAGTCTACTGTGCTATCTCATCTCCCCCTGCCAGGTGACTACAATATCTAGTGAGTATGGTGGGAAAGAAAGACACACTTTGTGAAATGTGAATGCTTTGGAAGTTTGTAAATTTCTTGATGCAAATGAAATCGTGAAGTACATGTAGCATTTGTGAAAATATACTGTTCAAAAGTTGTTAGGGGTATCTAATTAATACTTTGAATTGAACTTACATGTATTGGAAATAAACATTTGATGTCTGACACAAAATTAATTCCTGCATTTTGACACAAATCTTCACACACCTCTAAAATGTGTTTGAAAACGTCAAGGGCAAGCTACAAGAGTATGTCCTTGACCCGATCAGGTGACCTTTTAGACATTAACAGGTGGAATGGGTTCAGCAAGGTGAAGGACAGTACATCCATGAGAACAACATCCTTAACAAATGATGAGCAGTATATAGAGAAACAATTTACAAACTCGTTGATGTATCCTTTGGAAGCAATGATTGGAAAGAAATGAACACAAATTTTAAAAAATGTGGACTGATGTACCTGTAAACAGATTTACCTTCACACTAGTTTTCACTGTATAAACATGAAATATATCTGGCTGTAATATTGTGAACACAAATAAGAGTTGTACACCATGGTATGCAAAATATCATCATCATCATCATCATCATCATCATCATCATCAATATTACCTCCTCCCAAGCTTGGATGTCGTTGCGGAGACTGATCATCTTCTCCTTGTCAGGGACCTTCACCATGTTACCCTCAGCGTTACTGAAACACAACATTTCATTAAATGAACATATTGATCACCAGAACTAATGTGGACATGGGAGAGGATTTTTTCCTCTACAACTAAGATGATCCTACATGCCATAATTTGACAGTGGGCCCACTCACAAGCAGTCCTTCTGGAAGTCTAGCACCCATTTCTCCACGCCTGCCCTGATGCCCTGCAGGTGCTCCCTCATCTCCTCCTCCCGCTGCTTCAGGGCGATGTTGAAATCCTCAATGTTGTCCCGCCAAACTTCCACGTGGCCCTGAATCTCCGTCAGCTGCTCCGTGTCCTTGTCGCTTAGCAACACAGTGAAGTGGTTGGCAAGCTTGGCCCAGGCCTTCTCACTGACATGCATCCGTTTGGCAGTCGTCAGTCTGCATTCCTCCGTCACCTGATGGAGACATATGTTGTCACTGTTCACACTACAGTCATCAATACTCAAAACATATAACAGAGAGTATTCATCCTGATTTTCAGGGATGGGGCTGTATGACTTCAGAGAGAGTACTGACCTTGAGAGCAAGACTGTATGCTGCCGTGCTCCATAGCTCCCTCTCGTCAGACAGCATGAACACTTGGCGTTCCAAGCGCCGGCGCTGCAGCTCGTACAGGTCGTGGTACTCTGCCAGGAGACTGGCGTTCTTCTGTGCATCACCCAGAGCTGTCTTCAGCTGTAGGAAAGTCATAGCATCAGATCAGTTTGCAGAAACACATTTTCAACTCAATCCTAGAACAATAATCACATTGTTCTGTACTCAGGCCATGAAGACTTCCTCTCCAGCTATGTTATTCCCACAATATCTCAGTTCAATCACCTAAGAGAACAGAAAATCATACACCTTAAAACAACAGAGCTCTCAGATTTTCTTTCCCAACTAGCCTTCATCTTTTAACCGATTGTCGAACCCTGTGTTGCTTTGTACCCTGTACAGCTTTCCTTTATATAATTTCCTGACTGAAAATACGAAGCGCCTGAAGTAGAAACATGTTCGTGTCACAGGATTGTTGGAAAACATGTTGGGAGAAACTGGCTTCAAGGGAAACATGTTAGGAAGCACTGACTTCTAGGGAACACATGTTAGGAAGCACTGACTTCTAGGGAACACATGCATGTTAGGAAGCACCGGCTTCAAGTGAACACATGTTAGGAAGCACTGACTTCTAGGGAACACATGTTAGGAGAAACTGACTTCTAGGGAACACATGTTAGGAAGCACTGGCTTCTAGGGAACACATGTTAGGAAGCACTGGCTTCAAGGGAACACATGTTAAGAAACACTGACTTCAAGGGAAACATGTTAGGAAGCACTGGCTTCAAGGGAACACATGTTAGGAAGCGACACTGGCTTCTAGGGAAACATGTTAGGAAACACTGGCTTCTAGGGAAATATGTTAGGAAACACTGGCTTCAAGGGAACACATGTTAGGAAGCACTGACTTCAAGGGAACACATGTTAGGAAGCACTGGCTTCTAGGGAAACATGTTAGAAGACACTGGCTTCAAGGGAACACATGTTAGGAAGACACTGGCTTCAGGGGAACACATGTTAGGAAGCACTGGCTTCCAGGGAAACATGTTAAGAAACACTGGCTTCAAGGGAACACATGTTAGCGAGCACTGGCTTCAAGGGAAACATGTTAGGAAGCGACACTGGCTTCAATAAAACATGTTAAGGAAGCACTGACTTCAAGGGAAACATGTTAGGAACACTGGCTTCTAGGGAACACATGTTAGGAAGCACTGGCTTCAAGGGAAACATGTTAAGGAAACACTGACTTCTAGGGAACACATGTTAGGAAGCACTGGCTTCAAGGGAACACATGTTAAGAAGCACTGGCTTCTAGATAACACATGTTAGGAAGCACTGGCTTCAAGGGAAATACATGTTAAGCGAAACACTGGCTTCAAGGGAAATATGTTAGCGGTTTACACTGGCTTCAAGGGAAATATGTTAAGAGACACTGGCTTCAAGGGAAATATGTTAAGAGACACTGGCTTCAAGGGAAACATGTTAAGAGACACTGGCTTCAAGGGAAATATGTTAAGAGACACTGGCTTCAAGGGAAACATGTTAAGAGACACTGGCTTCTAGGGAAAACATGTTAGGAAACACTGACTTCTAGATAACACATGTTAGGAAACACTGGCTTCAAGGGAACACATGTTAGAGACACTGACTTCAAGGGAACACATGTTAAGAAGACACTGGCTTCAAGGGAACACATGTTAGGAAACACTGACTTCTAGGGAACACATGTTAGGAAGCACTGGCTTCAAGGGAAATATGTTAAGAGACACTGACTTCTAGGGAACAGATGTTAAGAAGCACTGATTTCAAGGGAACACATGTTAGGAGACACTGACTGGCTAGGGAAAACATGTTAGGAAGCACTGACTTCTAGGGAACACATGTTAGGAAGCACTGACTTCTAGGGAACACATGTTAGGAAGCACTGGCTTCAAGGGAACACATGTTAGGAAACACTGACTTCTAGGGAACACATGTTAGGAAGCACTGACTTCTAGGGAACACATGTTAGGAAGCACTGACTTCAAGGGAACACATGTTAGGAAACACTGACTTCAGGGGAAATATGTTAAGCGACACTGGCTTCAAGGGAAATATGTTAAGAGACACTGGCTTCAAGGGAAATATGTTAAGAGACACTGGCTTCAAGGGAAATATGTTAAGAGACACTGGCTTCAAAGGGAAACTTGTTAAAAGACACTGGCTTCAAGGGAAATATGTTAAGAGACACTCACTTCTAGGGAACACATGTTAGGAAACACTGACTTCTAGATAACACATGTTAGGAAACACTGACTTCTAGATAACACATGTTAGGAAACACTGACTTCAAGGGAACACATGTTAGGAAGCACTGACTTCTAGGGAACACATGTTAGGAAGCACTGGCTTCAAGGGAACACATGTTAGGAAACACTGACTTCTAGGGAACACATGTTAGGAAGCACTGGCTTCAAGGGAACACATGTTAGGAAGCACTGACTTCTAGGGAACAGATGTTAGGAAGCACTGATTTCTAGGGAACACATGTTAGGACGCACTGACTTCTAGGGAACACATGTTAGGAAGCACTGACTTCTAGTGAACACATGTTAGGAAGCACTGACTTCTAGGGAACACATGTTAGGAAGCACTGGCTTCAAGGGAACACATGTTAGGAAACACTGACTTCTAGGGAACACATGTTAGGAAGCACTGACTTCAAGGGAACACATGTTAGGAAGCACTGACTTCAGGGGAAATATGTTAAAGGTCACATGCAACCAAAAAATCAAACATAATTAAAACACAATTATCACTTATTCGTGACATATAATATTCATTGCTGGTTATGAAAAACATATAAACAAAATTATAAGCGTACAATCGCAAATCAAAAGTGCAATATTGTGTGCTTGGGTTTACTTCCCAAGAAACGAAGCAGCCGGGATACCGAACCCAGTCAGAGCGGGTGGGTGTGCACTCAAGTGTAACGGCTGGTTCATTTGCAGATTCCCTCACGGCTCATTGTGTGTGTATATATAGAGATGTTGGGTTTTGTAAATACATGCTCATTTTTGTGTATAACATTTTGCAATCAACAGACATCATAACATGTCATGTGTTCAAGTATCACACCTGCCTGTCTGTGTAATTACATAATGTGACAGAGACCAACTCGGGCCATAAATCAATGCGCTTTGTTTATGGTGTATAGCCTGATTGGTGTTAAGTTCAAATTGCATGTGGTCAGAGATCGCAGTTGTGTATTGAATATTGTCATTAGCAGACAGGCAGGCAGACACACAGGTGTCAATAAAACAAGACATTGAGTTTTGTCTGTGACAACGACATCTATATCACAGTTAGAAATTCTGTCAACGCTAAATAATGACATTGCTTTTGGCATCGAACTGAGAAAGTGACTTCGGTAAGAAGAATGTGGTGGTGAAATAGACAAATGAAATTATATAAACAGTTTATTTACTGTCATAACATATAAAAGCTCGCTACTGTGAGATATCAACAAACATTAGGAAAATAGCTCACACCAAAGCCTTCACCGAGTATTCACCGGACAGCCCGCCTTCCAAGTTAAGTGCAGTGGCTATTTCACTGCGCATGCGCTATGAGTGCAGCCCAGCTGTTGAAAACCAGTTTTCCCCAAAAGTCGGGAAAATTAGTGAATCGCTTTGAACTCCGATTTCGCGCGGGTTTTTTCTTAGCGTTATTTTTCAACTTTATAAGTTGAATTTGCATTTTTGATGATTAGTTTCGGTAAGTCCATAAAGGTATCAGAATCTGCAAAGTTGTGTTTTACGTTGCATGTGACCTTTAAGAGACACTGGCTTCAAGGGAAATATGTTAAGAGACACTGGCTTCAAGGGAAATATGTTAAGAGACACTGGCTTCAAGGGAAATATGTTAAGAGACACTGGCTTCAAGGGAAATATGTTAAGAGACACTGGCTTCAAGGGGAAACATGTTAGGAGACACTGACTTCAAGGGAAAACATGTTAGGAGACACTTTCTTCTAGGGAAAACATAATATGATATGTGATGCAGACTTACATCTTCCTGAGCTTTCTGAGCCTCCTTGGTCACTCGCTGGTCATGTTCTTTAACGTCCGTCAACTCACTGAAACAAACAAATCAATGTACACTACAAACTTTAACAAGGTCAAACTTTTTCCACTTTTATAGTATTACCAAAAACAAAACAAGATCAGAACACATTTACTGTAATTTGTTTCACTATAATAACCCTATTGTATTATATAATAAAACCATAATATACATCTGATAAAAACTAACAATAAAATAACTTTTCCTATAATTGACCAAATGCATTTTACATAGTCTGTAGCTACCACACAAGAGAACGAGCATTCTGTGACAGAAGTAAACCATTTTTGTTGCTGTAAAAAAGTGAAGATCTTTCCCTGGAAACAGAGTTACAGCTAACATCTGACTTACTTTGTAAGGACACTGATAGTAGATTTGAACCTCATGAGTTCCTCTGTGAGTCGCCGGTCCAAAGCCCGCTGTGCCATCACCTCTTCATGAAGACTGAAGAAACACATTTTCATAAACACATTGTCATAACACTGTTATAAAATGACTACATCTTTGACAAGTTGGTGAAATTTTGAGTATCATTGGCTGGCTGAAGGGTGTCAAGTCTTCTCGATAAACTGCAAGTAATCAAGTCAAACAAACTAGTGATTGATATAATGACCAACATCACACCCCATCCCAGTACAGTAACAGAAGCAACAAACTCATTGAACTTAAATTCATCTTAATCTCTCTGTGACCAGCATAGGTGGAATGTTTCTTACTGAGGTACGAACTGGGCTGACCACAATGACATGTAAACAGACAGGTCAGCCATTGCAACCAGGGTTTTACACAGACGTTTAAAAATGGGAGTCATGGTGACTCACAATATTTATTTTGGGAGTCATTTTCAATATTTGGGAGTCATGAAAAGTTTAATATTTCTTTGTGTTAATCATTCTCAGTATGTAACTGTGTATGTCACACCACCAAATGAAACTACAGCATTGTTTAATTCAAACAGCCAGGATTACTGTCTCCTCTGAGTTCACTGGAACAATCTGACAATATCATTTTATGCTTATGAAATCGATTTTATTGAACTGAGTTGTGAGGGTCACCCATAAAACTTGCGTCAAGCTTGACTCGTATGATACTATTTTGAGAGTCGTTTACAAAATTGTTGCGTCGAATACGCGAGGAATAACGCGTCATGTAAAACCCTGATTGCAACCACCCAATCCTCAATAGTCACCTCTTACAACAAGCATGGAATACAAGTGATTCATTTTGCCCAAGAAATCCAAACACAGTTCACAGAGTGACGCAGTTCACAGGTTTCAAGAGGCTTTTAGCAATATTTCAGCAATATCATGGCAGGAGACACCTGAAAAGGGTTTCACACTGTACCAATGTGGAGACGCTTTAACCACTTGGTTTCCCCACTGCCTTAGTGAGTACATAAAGAAACTGTTGCTACGAAAAGACTCACCTCTTGATCTGCTGCGGAACTTTGTTGAGGAGGGCGCTGTATTTATCTCTCAGCATCGCCAGCAACTCCCCTCTCTCCACACACTCGATGCTCACCTAGACACAGATGGACACAACATTTACGTCAAACCCCACAACATCCCACCTATAGTGGCCTGTACATAATCAGTCAACGGACGATACAAACCAGTGACTAATATTATGAGCATACTGCGCCATTATAACATGAATCATGACATCTGATCTGCCTATTCACTGAGCCAGCCACCTGAACCATTTAGATGACCCATACGACATAATTGGTTGCACACAAACCCAAATCTTAATTCGGAAAAACTGAGTGAAAAAGCATCTGAAACATCAAGGTAGCTTTTACTCAAATAAATAATGGCTATTAGCCCATTTTGTATTATTTCATTTTGGATGTATTTTGTCCTGCAACTGAAATTTCATAAGCAGCAACACTGGAGTGGTAGGGAGAACATATTTTGGTATATTACTGTAGAATGGATACTTCTGTGAGGTGAGGTGAAATTGGGTTTAACGTTGTGCTTGAGAATATTTCACTCATATGACGATGTGCATGCGTGTGTATGTGTGTGTGTGGCTGCTTGTACTAGCCCAGACTGAAGCTGGTTTTATAGTGCTAGCCCACTGAGATACCATGCCGCAGTGAAGCATGAATACCCCACTCAGACACATTATACTGACTCCAAGTCGACCAGTCCTTGTTGTACTCATTAATGCCGAGCGCCAGGCAGGGACCAACAAGTACCATATTTTAACGTCTTTTGGTATGACGGGGTCGGGGATCGAACCAGCGACCTTCCGCTCTCCGGACGGACGCTCTAACCACTACACCACGGAGGCGGTCGGATACTTCTGTATTAGAAGCTAACAACTTCTGAGTCCGGCAAGCAGAATGTAATGGTGGACTCACCTGTCTGATGAGTTCATGGAAGATTATGTTGTAGACGTTCTGTTCTTTCTTTATCAGTTCAAGCAGGTTGTGCATCTGAAGAACATCATTGACATTGTTAAGAATTTACGTGAACATAATTTTCAGTTTATAGCACTATAAATGCAAATACTTCTAATAACACATAACATGTTACCTTGGAGTTTATACAATGTTATAAAAGAGAAAAAAATGCAAACAGAGCAGAAACGCAAACACTGCCCAATATGTGACAGATTAGAAATCAGTTGCTGCTAATTACTACTGTAATTATATATTAACACGGTCAAATTTTCATATTCAGTGTTTAACCTGATATCCTTTAATCACCCAAGCTATGTTAAAATAAATGCATGTGGTTAGTGACTCGGTTAGATTGACTGACTGAGTTTGGTTTTACACCGCTTTTAGCAATATTCCAGCAACATCACGGCGGGGACACCAGAAATGGGCTCACACATTGTACCCATGTGGGGATTCGAACCCGGGTCTTCGGCGTGACGAGCCAACGCTTTAACCACTAGACTACCCCACCGCCCCTGCTCGGTTAGAAGCATGTTACTAGTGTAAACCTCTCACTGTATCAATGCAGTGATTCATGAGAAGAAATCGTCCTTGTTCTTCATCTTCATCAAATTTCCAGGGTGACGCTGCACAGAGTAATACGATGACACAAGCTAACCAAGTCAGCGAGTATGACAACCTGATCCTGTTAGTTGCCTCTTACCACAAGCACGGATTGCCGAAGACCAATTCTAACCCGGATCTTGGCGGGTTGACTATGTATATAGCAGAGTATGATAGAATGCTCACCTGAGTTGGTCCCTTAACGACAACATCATTGTCCTCGACACCAGCCTTCTCCAGCATGTCCTCCAGGGACCTCTTCAGTTGGAGGACCTCATACCTGCTGGCCGGCTTCCTGCACACACAAGTAACAGTGTGACCTTCTTGTGTAACACACCAAACTGGCAATTTCAGTGTGTGTGCATCAAGTGTATGTGTGTGTAAGGGAGGGGTAGGAGAGAATTTAAACCCTTGGCCACCTACTGCCTGGATCTGCCACTGACAGACCAAGGAAGGAAGGAAGAAAGGACAAATGAATGGAGGAGGAATGAACGAACGAACGAACGAACGAACGAACGAACGAACGAACGAACGAGCGAGCGAAGCGAGAACGAAACAACGAACGAACGAACGAACGAACGAACGAACGAACGAACGAACGGGAAAACAGTGTGCCCGAGCAGATGCAGGTCGTACAAGTTTGCACCTTACCACCATCACAGGTCTATATTAGAGTAACAAGGATAATGAATGGTGTTGTAGTAAGACTGCTTGATTAGGGAGTACGGCCAACTTGCACAAAGGGATGATAAGCTGTGACTCTTAAAACGCCAAAGCCTTTATACAGCCTTATGTCAAACATAATGTTAACATCACTTTATGTGGCCCAGACCTCCACACATGACCGTCAATCTGACTATTCCTAATGGATGACCAGTCAACCTGTTTCATTAGCACATCACGAAAAGACAACGAGCAACGAGTGTATGTGGAAGCGGAATGTGTGTATGTGGAAGCGAGATGTATGTATGTGGAAGCAGAATGTGTGTTTGTGGAAACGGAACATGATAACTAATGACTTACAGTGACGGGAACTTGACCAGATGCTTCTCATGGTCTTCAGGCTGTGTTGAATATTTACTGGAAAAAATTCACTTATAATTAAATAGAAACATCAACACCATTTTCACAAAAATCACTGATGGTATATCTTTTATGATGTGGTATATGGATTATTTGTTCTCAAAACAGGAGGTTAGTGGTATTAATGCTCAAAAAATAATTCCCACCCCTGAACTCAATGACTTTCTTTCTTTGAAAAGAGGGAAATAAATGTCTCTCTCCTCCCACTAGGGGAAAATATAACATCATAAATCTGAGATACTGGAATCAGTTTATTCTTACTCTTCATGATATTCTATGCCCATGACGCCCTTGTTCTTGACGATGTGGTACTCATCCGGCAACAGCGTGTCGGGGAGCTGGAGAGCCTGGAACATGGATCAAAACCTGTTGCTCAAAATACTGATCAGCTGTCATTGCTGAAATATGATCACATATAGCACACGTTGTCTGCTCGAATCTACTTTATCAGCTCTAACACACATCATCAGCTCATACCAACTTCCCTGGCCTTAAACAAATCATCAGGTCAAATCTACTTTATTAGCTTTGACCAACTTTATCATCTCTAACGCACATCATCAGCTCTAACGGTTCATAAGTGCTAATCTACTTTATCAACTGACCCAATATAACAGCTCTAACACACTTTATCTGCTCTAACCCACTTTATCAACACTAACACGCTTCATCAGCTCTAACCCACTTTATCTGCTCTAACCCACTTTATCTGCTCTAACCCACTTTATCAACACTAACACACTTCATCAGCTCTAACCCACTTTATCTCTCTCTAACATACTTTATCAACACTAACACGCTTTACTTCTAACATCAACACTTTTATCAGCTCTAACCCACTTTATCAACACTAACACGCGCTTCATCAGCTCCACCACGCTCTCATCAGCTCAGCTTTATCTAACACACTTTATCACCTCATCCTAACATCCCTTGCCTTAAACAAATCATCAGCTCTAACACACATCACTGGCTCTAACCTACCTGTCTAGGTTTCTCCTCAGCATCTCTTCTGATGATGCTTTTGTCAATCTTCTCTGGCCGTTCTCCTGTTGTCTTTGTTTGAGGAACATCATAGAGGAAAGAGATGTCCCTGGGATGAAGAGGAGAATAAGTTTACATCATGGATGTCATCGCTACCAATACGACAGCAGCAACGTTTTAATTTAAGTGATAGAGTATGGTTTTACGCCGCTTTTAGCAATATTCCAGCAATATCATGGCGGGGACACCAGAAATGGGCTTTTCATATTGTATCCATGTGGAGAATTGAACCCGGGTCTTCGGCTTGATGAGCAAATGCTTTAACCACTAGGCTACCCCACCGCCCCGGGAATGTTTTAACCTTCATGTAATAGGATACTGTAATAGTGTTTCTTTGTACCAACACAAGATAATGAATAGGTTGATTAAAATGAAGCCAAACTCATATGATTTTCTGTTGTTTGAAGAGTCTTCCTTGGGGGTAAATATATGCATTTTCTGTTTATGGACATGTCCTGTGAAGGTTGTAACAATGTTTTAACAAAATTATTGTACAAATAAAGAAGGTTGTTTTTATCTGTTCTATGGCCTCCCACCTGCACATGCTGGGAGCACTGATGATAGAGTGAGTGAGTGAGTTTTACGCCGCTTTTAGCAATATTCCAGCTATATAACTGCGGTTGACACCAGAAATGGTCTCCACACATTTTACCCATGTGGGGAATCGAACCCTGGTCATCAGCATGACGGGCAAACACTTTAACCACTAAGCTAACCCACTGCCCCTCACTGATGATGGAAGAAAGTATCATACAAAACCATGAAGTGTTGGCACTGCATATAACTGTGATGCCACCTACCTCCCTGCTCCACACGTGCACGCTGTGTTTTCTGTGAGATGCTTGAATCTGTCCCTCCGCTGGAAGTTCCACACATTGGCTGGACGCTGGCGTCCCTGAACCTTTGCAATAATCATCATAATATGTGAAAAACGGGTCAAATAAAGATAGAAAATTATTTCTCTTGTGGAATTACACCCTGTCACATCAATTTGATTCTTCTAACTCACATATTTAGCTCTTCGTATTATTTTTAATAATACTGACAAAAATGAAAATAATAATAGCCAATTTGTATTGCTCTTTTCCATAATCATGATCAAAGCAGCCAGAGGAGAAAGGTTCACTGAAGAGCTTGATGGAAGAGAAAGATCTTGAGAGCAGTTCTAAAGGTGGAACAAGTTGTAGGGGCAGGGAGTTCAAGGGGAGCATCGTTTTACTGACATGATGCTTCGAAGATTTCAGCATCATTGTACGTACTAGTGTTGGGAATTGGTTGAAATCTCACAATTGATGATTGGTTCAATACCAACGACCAATCATCGACAAAAATTGGTTCGCGTCATTTTTTAGATTTTCCTATTCAGGTTGTAGTTGCAGATAAGTATTAAGAAAAAACATTTGGTTCTCTGTTGTTTTTTGAAACTGCACAAATTACATTTGCAGATTTCACATCCAGTGTAAAATGATTCAGTTCCAGTGTAACATAAACTTCCCACATTCTTCAAGAAATATTCAGTCATGACTTTTCAGAAACTTTTCTTAGAAATAAACACGTTTTCCGGCCCTGACAACGTCCTAGATATGAACTATCACCAAGTATTTCAAACTCTATTACAGCGGTTCCAAAATTGTTTGTGTTCGATTATGAGAAACTGTGATCGATTGCTTGGTCGTTTGGCCACTGCGACCAATCTTCGATTATTTCAATTAATCGGAACACCACTAGTACGTACTACTGTTAGTGGAGATTTGTTTGTTTGTTGTTGAATGCAACTCTCAGCAATATTCCCGCTGTATGATGGTTGTTCTAAATAATTGAATCTGGACCAGACAATCCAGGGATTAACATCAACATCATATACAACGCTAGGATACAATGACACAACAACCATCCATGCAGTGATCAAAGATATGATTACACACAAGAAACATCATGTTTTTGTTGTTTGTTTGTTGTTTAATGCTGCACTCAGCAATATTCCAGCTGCATGACAGAGGTCTGTAACCAGACAATCCAGTGACTGATATCATGAGCACCAATCTACACAATTATAACATGATGGCATCCATGACCACCGGATCCCATCAGTCGCCTCTTACGACAAGCCTGGGGCGCTGAAGACCAATTCTAACCCGGATCTTCACTGGTCACAGCAGGATTTAATTTCTCATAGACATAGTTAAGCATTACACAAATTTGTCTCTCTTGTTTGAAAGCAAGAATTTTCTCATTTTGCAACTCACTGAAGAAGTATTTAGATTCCTGTGCCGAGATGGTGGTCCTAGTTTGTCTTTCAATACGGGAGCCTGGGTAAGAGCAAAGAGGATGTCTTCGGAAGGAAATCACTCTGCAATGATGTTGGGAGGGGCTTCATCTTGTCCACTGATGTACTGGATCTTAGATTGGGCAAGAGACCTGTAAAGAAGTTAATGATACAAATAGTGAGTGAGTGAGTTAAGTTTTACGCCACTTTTGGCAATATTCCAGCAATATCATGGCGGGGGACACCAGAAATGGGCTTTAAACATTGGGGAATTGAATCCGGGTCTTCGGCATGATGAACGAACGCCTTAACCACTAGGCTACACCACCACCCACAAATAATGTATAACTTATGGACAAACGAAGCAAGAATAAGACATGTTTTAAGAACAAGCTGTTGAAGCTGAAACTTAACATTAAATCCATTGAACAGTATGTTTTATTCATTACCTAATTCTATAGTCTTGCTAATTAATGATAATTGTAGAAATATTTTGTTTGTTGTTTACTCAGGATTATACAAGTTACCAGAAACAATAAATAATCGAGTTAAGGCCAGTGTTATGAACAAATAATTAGTGATGATGACAATGATTTCACATACAATTGTTTTATGAAAAAAGCAGCAATGCTTTTAACAAAACAGTTATCTTTGTACTGCTTGTTTCTAGAACTCTTCTTTGGTAAAAGAAAGTAAATATATATCCTTACTCTGATTGCTAGCGGCAGGCACCATGGTGCCACTTTCCTCTAATCTAGAGGATCGGTCCATCAGTGTAGGGGTTGGCATCTGTGGCTGGGGATCCACACTGACCGGGGCCACTGTGGCACTCATTGTTGTGTTTTAGAGTCCACTGAAGTTATCTCATCACTTCCTGAAATCAATTCAATTATATTCCATTTTTCAAAAACATCTTTTTTCATTGTTGCCTTTATCAATGTTTATCAATATCTTACAGAAAAACAAATAACAATGACCACTGATGGTTTGATCTCTGTACTGGACAACACTGAAGTAAAGATGTTCATATAGTTTCTCACATAAAGCACTGCCTGATGACTAGATACACAAAAGGAAGTGATCATGTAGCACTGTATCACCCCTATATGGAAAGTAAAATATGGAGGAGTCATCTTGTGGAACGTACTTTTAAAACTCAAATTTAAAAAAAGTATAACTGTTGGTTGGATCATTATTTTTAACTGGATAACCAAGTTCTACTTTTATGGGAGAAAAAACAATATTGTATTTAATGCACTGAAGGTTGGTGCTTTGTTCTGATGATTTGTGAGACCATCCCACATACACTTTTTCACTTGACTTTACATTTGGTTAAGTAGTAAATCCCTGAACCCCAAACTAATCTTATATATAGCATCATTGGTGATTGTTTCTTATTATGAAATCTTATCTCACCCTCAAATGGTTGGGGAAAACATTTTGCTCGATTTTTTTGTTGTTTACACATAGTTCCTTTAAATGACAGCTACCTAAACATATGTGAGTCTGAGATAGACAAACCAGTGATTGATAAGGTGAACGACCATTCACGCTGAACGGGTACGTTGACAGGCTATCAAGTATAAAGCATCCAGTCTGGCCAGCATAGGGAGTTGGGGACATAATTATATTCTTCCCGGAAACCAAATCTGGATAATTTAACGAAATCTTGTTGATCTGTTAAAATGTGTCACTTACAATTCGACAAGTATAATGTTCTACAAATGAATAAACAGAAGTTACCAACGATCAACTTCATAACCTGCTGATAACATAACACTTGAGTCTTGACAAAGATCGATCTCTCATCTTCTTATTTCCTGGTATTTCAAACCATTAAAAAGCAAAATGGATTTTGGGCTACATCAGAATGATATATATCTGTTAAATCAAACAGTATAGATGCAAATCAAACAACACAGATAATATAATACAACGTAAACATACTTCTGACGGGTACAGAAATCAAGCTTCGGCCATTTTGGTTTATACGTCGCCATGGACAGCGGAAGCGGAAGTAGAAGTAGATTCAAAGATGGCTTCCAAAGAACACGTGAAAGCATTACCAAAAGAAATTAAGGAACTGCTGAAAAAATACCCCGTTTTAGAACATGTGCAAGATACAAATAAGGTAAGCTTGGTTTACACTTGTCAAATGTTGGAACATTGGGTAGTTCAGTGCTTTTATCACTGCATAGTTTAGACAAGTTGTCGTCTTATCGATGATATTTTCTCAGTTTTATGTCATGAATTTCTTGTATTGACAGTAATTGAGAGAACATAATTACTTGTACAATACTGTCAATTCGATTTACTTATAATTACGGAATATTTGTGATGTTGTTCCAGAATTTGATCTAAACAGAATGTTACGACGACGATAACCAAGGGAGACAACTTTTGCATGAATGTCAATGTAGTAAAAACAGTAACAGGAACAAAACTAACGGGAAAATGTCACAGGAAAAAAGTAACAGTTTTGATATAAATACTTATATAAACACTTAATTAGGATTGGGATGAGCTTTGATCATCTTATGTAAGTTGTTGTTGTTACTTGTTTTTACTGAGCAACGTCTCACCCACTCAGCTTGCTTGATAGTATAAAGAACTTTGCTAAGTAAACTATTCATCTGTTAAAACAAATCTCTACTGAGCAATTTCCTTGATTGTCCTTCTCACCTACTCAGCTGGGGTTGGCCAGAACATTAGACTCAATAAGAACATTTAGTTAGAACTGAGAACATTGCTTATGGATGCAAAAAATGTGCTTGTAATTGTTTTGTTATACTTTGTTAATAAATAAGAAACAAACAACTGAAAAAGTGTTTTTTTTTCCTGTTACTTTTTTTCGTAGCAAAATCTGTTACTTTTTTCCGTTTCTTTTTTTCCTGTTACTTTTTCCCGATCACCCTTTTGCAAGCATATTACATGTATATATCTTGTTCTTGCAGATAAAATGTACATTGAGTGGGCATGAGATGCCCTGCAAGGCAGATATTGTGTCTGGTTACGTGAATGGAAAGAAGTTCATCAAGTTGTATAAAGATAAGGAATATAACTATGACAGATTAAAACCACATCTTGTTCCAAGCTCAAAGAAACATCATGAGTAAGTCTGATCTAATTGCATTTATTTTCTTTCTGCTACATGTTCATTGTGTAGCAAGGCCTGTGGTCATCCCACAGATGACATCCTTACCTTGTCAGCTTGCTGACAGGCTTTACCTCTTTGGTCATGTGGACTAGACGTCGGACTTCGGATCAGAAGATACGTTGTTCGAATCCCAGCACGGGACTCGGGAAATTTTATGGTCACTACATTGGTGCCCAACGTGGGGCAGGGCAGTGAATGTGAAAAGAAGTACAAACATGCTACAGGTGTGAGATATTGCTCCAAGGAGATATATCTGTTAGTTCCACCTCTGTGTATGAGACTGGGGTATTGACCTTCAGTGCTGCACATCAACATATCCGGAATGTATCTGATTCTCTGTCAACTTGTCTGTACCAGGACTGTGTCCAAACTGAGTGAGTGCAAGCTGTTAGACAAAGGGTTAACTTATTGGGTTAGCTTGGCCAATCATTTGAGCACGTCATGGCTTGGGTTTGTTAAGTGCTAGGGGACACATGAACTGCATCTTAACTATCCTTTTAAAATGTTTTATGTGACTCTTTAGTAAACATTTTACAACTACTACTACTACTACTACTACTACTACTACTACTACTACTACTACTACTACTTCTATCCTACCACTAAATATATATACAAAATAGAAAATATTTAGCGATAGGATAGTAAAAATAATAAAATCCATATGTACACCTGTCACACATGTATTAGGACTAACTGATGATAGAGATTGATAATCATGTGTGAAGCCCATTTCTGGTGTCCCCCCACCAGGATATAGCTGGAATATTGCAGCATAAAACCATACTCACTCCAAACTCAATCACTCACTCACTCTGGGTGTAAAAACCTTGGAGTCAACTTTGTGTGCAGACTCTTTCAGTGTTGTCACAACCCCTAGTGTACAGTACACAACCCTGTGCACTTAAAAGAACCCACGAATCCGTTAGTAAATGACCAGACTTGAATATGTGCAAACACCTAGTTTCGGGTACAGCAACGTGCAGTAAACTTGGACAAAGTACTGTGACTATGTCCCAGTCCACACAGCTGTAAATGGGTACCTTGTAAGGATAGGAAAGCCACATTAACTTGGTGCTCCTTGTGGCTGCTTGAGTTGTATGATCCCCAGGGAGTTGAGATTGAAAATACGAAGTGTCGTTGAGATTGACATCCAATGATCAAGGGAAAATCTTAAGTGCTTTGAGCATGCATGTGGTGGGATGGGCATAAAGTGATGGGATGGGCTATAAGACACACACACACATATACACACACACACCACACACACACCACACACACACACACACACACACACACACACACACACAGAGAAAAAATAGCTACTGATTTTGATTCTGATGATTGATGTGTATTGAACAAATATAACAATGATGGATTAAATACCTGATGTATATGTGATATAGATTCATGTCTGGAATACAGTTACCATGGTTACTGAGATTGACATAAGGATGATTTATCATGATTGCACATATTTCATTCCAGGCATCAGTTATTCTGCCTCCTGACCTTCACGCACATCAACAAGACGCCGACAGCAGTCGACCGGCACTTGAAGGGCAGGCGATACGGCAAAGCTTTGAAGAGATGTACGTCATTTCTCAGACTTTTACTTTACTTATATCTTGAGGGTATGAATTAAAATATCCCTTTAAAAAAATGAAGCAACAATATCAAAATACAATCCAAATCGAGCCCAGACCATTCTAAACTTCAGTTCTCAATTTATTCTCTTGGTTGTAGGATTTTTGTAGGCGGTAGGGTGGGCCAATTCCAAATCCTTGTGTTTGGGATGTGGAAATGTTTTCGGCAACCCATGCTTGTCATAAGAGGTGACTAACGGGGTCAGGTGGTCACGCTTGCTGACTTGGTTGACACATCATCATATCCTAATTGCATAGATTGATGCTCATGCTGTTGATCACTGGATTATCTGATCTAGACTCGAGTTTTTACAAACATCTCCTTATGGCTGGAATATTGCTGAGTGTGTCATTAAACAAACAAACATTATACAATTTTGTGTCAGTTGTAAAAGGGAATAAAATTGAACTTCATGCACACAATCACATCAGCCATTTCCTTGGAGACACCTCTGACCTTTGGTCATAATTTTTATCAGATACCTCAGTGCTAAACTTGTTTATTGTACATATGCTGGTTTGGATGTTTCCAGGGACCAAGTGTCAAGAGACAGGAGAAGCGTTCCGTCCATTACGCAAGAGGAAAAGAGAGGAAAATGAATCTAAAGATGGCAAAAGTTTCTATGATTCTGACAGGGATTCTGATGTGGACACAGATGATAGCTATAGCGATCTCTATCCACGTAAGGATACCTACAGTCCGTTTGGCTCAAAAGCAGACCGATGCAATCTAACTCGAAAACTAATAAACATAACATACTCAATGAAACGCTGATCATAATCAAAACATCATACCAACTCTGTGAGGTTTTTGCAGAATTTTTGTCCTAAAAATATATAAGTTGTTTAACAATCTATCATTAAAATATTGACACAGTTCACTGTTTGTTACGAGGGAGGAGTGCAGAGAAAGGGACAGCCAGGTGTTCGAGAAGCACGTTCACAGACAAAGTTATTTGTTCATTAACCTGTGCTGTGCCGTCTCCATCCGTTCTGGCGCTATGTGTGAGACTGTGAATGATGAGAGAGCCAATGTGGGGATTCTGGGCCCAGATTTTGGAAGCTCTCTTAGCTCTAAGATAGTCGTAAGTTAATGCTAATGTATGGCACTTACAACTATCTTAGCTCTAAGAGAGCTTCGAAAATCTAGACCCTGGACAGTTCTCGTGTAAGAGGTGACTAATGGGATTGGGGGCTCACTGACTTGGTTGATGCCTGTCATTGTATCAGATTGATTGTATCATCATTGAGATGGCATGGTCCATTGCCAAAAACATCAATCACTGGATTGTCTGTGTGTCACTGTGTGATTTGATTAACTGGCTGTTGTCATATAGCTAACATATTTCATGTTTGTTGTCAGACTTGATTGTGTGTCATCTTAGTCAAACATAATCTGATGTTCATGATATTGACCACTTGGTTGCATGTGTCAGCCTTGAGTGTTTTCAGGACAACCTTGATATAAGGGCTTAGGGAACATAAACTAAGGTAGAGGTATAGTTTAAGTTGTAGCAGTATCTTGACCTATTACAATCTGCTATTTTAAAGGAATTTAGAAAAATTTAAATTTGACAGAAGACAACTGTTCTATTGAGCTTGAACTTCTGCAGTGTTAGGTGATTTTCATTGACTTTTGATAATGATGTTTTGGAGATTTTACATTTGCTTTCTGAATTATTTTGCAAACAGTTTTTGACATTTTAACAATGTACAGTTTTTGAAATGTGGTGCAGAAGATTTACTCTCCTCAGAAATCTGTGTTCAGTCTGGTTTGTTTGTGGAAGGGTACAAGGAATTTTGTTATCTCTCACAAATGTGTACCGGTACATAGCATTTTATGTCATGCGAACCAGTCAGGTTTCAACATTCTGGAATTAGGGGTACAATACCAATCTATGTCGCCCTTGACAACTAAAGACATGCTTTCCTGTAAGATGTGACCGCCTCCGTGGTGTAGTGGTTAGAGCGTCCGCCCGAAGAGCGGAAGGTCGCGGGTTCGATCTCCGACCACGTCATACCAAAAGACGTTCAAAAATGGTACTTGTTGGTCCCTGTCTGGCGCTCGGCATTAATGGGTACAACAAGGACTGGTCGGCTCGGAGTCAGTATAATGTGTCTGAGTGGGGTATTCATGCTTCACTGCGGCATGGTATCTCAGTGGGTTAGCACTATAAAACCAGCTTAAGTCTGGGCTAGTACAAGCAGCCGCACATACACACGCATGCACGTCGTCATATGAGCGAAATATTCTCAAGCACGACGTTGAAACCCAATGTCACCTCACCTCCTGTAAGATGTAAACTTTCCAACTGTAATGAGAGATAATGTCAGTTGTATGCATTTGTTGTAAATATTTTGATAACCACAGTTCAATCTCAACTTGCAAATCTTGGGAGGGAACACGATTGGCTGCCATGTCTTGACATGATAGTTATTCTGTGTTCCATAATTCGTCCATAATGTTTCAGCTGAGTATTTCGGCGGAGATGGTCTCAACTCGGACTTCGAGTGCGATGTGGAGGATGATGAAGAGGCAGCAGCAGTAACGTCAGTGAGCAACACAGGCTCAAAAAAGACGTCAAAATGGGTGGGTTAGATCATTTCCTCTAGCTCACCTGACCCGTTGTTTCTTACAATCCTATTCTATTCTGACAGATGGCAAAAAAAGAATTTACATTGCTTTTGCCTCAAACCACATAGATAGGTCTAGTATTGAACAGGTGCTCTTTGATACTTTGGATTTATTCTTAACTGAACTTGGCACATAGATGGATCTGGTGTTATACATGTGCTTCTTGTAACTTTTGGATTACTATGTTTCCATGGCAACAAATGTGATATATTTATTCTTGACAAATATTTAATAATGCAGTGAATATTAGTGACTCTATCCTCTTGTTATTCAGGGGCGGTGGGGTAGCCTAGTGGTTAAAGCGTTCGCTCGTCACGCCGAAGACCCGGGTTCGATTCCCAACATGGGTACAATGTGTGAAGCCCATTTCTGGTGTCCCCAGCCGTGATATTGCTGGAATATTGCTAAAAAGCAGCGTAAAACCATACCCACTCACTCACTCTTGTTATTCCATATATTCAACACAGGAACACTCAGCTAATCATGCCTAATCACTTAGTTGAGATGTTGTATATGTTGAGTTATGTCCTACTTTTCTATGTTTCTTATCAACTGTTTTTAATTGCAGGTCAAACGAAAACAGACCAATAAACACAAGAAGATGAAATCTGGAGAGTAGCATTGGTTAATTGATCAAGCTGTGGTCATTCTTACACGGACTTAGTCTCAGCAAGGCTGGAAAGTTTTGTGAACAATGAAACACAAGGAGGTCGTTTTACTGGGGCTGATGATGAAGCTTTGAAAAGTGTTTCATTCAATGAGGCTGAGGCTGACTGACTAAACACCATGTTGGCTACTAAACTCTCGGTGTCTAAGTGGTTGCAAGTCAGGGCCTTGTGGCAGCAGTGCATTTCTTGATCAGGGTGAAACATGGGTCACTCTTTTATGTAACTTTGCAAAACATTCAAACAGTGACAATCACAGTGCTTTGAAGAGACTGGAATGGTTGTTACAAATGTTCGCAGGTCGACACCAAGATTCATCTTGCTTCTCATGTGCTATATTATGTCCTAATTTGGATACCCATTAAGTCAGTGTGGTTGGGTAGCCTAGTGGTTAGAGTGTTTGCTCGTCACGAGAAGACCAGGGTTCAGTTCCCCACATGGATACGTGTGAAGCCCATTTCTGGTGTCCTCTGTTGTGATGTTGCAGGAATATTGGTAAAAGTGGCGTAAAACCCAACTAGCTCACTCATAAAGTTGAATCATGTTCCTGAGGGAAGTGTCCACTAGCCTGCGTCAAAGCTTCAATTTCCCCCTTGCCATTTTAAATGTAATTTCTTGACTCAGTCCTGTCACCACCTCAGGTTCATCATGATGAAAACATATTGTATGCCATTGCTGTTCTTATTTCGAAATTTACAGACTGCCACCATATAGCTGGAATATTTCTGAGTGCTGCATCACCAACCAACCATTCAATTATTTTCGAAAAGATGGTTACCATAGCACATTGGGATAATTGAAAACTTTGAAAATATTTATCTAGGAATAATTGTTTTTTTAAAAACATAATTTCATGCAATTTGATGGGCAGCTATGGAAATAGAACATTTTTTTGTGACATGGATGTTAATTTTGTAAACCAGACTTTAATTTGGCTATTGATATGTGCCATAGTCACCACATCACATGAAAGGGCAAAGGTGAAAACTGAACTTTGAAGTGGACAATCTTGCCTTGGGAAGATGGTTGCGAATATATTCTGTGACTTCCCCATGAAAACCATTGGCTGAGGTGAGCAACAAAAAAGACATCATGTCATCAATCACTGGATTGTCTGGTCGAGATTCGATTATTTCCAGAATGTCCTCATACAGCTGGAGTATTGCTAAGTTGGCATGAAACAACAAATATAATATGATGCTTGGAGTGTAACCAGTAACAGTTGTAAGACTTAGAGAGTTAAAAGGGGTTAGGGCCAACTGATAAGGTTTGTCAGTGGTGGTATTGAACACCAGGCTGTTACAGACAGACAATGTCGCTTGTTACCATGGCTACATAATTTACAAATGTGTATTTTGTTGTATGTTTATGTACAGCCAACTTATTTTGTTACCCTGGAAGACAGCTCTAAAAACATACTTTTCAGGTGTCCGATGTCATGTTTAGAATTGATCATTTGTAATAAAATTGGTGGAAAAGTGCCATCCCTGGTCTAAAGAATAGACACTTTGTGGAATAAGCTACTTCCAAAACGTCCTTGTCCTGACACTGTACACTTGTCCTATTTGATGCAGAAAAGTGCATCCAGTATCCACAATGTATATAATGGATGCAGAAAAAAACCCATTCATCCCACAATAATATTCTTGACACGATATAAGGTTTGTGTAGTTTATTAAGTGTTGTTTCAGTACCATTTCATTACTTTACAGGAAATAAATGTTTCCTGTTAAAGCTCTTGAAATTAGTAATGGACCCTACTTTTGTTGATCAGGTGAAACCCTGGACTGGTACTGTGCCGTCTCATAACAAATCTTTTACTCCTGTAACATGCCTGTGATATGATCTGTTTCTTGTAGATAATTTAAAGAGCCACTTCTTAATGTTACAAAAAAGCAAGTGTCATTTTTTAAATTAGATGTTTCTGGACACCATCACATTGAAGAAAGATTTGTGTATTGTGTGGCGGGACTGAATTAATATGAAAATTTCCAAACAAATGTTTTTTTGTTGTCATAATTGAAGCAAACGTCTGAATGGGCAGCAAGTTGCTGTAGGGTGGACAAGAGACAACCTTCTGTGGAGAGAATATCAGATCTTCACATAGGTGTATCATACTGGAGTGGAAGATTTTTAATGAGATTGTGAACTGTGCAATCAGTAGAATCTCTTGAACCTGCAATTATTGTTGTTTATATGCAATGAAATAAAGATGTAACACACCTGTACAAAATATGAAGTACTTTTATTCAGCTGCATTTGACAGCTGGACATCAGCTGCTCATGTAGTGCACATACGATGCATACATGGATTGCATTGGAATATCTTACAGATGCAGGAAAGTTGCTTTCCTCCAAGCCTGCTATGTACAAAAGATCACAGGTATACAGCAATGTATGGATAAACATCCTCACCACTGTTGTGATTATAGCACTGTCAACATACATCCATCTTTGAAAGACCATTTCGTAAAGGCATAAAAATTTAGCTTCTCGGCACTCATATCATGTCAAGCGAATTTAAAAATTACATATTGGAACTTTGGAGTGATGCATATGAGTCGAGAGCTTCAATGATCAAAATACCAGTTCATTTTCACAAATTATCAATTTGTAACAACGGAGTTGAACCCTTTTATCACCAACACTTTTGATTGATCATGAAGTGTTTGTGATGGAATCGAGAATATATACATAGGAATCACAGAAAATAGTTTGAACATTTTGTTTCCCTTCACGAAACCACTTTGATTAACATCGTTTCATAATCTGTGAGCAATGGAAAACAAGCACCATTTCTTTAATTTGTCTTGCCTGGAAACTTCCCCTAACTGTACCAGATTGGTACGGGATACAGGGATATTGTTGAAAGTTTCATGGAATCGATGCTCCATGCAGTATTTGAGCTTGTCTGTTGTCAAATGTTATTTCAACCTGAATGTTGAACAATATTTGGATCGCATTCAAAATAATTTACGTTTCAAGAAATTAGTTCAATATAATCTGCAATTAAGAATCTACTTGGTCTTCGTTGGAAGATCTGTCAATGATTGTGCTGTGTAACAACTCCCACATTTCATGGAGTATGGATAAACACACACACACCAACAAGTCCAAATGGCTTGTATCCATGGAGACTGAATCTCTTCACCACACTCCTGTTTGAATATCGAACACATACTGAGATCAGACTCCATGACCATGGAATGCTCTCGGAACTGTCCACATCGAGATTTCAATGACTTCAGTGGGTGTATAACATTCTTTGGGTTTTCCTGGATGCATTACAGTTCTGTGAATGAACAGTGATGATTAAATACACTTTTTGGTCCATGTTCTTTGGAGATGAGTGACTTAGTCCCACACTATGTACTGACAGATGCACAAGTCGAGCTGCTACCACAAGACTTGTGTAATACTAGACACAGCTGCCCTATCTCAACACTGCTGAGATTACATCAGTGTTGATGATGATGATGATGATTCTGAAAGACTGGATGAGATACATGCTGACAGACTTCTCTAATTGTCATGTATCTTGTATAGTGGTGCTGACTGTCATTAGCAGTTTCACATTTCCATTTTGCTTTCATATCCCATTCTTGTGTCATTCTTCATTATGGCTTTTTTATGAACTCGCATCTTGTTCTTAGCATTCATCAAACATTGAATATCAACTGTAACATTCCTTCGGAATACAGTAACATGTCTGTAACATCACTGACATCACTGTGATGCATCAACTGATCCAATGTCCTGATGGTGCGACCCGTTTCCTCGGCACCAGTGACAGACTGCCTGTTGCCAGGCTCAGGTTGGCCCTTACTACGCTGCATGGGCTGATAGTCATGGGTTCGGGGGACCGTTAACACCCGGATGTAGAAAGTTACAGCTATTGCCAAACCTACAGCCTCCTGGTTGGACGAAGTGCCTCCAGTGTCGACAGACAGGTCGTGTTCGTGGCCCTGGAAACAGCAAACAGATCAGTTATGACAACAAATCGCTGATACTAAGTAAAATACAAGGTGCCTTATACAGCCCAAACATTAACATTGCTAATAAACAACAGCCAGAATTGGGAATTGTTTCATTCCAATTTTGGATTTTTTACTGACATTTGTAGCAGAATTTGGGCCAAATATCATCTCTAATCCCTGTTGCCTTGGCTTGTTTTGGAATAGAACACATACCTCCTCGTCCTCCTCTTCCTCTCATCATGCGAGGAGGCATTCCTCGAGGTGGTCCTCCCCTCATGAAGGGCATCCCGCCTCTGCCTCTCATTGGTGGCCCATGTGGAGGTCCACCCATCATGTTCTCCCCCCAGTCATCACTCTCTCCAGGACCACCTGGCCCCCGGGACCACCCATACCAGGGCCAGGACCACCCATACCAGGGTTGGGTCCACCCATACCTGGGCCAGGGCCGGGACCGGGACCTGAAACACACAAGGACACCATTAAATGATGATCACATGATGCAAAAATTGGGATCACATGAAGCAAAAACGGGAATCACATGAAGCAAAAATGGGGATGACACAACACTAAAATGGTGATACATAACTGTTGACCATATGAAACAAAAATTAAAAGAAAAACTATGTGTGACCTTCTTAGATGACATCAACATCTTTGTGAAGCACTTTAACGTTCAATAAGCTTCTACCAAGCTCCGAAGAGAAAGTACTCCTGGATTTCAATAGATCAGGACCAACTGAAGACCTGGGGCTCACCTGGAAATCGGGGTGGCATGGGTCCCCCCATCGGTGGGAATCCTGGGGGTGCTGTTCCCAGTAGGCCTGGTCTGGCACCCGGCATCATGGGTCCATGAGGTCCAGGTGGACCATTCTCGGGACCAAATCCCTGCATAAAGTCTGAAACAAAGCAACATAACAACATTGGACAACACTGTTTTCTGTTAAGTAGCAGAGATTCCCGCAATCTATTTCTCAACATGAAGAAGACATCAGTGAAAATATCACCTCAGCGATTCAGATTAGTGTATAATCTGGAACACGAACTGCCAGTAAAAATATCCTTACTACATTTTTAAATTTTGTAATGGTACTTAAGACTATCCTTTCAAACTATGACCGTGTAATTAAGCCCCAAAGACATCTGTCTCCAGTGAAATCCCTGCACTTACCAGGAAGTTGTTGTTTGAACGGCTCCAAAGCATGTCGTAGATTCTCAGATAATTCCCCAGTCTTTCCTTCGGATCCCGCCTTGAAACAGAAGGATTATCATGAGAAAAGATGTCCGTTAGAGACAACATGATTACAATTGTGAAGAATCATATACGACGACTGAAGTAAATTCATTGACGACTGTATAAATGCTGTTTTATGCTGCAGTTTGCAGCAGCTCAGCAGAAGTTAAACAAATGTTTCACTTGAAACTTGGATTTGTCCAATAAACCAGTAACGTTATCTAGCCTGAAAACAGACATTGAAACACTGCAAATATAAGCTAAAAACAAAACTACAGTGAAACCTGCCAACACCAGCACCTGTCTAATCCGGCACATTGTCAAAACCGGCATAAAATTTTGGTCCCGCCATTTTACAATGACATTATAATCATTAAAACATTGCCTAATCCTGCACCTGTCTATTCCGTATTCCGGCATGACAACACTGTCTATCAGCAGTCCAATTAAGGACCCATAATCCAATACACTAATTAATCCTCTTGTCACGCTAGATAACCAGGAAGTAGTGATTGCGCGGTGAATCAAACGCTCTAAGCCGGCATGGGTATTAGCAGTTCAATCAAGGTCCCTTAATCCAATATACACTCCTCTTGACATGGTAGATTGAGAGATTGACGAGTGTAAATGGCAGCCATGTTGGAAAATGATTGTCACTGTCTAAGCTGGCACCCTGTCTAAACTGGCATTTTATTTCGGTCCGTGGGGTGCCGGTTTAGACAGGTTTCACTGTATGACACCAACATCAAATACATCACCATTGAATAACCATTTCTTTTACATCAGTATAGCATATCCATTTTTCTTTGGAAAAGAAAAACAGTATTTTCAGCCACCATCACCAGTGTATGTCTTTTAGCCTGGCAGTTCAACCAGTGGTTGATGTCATGAGCAGTGATACCAACATACATTTGACCAGGTCATACATTGAAACCAATCAGAGGTGAGGTGAACTTTGGTTTAACGTCGTGCTTGAGAATATTTCGCTCATATGACGACGTGCATGCGTGTGTATGTGTATGTGCGGCTGCTTGTACTAGCCCAGACTTAAGCTGGTTTTATAGTGCTAGCCCACTGAGACACCATGCCGCAGTGAAGCATGAATACCCCACTCAGACACATTTTACTGACTCCGAGCCGACCAGTCCTTGTTGTACCCATTAATGCAGAGCGCCAGGCAGGGACCAACAAGTTCCATATTTTAACGTCTTTTGGTATGACGCGGTCGGGGATCGAACCCGCGACCTTCCGGTCTCTCCGGGCGGACGCTCTAACCACTACACCACGGAGGCGGTCCGAAACCAATCAGAATAAGTATCAGTTACAAACATTCCACCTTGAAACTCCCTTGGCAGCCTTGACTTACCAGATAAGAAGCAATGATATTCTGGATATTTGCCAGCGCTGTGTTGGTGGCATGCTGTGCAGATGGATCCTGCTGTTGCTGTTGGATGGAAGCCAGCACATTGGCCAGCTCCGGCGGCAAGCTGTAGGGGTCAACATTGATGGGTGGTGGTGGTTGTTGCTGTACCGTTGTTTGGGGGTACAGGTTGTCGTACGTGTAACACAGTTCCTCTCCGGCATTCTCCTGTAAGTGAAAACAAGCGTACAGCTCATTGTGGACAAATGGTACATGGAACAATGTATAGGAAGAACACAACCCCTTCCTGATTTTCACAAGTCTCAAGACCTTTATTGTGTAATGCTGTAAGTAATTTACTGAGATATTTTTATTTAAATTTCATCGGCACCATTTCAGTCATACAGAATTTAGTCAGGGGCAGACAACTGTTGTATAATACTGTACTCAGCAATTTTCCAGCTATATGTCTGTAAATAATCGAGTCTGGACAAGACAATCCAGTGATCAACATAATGAGCATCAATCAAGGATACAATAACATGTATCAACCAGGTCAGCGAGCCTGACCACCCGATCCTGTTAGTTGCCTTTTACGACAAACATGGTTTGCTGAAGACCAATTCTAACCCGGATGGTCCATATTGTTGGCACAAGCAGAGATTGGTTGCCGGGGTTAATTCAAAGATGGGATCAAATTAAAATGAATGCCTTCCACAGAGATGTAGCCAATAACAATTTAAAACAGATAATATTGTCACTGACTTTCCGACACCAAATAACACTTATGTTCTATTTCCCCTCCTGCTGATGTAAATCTCAAGTATGATACTTACGTCTTCAAGGGGAATGATTCTTGGTTGTGAGGGTTCAATCGACTCCAATTCTGGTTCGCTGGGAGAATCTGGCACCCTGCATTAACAAGAGACAACAATGTCACGCTGCTGTCATCACCGAATACGGCGCTAAATTCCAGTAAATGATATTTTCCAATCATCAGAAGTATCATTTCTTATATTAGGCAGTAACTTTTAAGTGTTTACATTGAAAGTATAATTCCTTAAACATAAAACACATTTCTATCTCTTGATTAAAAATCTTATAGTATTTTACTGAGATTATCATTTTCTTCAAATTGAAACATACTCTTGAGGAGTGAGTGAGTATGGTTTTACGCCTCTTTTAGCAATATTCCAGCAATATCACGGCAGGGGACAGCAGAAATGGGCTTCACACATTGTACCCATGCGGGGAATCGAACCTGGGTCTTCTGTGTGACAAGCGAATGCTTTAACCACTAGGCTACCCCTCCCAACGCCCCTACTTTTGAAGAAATAACAACCATACACACTTTAAAGGATTTTTCTGTGTCTGAAAAGGAATGCAAGAAAACATAAATGCAATACAACTACTTACATAGTCTTTGAGAAGAAAATAGCCTGCAGAACCTTCTGTTCTCTGGCCTTTTGAATCTCCTTCTCAGTGCTGTTGGCGCCAAAGTCAAAGGTTGTAGCATCATCAAAGATTGGGGGGGTTCGCCACTGCAAAGACATACCAAAACTTAGAAACAAAAGGAAACCAATAATAAAGGCATTTTTTTAATAAAAAAATGTATATGTACATGGACAGTGTATGAGACAAATTTCAAAAGAAATAGTGACTGAGTAAGTGAATAGCGTTGAAAGCCACTTTGATCAGTATTCCAATTGTATCATTGTCTCAACTTTGTAAATGTTACCTTACGATTGTCAATTCATTTTCAGGTATTTTCAATTATTCTTTGAATATAAAAAAACCCAACGTAGATTCTAACTGAAGTCACACCACAATTAATGCTGGAATGCACTTCCAAATAGTTGATACCGGGTTATCACAAGTCATTATTTTATTATCAAGGTACTCACCGGAATTGCCTCAACCATGTTGTCGTTAATTAATCTTTTAGCACTTTCCATGGCCTGAAATACAAATACAAAAACATAACAGATAGGAATAATTTGTCAAAATGAATATGAAAATAATACTGTGCTACTTTATTCAGCTTTAAAAGGAGGCATAAGCAAAAATGCGGTCTCTGTAAATTTTAATGTCAGCGAACTCGACATCTTTATTTGTCAACTCAAGCTCAGGACAGTGCCCATCCTGTGCCCACACAGCATTGACACAAGCATTTTACTTCTAAAGGATCAATGATAAAGAATCTCACCTTTCTATCCATCATCATTTCCTGCTTCTTCAGCATGTTGAAGGAGTCCTTGGGGCGGTTCACGTTCACCCTTTCAGTTTCATCCAAGTCAAAGTAGAAGAATTCCCGTATTCTGGACTCGTCAGCCCAGGAGACGTTCTTCTTGGGTTTCCGCCTCTTTGTGCTTCCTGTTGTCAATAACGACTTTGGCTCCTGTGTGGAGTACTCGGGGAGATCCTCTATCGGCTCCGCATTGCTCTCAGCTGGCAACAAATCACAGACATAAATATTTCAATTTCAAAATACCCCTAATCCATGGCAATGCAGTATTCAAATTCAGTTTGGGGGGAGTGTGTCATTGAAGTTTTCTGTAATAACTGAATCCAAAATACTCATCTGTTACAATCAGGATTACAGATCAGAATCACCTTATTTCTGCTTAATTTCGAACACAGCAATTAGTTAAAAATGTAAATATGTCAACGAACAACACTAAATCAATTTATGAAAAATGTCCGAAGCCTTTCATTATATATTCATAAAAGCTATTGAAAAGTTTAAAAAACAAAGAAAGCTATCTACAAATGCTGATTCAGCCACTAGAATTGAACATACTTATTTTCTCAAGGCCTTCTGTAAAGTCGTGCTCATGGTTTGACATTTCTCCTTCCAGTTTGACTACTACTGATTTCATATCCACGTCTTCGGTATCCATGTTCTCCTCAGGGGATGGTGATCTCTTGTCATCCTTGGTGTCTTCTGCTGTTTCCAGTGTGTCTTTGTAAAACTGATGAGGAAAGACAAATATCTGTCACTACAGTATGCAATACACGACTCAGGCAATGCACAACTCGGTATTTGCAAATACAAGTAAAATCAGAGGGAGACCCACCATGGCCATATCCACAAATTAAAGGCCTAAAGCCCCACCATCCAAAACTTTGTTCCCTCTTCGTGTTAATCAAGAAAATCTCATACGATCCAACAAGCATATTGTCTAAGTTAAAAGTCTAAAAGCTCCTGGGGCTGTGGTGTAGCCTTGTAGTTGAAGTTTTGCTTGTCATGCCGAAAACCTCGGTTTGATTCCCCATGCTGGAGAAATATGTGAAGCCTATTCTCATGTCCCCTGCCGTTATATTACAGAAATACAGCAAAAAGCAATTAAAACCGTATTCATTTACTTGCTTAAAAGCACCACCATATATTTCCAGTCCAAATGCATTATGTAGAGGGTAATGTCCGAGTAACTCTCCATTCCGTAAAAATAATGGAGCCGAGGCCCATTATTTTTAAGGAATGGAGAGTTATGAGGATATTACCCTACTTAAATTACATTCAAAGTATTGGTAATATTTCTGTTATCAAAATTAAATGTCAAAATGACAAAATGAAGTCTTAAATTTGAAACTGGTACACATCGCTCCATTCAATGGAATGATGTCGCAAATGTAATTTAATTCCAGTTAATGTTAATCATGAAAATTTCATACATTCCAAAATGTTTGCAATGCTAAGTGACCGACCTTAGAGTATTGCTCTGTACATTTGGAAGAAAATAGATTCAGAGGTCCGACATGAAATAAAGAGACTTTGTTAATACTTACGGACGGCACGGAGGGCAGTTTCTGAGCTAGAGCTGTTGTGGGACTAGGTGGGACTTGCGAAGTGGGTGATGTGTTTGACATCGTGGGTGAGGTTGGCGATGTTGGGATTGTATTTGGCTTCCCTGGGGAGATCTTCTTCCTTCGCTTCACAGCATACGATGTAGGTTTGGTTATTAAGCTGTCCATGAAGCCACTGCTTTCATGAAACTCTGGAGCTGTAGACAAAATAATCATGGATTACACCAAAATACACCTCTTCAAGCAATAGAACATGACAGCAGTGATGTATTCTAAACTTGTCCCAATCTTTCAAGCATTTACTGAAATGATAATCAGAGAAGTATTTTTACACCACAGTGAGCCATTTTCCAGCCTTTAAATATTCAGAGTCAGGGGTGGAAATAACCCATTGCCCGACGTCCGAGTCCAGTGTTTTTTGCTGTCGGGCAAGCAAATTTGTATATCACACTGTACCGGTGTCCAGTTGACTTTCCAATGTTAATTATGTTGTTTATTTTTAAAAATCAACAAGAAAACGGCCGGTATAGTGGAAAACTATCAGGTCAAGAGATTTTACGTGTGCCACTGTTCCGGAGTACACTAGCAATTTTAAAGTTATTTCCACCCCTGAGAGTCCGAGCCAGAGAACTACTAGTATCAAATAATGGAAGCAACAATCTCTGTAACTAAGGATATATACCACAGACTGCATGGACGCCCCATAGAAAAGAAATATCCAATGCGGATAATGCCAGTTACATGTCATAGTGACTAAAAGAATTATCACCTAAAAATAAAACAAACATTTGTAAGATCAGTACATCTGTCCGATTACAAAGCCAGACAAAAAGTGATTGATTTAATGTAACAGGGGTGGAAATAACTTTAAAATTGATAGTGTACTCCGGTACAGTGGCACATGTAATGTCACTTGCCCTGATAATTTTTCCACTATACCGACTGTTTTCTTGCTGATTTTCTAAATAAACAACATAATTAACATTGGAAAGTCAACTGGACACCGGTACAGTGTGATATACAAATTTGCTTGCCCGACAGATAAAAACACTGGACTCAGACTTCCGGCAATGGGTTGTTTCCACCCCTGTGTAATTAATATGAGAGAGACTCACGTTTTTTAGGTGGAATGAGTTTGATTCTGCCATGTATCTCTGTCGGAGATATTGCAGCACGAGAATTCAAAGTGGAAGCACTTGACAGCGATGGCATGTTTAATGTGAGGCGGGGTTTCTTCTCAGGAAGTTCTTCAGTCTTTGACTCTTGACTGTAATAAAATTAAATAATGTAAGAAACTGTTATGGATTTATCTATGCAATCCTGTTATTAATTTCCCACAAAATCATTGCAATTCAAAGACCTCTCCACATTCAAATATGAAGTTAAGGGGAAGTAATTTGTAGTGTCCTTTCAGAGTTATCTCCCTTGCAACATACCTCACAAAAACGGGAGAAAGCTCCCATACAAAATGCATGTTGTAAATCTTTCATGACACTTCATTGCATTTTTCATGAAATTTGATGCAAATTAAATGTTCTGCTATTGTTATAAATGATTAATTGTACAAAAGTAATCCTATCAGATTTGGTATTCTTCAAAATGATCAGAACATGTTGCCATGTGTGATCACTTAACCTGTCTGTATAACCCTATGTTAACTATTTTTTGGGTAGTTTTTAGTCTTTTTTTATCAGCTCACTATTTGTGCTTAAACTAGAATCTGTTAGCAAGTTTCTTCACATGGGTCTTGCCTTAATATTTTCTTGTGCATGCAGGTTTATATAAGACCAAAATTTCAGATGATCAATTATGACTCCTTTGAGTGGCATTTAGAAGTTGGTGTGATGAACCACGAGGAGTTCTATGGATATACAACTTCTTTAATACAATACGAGCGACGTTTCGGTGTAGCTACTAACTCCGTAATCAAGCATGTATTCAAGGATCTTTTACTTCCAATAATTTACAGTTCCTGATGTGTATTTAACTTATGGTTTTAAAGAGGGTCAAGATAAAGATCTAAACTGTTCATAATTGTTTTCAACACACTGCCCATTGACTAATACACAAGCCTCTCAAAACAAAGCCAATATATGACAAAACTGATGTCTTGTAGACATGTCAGTGATTGAAATGCTCTCAATCTTGATGAATTCAAATACTTACACAGAACGCTTAAGCAAAGGAACTTTATTTGTTTCTTGAGACTTCTTTTTAACAGGGGCAACTGTCTTATCTTCACCGATGCCAGTCGACCGAAATTTGGCAGCAAATGTTTTCACAGTCTTTGGTCGTTTTTTGGCATCCTCCTTACTAGCGTCTTTATCTGACTTAGAATCAGGTTTATTGTTCTGCCCTAGCCTGTCACTATGATCACTGGAGTGGTTGGAACCATCCTTATCCCCCTCCTTATCACTGTGATGATGGGACTTCTCCTTCCTCTCCTTACTGTCCTTCCCGTCCTTTGTCTCTTTATGTTTGTCCTTCTTCTTCTTCTTGTTCTTATCTAAAAATAATATGTTGTTTGTTGTTAAAGGTGAAATTGGGTTTAACGTCGTGCTTGAGAACATTTCGCTCATATGACGACGTGCATGCGTGTGTATGTGTATATGCGGCTGCTTGTACTAGCCCAGACTGAAGCTGGTTCTATAGTGCTAGCCCACTGAGATACCATGCCGCAGTGAAGCATGAATACCAGCACACAGCTACATGTATATTCAAGCTATATGATGGCTGTTTTTGTTTTGATTTGTTCATTCTTTATTGCCGCACAAACATATTCCAGCAATAAGGTGGTGATTTGTAAAGTTATTGTGTCTGGACGAGACAATGACATGCATCAACCAAGTCGGCGAGCCAGGATAGCTGTTCTCGAAACATTGGTAGCCCTACAAACTTATTATGGCTACGAACATTTCGAGAATAAGGGCCCTGGCCCTTGATCCTCTTATGACTATACTGAGTTGCTAAAGACCAGATATAACCCTGATCTTCACGGGTCAGTCTGTAAATAATCACCTTCCAGGTGATCTTTGACCGACATCATTGGCATCAATGTGCGTAATTGGTACAAGATTACTTGCATTAACAAAGACCATCTGATCCCATTAATTAATTCAAATTACAATTATTAATGACATTTACTGCGGATTTGGAAGCCAATATCAGAATTTGAGCAGGTCTAATAATCTACATAACATAAGGTTTTTCAGCTCTACAAATATAAAATGAAATAAAGTCATAAATAGACCAGTAAGTTGAGACGTCTCCAATATTTAAACTCACCATTTTCATTTTCTGAATTGCTATTTCTCCCACGGATCTTCTTCATCCAACTTTCAACAATATTAGTTGACAAGATTTTTATCTCTGTAAAAATATACATTGCATTACTAAATCATGTGTTATTTTATTCATTAACGTACATGAGAGTGGTTTTAACCCAATGCAGCAGTAATGTCAAAGTGCATATGTTTTAACTTGTCACAATTTACTAAATTGGTTTGTTTGTCTGTTTAGTTCAGTACTCAGCAGTGTTTCAGCTATAACATCATGGTCATTAAATGGGTCAGGACACACACAATCCAGTGATTGACATCATGAATGTTTCTTTATATGATATGACATCCCTGTAGTCTTGTAAGTGAAGTTCCATTTGATCCATTTTGCTGTTTTTACAAAAAAGGAAACATTGTCATTGCATCCAGCCAGTGTAAATGAGAAGTACCAAGATGACCATGGTTCAACTTACTTTCATCCTCAGACTTGCTGAGCTGTTTGATAAGCTTAGCTGCATTATTCTGCTTGAGTATTTGAATGGTGACTGGAAGGTTCTGGTAAAGCTTGAGCATTTCTATGAGGAGAGGCTTGTTGTCCTCATCCTTGCACTCCTGCAGCCAGGAGTTGAGGGTCATCCAGCCATCGCTCTCCAGCAGCCTGCAAACAATCATCTTCTGTCTACAACATTCTTTGTTTGAGTGAGTGAGTTGGGTTTTATGCCACTTTAAGCAATATTCCAGCAATATCATGGTGGGGGAAAACAGACCAGCAATATCATGGTGGGGACACTAGAAATGGGCTTCACACATTGTACCCATGTGGGGAATTGAACCTGTGCCTTCAGAGTGACTGCCTGAGTTAATGCTTTAACCACTGGACTTCCCCCTTCACCCCTTCTTTACGAGAGGGTGAGTATAATTTTACATCATTTTGGAAATATTTCAGGCATATCTTCGTGGAGCATACCTGAACATGGGCTTCACACATGAAATCTGAGTTGGGTTTGTTTGTTGTTTTTTACGCCGCACTCAGCAATATTCATGCTATACGGAGGCGGTCTGTAAATAATCAAGTCTGGATCAGACAATCCAGTGATCAACAGCATGAGCATCGACCTTCGCAATTGGGACACAATGACACGTGTCAACCAAGTCAGCAAGTCTGACCACCCGATCCCGTTAGTGGCCTCTTACCACATGCATTGGTTGATGAAGACCAATTCTAACCCTGATCTTCACAGGTCTATATATAATACAGGCAACTATACACTGGTGTGGTTTTCCATTTTTGCATTCAGAACTCTCCAATCATAGTAGTTTCTGAGATACTGAAATCAGATACACTCACTTGCATTGATAATAGAAAGGCCCATTACTAACTGATTGGTGAGGACGTTCACCTGATGCAACGATCAATACAGGTTTCCTAAGATCTTTACTCAAAGTGAGGTGAGGTGAAATTGGGTTTAATGTCGTGCTAAAGAATATTTCGCTCATATGACGACATGCATGCAGGTGTATGTGTATGTGCGGCTGCTTGTACTAGCCAAGACTGAAGCTGGTTTTATAGTGCTAGCCCACTGAGATACCATGCCGCAGTGAAGCATGAATACTCCACTCAGACACATTATACTGACTCTGAGCCGACCAGTCCTTGTTGTACCCATTAATGCCGAGCCCCAGACAGGGACCAACAAGTACCATATTTTAACGTCTTTTGGTATGACGCGGTCGGGGATCGAACCCGCGACCTTCCGCTCTCCGGGATGCTCTAACCACTACACCACGGAGGCAGTCTTTACTCAAAGTGGTATCACATCAGTGTACACAATCAAACAGAATAGACAGTGAAAATATGCTGAACATTGACCAAGAAACAAGAATCCACTTACCTGGATAGAGCATCCTCGGACTGGGTAGCTTTCAGGATGTTGATGTAGATACACTTTCCAACCTTCTTGACAGCATCTTTCATCAAACTGAAATATCATCAGCACAACATTAACATTGCTGCAGCTTGAAATCAAGTCTGCTAAAATGTGTAAATATCTGATATACTTCCAACCAAAACTATTCTGAAATCATAACTGCGAATGTTATCCCATTGTCAGCAATATTTCAGCCGGACTGTGGACTGTGGACGGTAATGAAGCAGGGCAAAGCAAACCAGTGGTCGACAGCATGAGCATTGACCCATGTCAGGGAACGACGGCTCACAACAACCAGTGGTCATTTGCTGGAACAACCCATTTCAGCTCTGAATGTCATCAAAGATATGATAGCATAGGAAGCCTCAAACATTCTGTGCAAAATCCCTACAACATTCTGCTATGTAACTGCCATGTTAAATATTTTGCTGCAAAATCCCAGGTGAGTATTTTACAGTTAAATCCTTACAAGAATATTTTGAAAATCATTCCATGGTGAATGATAAAAAGTGTACCCGATATTCTTGCTGCTTCGTCAGGTCCTTTAATTCCTCCCGTGCGGGTCAACAATGGACTGAGAGCACTCAGTAGCTGCTGTGGATCTAACGGCCCCTGACAACATGAACAACTGTAGTGTTAACATCAGGGACACTGGAATACACGCCACTTGTTTCTCTTGCACCACTTTACTGCACTAAACACTGTTTAGCAAATTCTGAAGTTTAATCTAAAACAGCACTTATAAGAAGAATTGCACATGGATTCTTTTAAAGAATGTGCAGTTAAGTTTCAAATATGTGAGATTGTTTTACAAGTAGGTAATGGTTATTTTCATTTCACATGTCACATTACAAGTAAAACTTCCTTTACATTTCTGGGATTAAATCCCTCTGTCTTGGCATCAGCTGTAAATGTTTGTAGGAACGTTTTGATAACAGGTCGTATCTTGTGGCTAAATCAAGAGAAACAAGACGTTTACGACTGTCAAGAGTTTTGTGTTTTATACTTTCTACTCATATATTTTTAGTATAGCTTGCTTATCAATGTTCCATGAGTATCTTAATAATATCATTGCATATACTTGTTTTGAAAAACAGTGAGTTTGGTTTTACGCTGCTAATCCAGCAATATCACGGCAGGTTTTAAAAACAGACACATCACTGAAGAAAACCTTGTATGTTGTTAACACTATAAAAATGACAAAGAAAATTAATAAAAGTTGCGATCAGCATTGATGTTCAAAGATTCTGCTAAACAACTAGGTCTAGATACCAGGGCTCGATTTAAGAGATGTTAACTTACTTGCACTGGGTGCAACCTAAGATAAAAACCTACTTGCACCAGCCCAATTCCAGTTGCATTGCTTTTATTGGAATATGTAATGAAAGAAATATGCTATGAATTATTTAGATGTTTTATTCAGAGGTTTACCCACTCAAAATTGACTTGCCCCTGGTGCAAGTTAGACTAATAACAAGGTTGCACTTTGTAATATTAGGTTGCACCAGTACAAGTATCAAAGCACTAAATCGAGCCCTGGATACTGACAATAAAATTTAACGATTTCAACATAATGTGATGCCATCTTAAGGTAAAAACATGCAAGATAAATTTCAGTTTTGTAAGTTTAGCATTTCCAAAGCAGAAGTTACAGATCCAAATATGCATTTCGAGAGAAATTTATGAGCATGGCCAAAAAGAGATAAAACAAAAACAAACTAAAACAGAACAAAATAAACAAAAGGAAAAGGTGTATGTTCAGCCCAATTACAAACTACTTACAGCTGAGTTTTGATAACAGGTTTTTCAAAATGGCTGCTGTGGCGACCATATTGAATATTATTATGGCTGCTCTTGCAGCCATATTGAAAATGGATTCATCACTGGTGGGAACAATACTGAAGTTGCAGCTTATGTTTAGAGGTTTCTGAGAGGATGCATATAAAGGATGTCATAGAAGTGGATAATAACAGAAACTCACTGGAGTCTTTGTCGGGTGAGCAAAAAATGGACCTGTTTTAGAAGTCATGATCATTACATCTCCAGTCAAGTTTGTCCACAACTATTTAACATCCAAGCAAATATTTCAAAAATTATGTTGAAAAAATTAGTATGGTGGGTTTTTCACTAATTATTGGGACACTTTCCTGTCTGAAGTTGACAATATCACACAAAAAAGGGTAAAACATTCCAATGCTTTAATACCTTATATTTTCTGTATTCTCTACTGGAATTAAATCAAGAATTCCTTTAAGTTCATGTTCCAATGACATAGTGTGCTGTCAAGTTTCTGGGGTATTATTACTCATAAATTTTGTAATAATACATTTTAATATATATTCTGCCTCACAACACATGCCCAGGACATGTTCAAGATTTTATTGTTTAGTTTATTACTTCAGTTTCAAGTCACATTTATATTTACTTTGTATCAATTTTAAGACTGGGTCATTCTGAGTTTTGCTATTTTCACAGTGTTATTGTTTTTCTTAATTTTGTTATGAAGCTGACAATGCAAAAAATCCATGCTTAATAAATGGTAGAAGTCAAAGTAGTTAAATGTTGTCAACGAGTTATGTAATTAAAAAATAACACATGGTTCAGCACATGCTGGTCCACTACTGTTTGTCATATTGATATTCATTGACATCATATTGCTTGACTGACTGAGTTTTGGTTTTACGCCGCTTTTAGCAATATTCCAGCAACATCACGGCAGGGGGACACCAGAAATGGGCTTCACACATTGTACCCATGTGGTGATTCGAACCCGGGTCTTTGGCGTGACGAGCCAACGCTTTAACCACTAGGCTACCCCACCGCCCCCATATTGCTTGAATGGTGCAGTGCAGTGAAAAACCTTAGTTTGTTAATAAGTATGATAATCAAGCAAGGAAGTCCTGAAAACAAGACTTATAAGCAAATGAATGTGGAAATTCCTAGTAGCACAAAGATAACCTCTAGAGTTGTAGGGTGTAACCTAGCTGTTATTAGGAAATAAATGGTAATTATGTAATTTAACGTATTATCAACTCAAAAAATGTATAGCATTTATTCTAATTTTAATTAACCTTTTCTTTCAAATATATATTTTTTACTTTTTAACAACTGTCTCACTTACAAATTATCTCTAAATACTCGCATATTCAGACCTACCATATGCATATTTAATATTCATTATTTATATTAAAGTAAGATTAAGATTGGACAATGTCTTGTTGTTTTACGAATATGTACACTTGGTAAACAGAGTATTGAAACATATCTAGAAATAACATATCTATTTGGATACTCATTCAATACAAGGGACACTGAAATTGCCTTTATACATGCACCTGTAAGGAAACCCAAACCAGGCCATTCACAAACATTTTAACCAGAGCCTGCTTATCATGAAAATCAGTACTTTTGCAGAAGAACACGAGATATCAATACAAAGAAGCATTAAGAAATTTCTAAATTTGTGGAAAATAAATATTTCAAGGATTGATAAAAGAAATCAGATTTTGTAGACTTTACTGGGCTTAGTGACTTTCTACAATTTTAATTCCCATTCTTTAACAGACTTTCACCAGTCCTATCACTGAGATCACTTTGCCAAGGGGTGCTACAGATGTTTGCCCACTTGTGTGAACAAACTTTCTTCAGTGCAAGTACTTATGGGAATGCATGATTGCAGTTTGATAAATATTCTCCACAGGTACACCTAATTCAATCTAGTCTAGGAGGTCGTTTGAATTGCATTTAATTGCCAAGTTTAATAATAGCCTGAAGGAAGGCAATATTGAAATTTACGGTTTCAGCGCAACACACATGAGAGGACATAGTACAAACAGGCCAAAAATCTTGCTGCAACTGTTTGTAAAACACACAGAAGACTTACAACTTAATGTTTAAATAACTGTACAGTCGCTTATGTAGGTCAGATTTGTTTAAACTTGTCAAACATGTCAGTGTTAAATTTATATATTTGCATATATATATTTTCTAGCTTTTATTGGTGATAAATTAATTTGTGTCCAGTACTGATTTATCTCTTATCAGGAGGTATTATGACAAAACATTGACTGAGTTTTGAAATTTACTCACAAAACTGTCCTCTCCTTTAAAAATACAATAATTTAATCTTTTGGGAAATGGGTAAAAAACATCAGCAGGGTTGGCACAAATTTGATGCAGTAATATCCAGATGCCTGACAAGTCTAGCTTGTTCTTGCAAATGAAAAATGTCGTTTATTAATCCTACATCGGCCACCTTTTGCCATTGAAATGCCTTTTCCATCCAAAATTCAGCATTTGGAACTTCATAAGAAGATTTGGCAAATTAGAGTTTGAGAATTTCATAGTGATTACTGTTACAATTAATTATCCACCAAGCAATCCCTAGTTCAGAATTATTTAGTTCAAAGGAGAAATTAGATCTGACAAAAATAACCGGACTAGATGACTTCACTGATAATACAAATATTACTGGAAGTTGAAGTCATAGTCCAATACTTTTCAAACTACATTTATTATTTCATCTCATCATGACTCAAAAAGGCTTAATTTTATCCTTGACTACCAAAATATTTAAAAAATATTAAAATGGTTTTTTTCCCGAATTACTTGAATACCGTCTACCTTCAGTAGGACAAACAAGGCTGAACATTTCACCTGTTCCCTTAAATGAAAGGTTCTGGGCAACTGACTCTATGGAACATGGATTAGCATTTACAGAACACTTTAGCATACACTTCAGACAAAAATAATTAATTCTTGAACTTAAGTATGTAGTAATCTATATACCATTATTGCCTTACGTTGTTATCCATACCACAAACTGCAGATACAGGCCAAACTTCAATCTGGAATTAAAATTCAACCATTTCAATCTCCAAGAACTTCCTGAATATGTTCTTGTTTCACGGACGCAGCCATTATCATCTGGCAGTGTGTGAGGTGTTGTTGCTATAGCCATTATTTCTGGCGTCATTGGTCCTATGCTAGTGCATGCTATGGCTCTAGTTTGTTTCACATCAATTCATGTGAAAGAGGCACATCTGAAAAGTAAATTTCAATTTCAAGGCTGGACAGGCCAACAACATAATTTGGAATTCTGAAACAAAACATTTCCTTTGCCAAACGCCTTAGTCTTTATTCTCATAAATAAAGACTTTCATTTTTGAAACTATCCAGAATGTCAGGAATTAATAAAAATGATAATCAAGTTCCAGCCGCCTTTCGTGCTGTTGAAATCCATCCTTGGGTTGCTTTCTGGAAAGAAAAGGTTCCATTTGCTCACATACAAATTGACTCAAGGTTGTCGCCATATTGATTTGTGTTCACTGATAACAGAACATTACCTTTGTGTGATAAGCTCCAATCATCTGGTGATCACTGAACTCATTTAGCTTGTGCTACCTACCTTGTGTGACGTTTTCACTGAATACACAGAAGCACTTAAACAGAGCGAAAGCTATTTTTCTGGTTGACCCTTAAAGTGGACAAATACATGCAAGTCCCTTTCATCGTAATTCAATGTCACAATCTTCCTGGTCCACCAACACTTGACCTTTCAACAATGACCCTTATATAAAAAAAAAATACACCATTAATTTAAAAAAACAAGACAATAAATTACGCTGACCAATTATTTTCGATGATTGATCGGTTGTAATGAACCAATCATCAATTATGAGATTTTAACCAATTCCCAACACCACTAATGCCATCACAAAAATAAAGAAAAAGAAAAATTCTCAATTTTGTACAATCACATGCTTTGAAGTGGGGGTCATTTCATGTGACCTTGATCTTTGAGGTCAACAAATCAAAACCTATGGAATATTGTTTAAGTCAAAACACTTGAGTGAGCAATGTTTGAATTTGGTAAATTCACAAAATATAGTCCAAAAGGTGAAGGTCATCAAAAGTTATGTTCAAGTGGCCCATGACCAGATACAGCAATCTTCAGTTATGATAAAACTATACAAATATTATCCAGTTGAATTGATAAACAAATTAATTGACCTCATCTTGACATTGCCTCCTTTTCTGCTTGAAATTTCCTTTCAAAATGTGCTTTGCATTAGGACCCAACATTCGACCTTGACCTTCAAATTAGGTCAACTACATCAACAACTTATGATTCTGCTGCAGACATCTCTCAGAGGCAGCTTAAAATATCTATACATCTAAAAGGCTTGTTTGCAAACACTTAAAAAATACAAGATAAGAAAGGTTACTAGATCTTTCTCCTACATGTAATCTTGTTTCACATACATGGACTCATAAATAACTTTGTTTCATGTCAAGCAACATTTGATTTGCTAAAGTGGCTGAGAATTAGTAAAAAAAGCAGTTATCCACTTAGGTTACCCGTATTTCTTCTACCACAAGTTGGCAAGTATGTATCAACTGGATTTTGTTGCTGACGAGGAACCCTAGCATTTAGCCATCAGTAAGCCCATGATAGGTCCCAACACTAACCCTTTGTAGAGCACGACCTGAATCATACGTTCCTCCAAAACACCTGATACAAGTTCAGACAAGACAACCTTGCCAAGGACAGGCCAATTTTATTTCTTGTTTTACGGATCCGGTCATATTTTTTCAAGAATAAGAAAAAATAAATAAATACATTTTCCCCGCTCAAAAAAAATAAATAAAATCCTCATGTTATTTTTGGGCCAAAAATGTAAACTTACCCCCCAAAAATTTTGATTGTTTTTTGCCCCACATACACTTCATAAATTGCCAAAAATAAAATACTTTTGGTATTTAAAAGGAATAATACTTTGACTGGTGATTAATATTTTATTTTATTTTTTTCCTACTGCCTTTAGGTTTTCTGAGGACAAAAATACGTAAAAGAAATAAAATTGGTCTGGCCTAAAAGCTATCTTGTACATTGTACACCAACACACCAGTCAAAAAATCCTTAAAAACTTTCAGAAGCCTGCACTTGTACTTTAATGTTCTGTTGTGTCAGTCCACCCAGTCAAAAATCTTAATGGATTTATAATCAGAATGATTACCTATTTACATAAGATTAAAGAGCATAGATGGTGGTTATTTGCCAAACAAAATGGTTCTTTATTTACATTACTTTACTGCTTTTGGTGATATTTTAATAACTATGTAAAAGTTTGAGGTACAGAAGCTCACCTTTTCCTGACCTGAACTCTGGCTGGTGACGAAATCACATTTTGTTTGCCTTTACAGGTGGTGCTTGACTTGACATACTAACCTAAGGCGTTTTCTCTACATTTCACTGAATAGCAACCTAATGTAAAAAACTTTTTCCAAGTTTGCAAAATCCTTGTGTACACTTGGGAGTTGTTATTATGTATGACATGAGGGCATCACATTTCTCACACTTAATACTCAGACACTTTCACATTATTCACATATTTCTGGTGGTTACTGTGGCAACCATTTTGATTGTGTTTTGTTCAAAATTTAAATCTTATCTTCTTTAAATGTGGGAGTCAATGATAACAGCACTGTCCACAACTTAGCAGATTTACCATGGCTGGCTAAATGACCTGCCAAATCAGCAAACCTGGATGCCCAATTCTCTTGGTCATCTCTTCTGCGAATGCGAGTACAGTTATACTCCACTTTTAGCAATATTCCAGCAGGGGACACCAGAAATGGGCTTCCCACATTGTACCCATGTGGGAAATCGAACCTGGGTCTTTGGCATGACGAGCAAACCACTAGGCTAGCCCACTGCCCACATCTCTCAGGACAAGCAGAGTAGTTATGGGTGCATCGAGTCACGGGCACATAAAACCATCAAGTATTGATACAATCATACAGCTCACCTACATAGAAATACTGAGTTTAAAAATGTAATTGTATATTTCTTAAATTGTGATTGTTCACTGTATATATCCGTAACACTTCCAAACTTTTGATGTGTTTCTTCATATTACCTTGTACAAATTCATTTTACATAAAAGCAAGACTAAAAATTAGACACACATTAAAGTTAATTTCTTTGTGCAAAAATTTAGAGGTAATCACTTTGAATGGTCCATTTTGAGGTTTTGATTCAACAAAACTTGTTTCAGCAAACCAAACATGTTTCTGTCTTGCAAGATTAACAAACAAAAGTTTAATGACTTACAAGTTCTTGAAGATAATAAAAAGAAACTAGGGTGACTACTGAGGGGGAAACAACTATTGCAATAGCGAGTCTATTGCGACCAACTATTGCAATATTTTTTCCTCCTTGAATTGTCTCATTCGAAGCCATTTCCCAAATGAATGTATAGTTTATATGAAATAAAAACCAGCTGAAGTAGTTTCAGTCTCTTTGAATAACAGACAAGAAATTTGAAACCCAGATCAGGTTTAAGAGGTAACAGGGGTGGATAACTCTAAATCAAAGTGAACGAATCTGGTACTTCCTGTATCTTGCGCTGTGCAGTTATCAACGGAAGTCAATTACTAAGCTATCGATAGTCACACATACTATCAATGCATCGATAGTTTTTCCGTTTCTACCATCGATTAATTGCTACCGGCGACTCAACAATTGCAATGCATCGTTAAAGCCCTAAAAAAAATGGTAACACTGAAAGACGAACCTGTTTCCCTTTGGGTGAAAAATTCCCTCAATGGTGTCACATGGCCAGGATAAGTATATTAAAATTAGACATTGTCAACACAGATAGACATTAACACTTACCTCACACGACATAGCCTCCAAGAAGACAATTTCTGACAACTGTCTTCAAAGGTTAATGTTGCTGTACTTACAATATCGATTCTGTTGAAAGTCTGAGTGCATATGCATATTCCTATCACTGGCAGCGTTTGAACAATGACACATTGTCAATTGTGACTGGTACGATCTCATAAAATATTCCCATAAACATAATATACTATTACAGGAATATGTATAGCTTCGCCTGCCCAAGTCATACCTGCAAACACTGTGGTTTTCCCTTTTACACTTGCCAACCAACGGTGTGACAATTTAAAATGATATTAAAAGAACAGAAAACAGGAAAGCCTTACTGCCTAAACTTTGGGGTGTTACTAACTTGAAATTAAACAACATTTAAAGAAATTCATATTTAAGCCTTGACAAAAGAACATGTGCAACAGACTTCACTTGTCCTCAAGAACTGGCATCCAGCTTGACTGACTTGTGGTAAAATGGAGGATGGAGAACTGGAAAGAATTTGAGCTCAAAATGTTACAAGTTACTGTTGTTTTTTTTATATTATGACACCCTCAGATTACTTTTTGGCTTAAATTTTACTTAGGAAACCCATTTTGCCTTGACAAGAAACATGCTTTTCTTCCCTCCGAGATTACTTAGGCAGCAAAATTGTTCAAGTCTTGGACTTGCTTCCATGTAATTGCACTTGACATTGCAACAGCTAAACAGGTCTGCTCATAGCAGTTGGTCGAACGTAACATAATCAACTTTATGAATAACTGCGAAATAATTTTCCAGAAAATTTTGCATTCTATTTCTGCATATAAAGTTTGTTGTTTAATGCACTGAGCAATAGGTGGCAGTTTGTAAATATAGAGTCTGGATCAGACCATCCAGTGATCAACATTATGAGTATTGATCTACACAATTTGGATACGATGACGTGCGGACCACCTGATTCCAGTAGTCTCCTCCTTTGACAAGTATGGGTTGCTGAAGACCTTATGTAAAGATATGAAAGCATAGGTATTTATAAACAATTTACTGTTGTGAACATCAACTGTTATTAGCATTTGAATCGGATTAATTAGGACTTGCAGTTGCAAGGATAGAAAATAGTAACAAAAACAGTTCAGACATACAAAAATGAACATAACCAAAGCTTGATATGATTTTTATCCCAAATACTCTTAATATTATTTGTCCTACTTGAGACAAAGTACATATACATAAGTTGTAACAGTTCAATTATAACATGCCCAAAAATTGTTTAGTTTGCCGTGTGTGATTTAATTATAGAATCTTTACAATGTTTTCTGTGATCTTGTAGACTTGGGAGGGCTTGTCCCACACATATTACTGCTACCACAGTGCTATGACTACTCTATGTCTATGATAAGTATGAGTTACGTATAAGTTACGATCATCTTAGCGCAACAATCACTTTGTGAAATGGGACCCTGGGCCTAAATTTTTAAAGCTCTCTTAGCGCTTTGAGCATGCCTTAGGTGTGGAAGGGGCGCATTATAAATATGCATTTATTATTATTATTATTATAATTATTATAATCATCCATACATTAACATTAACTTTGAAAATCTGGGCCCAGGACTCTATTGTGCTCAAGCAGGAGATATGCAGATTGTCAGATTACATTGTTTTCATAGGGTAGATGAGACTTGCTTTGACAGTACAGAAAGAGATGTCAGAACATTCTTACACTCAGGTTAATCAAATAAATGTTTCATTGAAACACTGGACATGTTTGAGTCCATTAATATTATAATAACAAAGCCAAATTGTATGTTTTTTACATAAATAGACCAGTATAGTGAGTGAGTGAGTTGGGTGCTGTGCCGCTTTCAGCAATATTCCAGTAATATCACGGCAGGGGAACACCAGAAATGAATAGACCAGTATAAGTTGTGTTGGGTATGCTCCAAAACTCACATGATGGGTAATCAGTTTTAGAAAGTATTAGGTGTGTTATTTTTTTTATCATTATGATATTGGTTGTGAAGTGAGGGTTTCAATAATTGTTACCATTGCAAACTTGCTTTGGGATTTTTTCTCCAACTGTTAAAACTTTGGTCATGTATCTGTATTTCCTGACAATACTGAATGACCATGCAAAGACAACGGTTTTGCAATTCTTATGCTTATTCCTGCCACCACCACCACCAGCTGAGTGAGTGAGTATGGTTTTATGCTGCTTTCAGCAATATTCCAGCAATATCACAGCAGGGGACACAAGAAATGGGCTTCACACATTGTATTCATGTGGGGAATCAAACCCGGGTCTTTGGCGTGGCGAGCCAATACTTTAACCACTAGGCTACACCACTGCCCCTACCACCACAAGCTGAGAAAAATATATCTGAGAAACAAATCATGAAAGATTACAGGTCTAAACAGCACATGTAGGGCACATGTAGGGCACATGACATCTGACATTAAGCATTCTGTCCCCTGGCAACACTGTCATAGTTCATGTTTCTATTCATTTCTATGTACAGCTTCAGTAAAATAATAGCAACACAAGTCTGGGACTAGTGCGACCCTTTTTTTAGTGTTCAAGAGTTAGTAGCTAATCTTGCTTGAACATCATATATGTTTACTATGTTTAAACTTTTTTATCAGTTACATTAAGTTTCACTTTGAAGCCTTAAGGAATATATATTATTGAGATTTAAATCCTTCAAATGAGGACAATATCATGGCACTTTTACTTACAAACCTGCTTCCATTAAATCACTGTTACTCCAAAATCATACACAATTCATTGTGTGCAGAGTTTATTCAACAAACTGCTGTAAAGTTTCTAGTTTAAACATGTGTCTGGAAGTGAGTGAATGCTTTTTCTTATGCGTTAATTGAAGTCGGCATAATTCAAATGATCTGTAAAATATATATAAAATATTTGAAGGGTGGAAAGTGTACAAATTAATACATAGCGGCATTAGCCAGTTCAGGTGTAAAAACTGTTAAATGTGAAAACTGATTGAACAGAACTAGTTCCCACTTCCTTTAAACAGAAAAAAACAACATCCTAATTCCAATTTTAAATCTTTTTCTGAATCATTAGTATCAATTACTTAGCGGCGTGTTAGCCTTCATCACAAATTCCTTAATAACTCAATGTAACAATTGTGATCTTACTGGATGATAGAAGCTATTGTTTCAATGTTGTAGCCTATTACCAAGATTTCTGAAGATGAAAAATAGCAACTATTTTACCAATTGGTAGTTCCTTCCAACCTTTATCATCCATTGAAATATATACATTTATGATGAGTACTTGAGTTTGAAAGAATTACAATTCATGTTTTTTTCCTCTAAAATTCTGGATGGTTTATGTCAATGTGTTTTCTTATGTGGAAGAACGGTCAAGCAAAAAGTTTTCTGATCAGTATGCAAGTATGTAAATTAAAAACTACTACTATATGGCAAGTGGATTGGCCATGTTTTATTGGCGACTTGACAAACATCTAATAAAGTTTTTTTTTTTTTTGTACCAAGGAATAATTTAGGCGGATGCATGATAAAATTATTTTTTGAAATGCTTGATCAAAATGCCTTGTGGAAATGTTTAACATATCGTCGGGTCATTTTTTCGGACAGTGATTACTTGGTCTAAAAATAGGGGTGTTGCGTCACACAATGTAAATTGTTGAATATGATGGATTGTGCTTTAGGTAAAGTTATCTTGTATAAGTTGGTGACATGATTTACAATTGGGTCTACAATTGTTCATGCGATAAAGAGAACGCTTATTCTTTGTTCCGAAAACCCATAACACGAGGTAAACTTCGTCAAAATATTCGTCTCCAAATAACCTCCTCTGTGCAAGACTTGGCCCTACCTGTAACTTCCAAAGAATTCCCAGATGAGATCAATGACATTTTGTCAAATCTTCGTGTAAATGTTCAAAATAAATGTGTAAATGTCACAAATAATTAAGACAACAGGGAAGAGATTTTTTTGCAAAATTATTTAACCTCAGTAACAAGCGTCACACCATGCTCGAGACAAGGAAAGTCAATCACGAAATACGATTGATAGTGCATCATGAGTTATCTCCCTTAGCCCATCCCTCTCTGGGTGCAGCCTGCCGCACGATAGTCGAGTCATGCTTATTGTTCAAAATCTAAATGCATAATGCGTAGAAGAGACCAGAATTACTTTTTAAATATCTAATTTCTAATGCAACATGCACGCTGTGTGTAACCAATATGCGATAATGCTTCAGAAATTGTTCCTCTTATTAAGCTAGTTCAGGCCCTAATCATCCATTAAAAGCATCAAATCGGTGCTTGTGTACGAGCGGAACCTTCTTTACTCAAACGCTGAATACAATTTAATTTGTTATTAAATAAAATGACACCTTTTATTTTTTTTACATAAAACGCAGCTTAATTTTTTGCACAGGCAGTACTTATCGCGCGTAATCTAGAAATAATGAACACGATATGGTCACTGTGTTAATATCAATATTACTCAACAGCAAGCAGCTGTCGATCAAGATGCACAATATTATAGTATTCCATTATTCAAATGCACCTCTCTTGCTAAACCGTGAACGTGTACTGCCACATGATGTTCGTAACGCACGTGTTGACTATGTCAACACATACATGCAATCACAAGTTACGTTCACAGACGCTAGATACTACCACACCCATGTTCTAGCCACGCCCCTTAAAAAGCGCATGCCATATATGGAAATAACGGCGACTTTCTTTGTTTCAGCAGAGATGCAATATCTAACGGATTCGCATGTTAAGGATCCTTAAATATACAAAAGATTGTTATTTGAATGTTCAAGACAAGTGATGTGTTGGTAAAAATATTTGAAGTTGAATTGCACTTTCCTTGCAAGATGGAGAACTTGCAGATATTCAATATGGCGACAGTGCAACCTTGGCCTACCTGTATGTGAGCACCATCCAGGAATCCTTTGATTAGGAACATAGATAAACCTGTAAACAGCCTCAAACTTGCTAAAATAGAAAATTGAATTAATTTATATTTCTCACGTATAATTACATATGGAATCAACGTGAGGACACGTTGCTTATACATTTGCCGTCCATTTTCTTTCTCACACAATGTTCGTGAGGCTCATCTTCATGTTCCGATTACGAGCCAATATCCCATATATGTGACAAGTAAAAGCTAGATATGAAGGAAATAGATCTAATCACCTTATATCTGGTGATAAAAGAGACGTGTTTTACATGATCGTGAAACCAGTGTCTCTTTACAATAGTGAAAGATTGTGAAGTTCGTGATTCATGGCCTCGATTTCTGGGGCCCCGATTTCAACCATATGAACTATCAAATCTTCAGTCCAAACATATCCCTCAGCAGACGATATTTTCCATGGTATCAGGCTATATCATAATCTTGTAACTCGTGTCGAAGATTTAAGTGTCGATGTGTAGCGAGAAAAAGACAATATTCCAGAAAATTTCCAAGCTCAATGCACAGGGCCTAAACAAAGAAGCTCGAGCGCCCAAATGTTGAGATGAAGGGCGTTACTATGACGTCAATGGTGTCAAAAGAGAACCGACAGGAGAATGTGAGAAAGCACGTCTTCTGTTTGCTAGTGACATGTACGTTCACTCTGAATATATAACTCACATTTTGTGAATATCAATATTATACTTGAATAACGACACCAATCCAGAATTCGTTGCTTAAAAACGAAACATTAGACATTTCTAGGCACGATAGCTCAGTTCCGACTTCTCCGTTCTAACTCTATGAATCATTCACCACTAATACTCTCAAACCAGTACACTTTAGAGTTATATTCTTTGATCCGTAATTAATGTAATAAATGTAGATTGTTCCGAAATCAGTTTAGATACATTAAAGCAATAATTGAGATATCGATGACAAACAATAATCAAAAGAGAAAAATAGGCATGTTTACCGTCTGCATCAAGACTAAATACCTCGGACATAAACTATTTCTGGAAAGGGGTTTCAGGCAAACGTTTACGTATGTCTGTCTAAATTCAGAAGATTATCCTTGACACAGTAATAATTAGCAGATGTGTAATCCTTTAGCGTTATTATATACAACTTCAGTCCTAACAACAGATGCAATATGTCGGTATTTGTTCCCATTGTAGAGACAATATACCCCACATGGTATGGTCCATTATTCTCCCGTGTACGCAAGGGCAGATAACTCGAAACTATCTCTGAACTGCAGCATGGCGAGATATTGTATCGAAGCTGCACACAAACTTCTAAATATTCCGGTATTCCGACTCTATTGATCTGTTTTGTCACGTGTGCATTGTGTTGCATGATGATCCGTAACATGTTTTGAAGTTATCACTTATTCCATGACTGTCATTTTGCATTCACCATAATTATTTTTGAGAAAGGTTTCATGAATAACTGTTAAAAACTAAATTCAGAAAAGACTGCATCATGACATTGATGACACTCTATAATTATCACCTTAATACGATTCTCCTATAGCCTAGACACAAGACGGCACTTAAGTCACTTTTATAGATACCATGTCAAAGGTGAACCCCTCTGTCAGGTACTGTGTTAACTCAAGGTCCAAGTTTTATTCCTCTCTTGCTGAGCACGGGTTATACAACAATTACCATATTTTAACGTCTCACCCCCCTCCCCACTCCCCATCCGCCAATGATTTAATTTCTTTTGGTGACATTTAGAAGTTGTAACAATACAACTGCTACAGGGCTCTCTATTATTTTCTCTGAAAGGGACAGTCAAAACAATCGTTACTTTCATGTTACTTGATCTTGATTTTCTAGTGGTACGCTCTACTACATGATGAGTTGGGAGTAATCTCCCTTGATTGTGCTTTTGAAGGTCGTCGATTAAACATCAGTCTTTGGAAGTCAACCTGTCTTGTTGTTGGCCTGAAACCTCAAACCAGAGCACGTAACATTTATATGTATTGTGTTTCAGGTCATTCAACTTCTTTGATTTTATTGGGTAAAATCTGTGTTAAAGTGTAGCTCCAACTGTCCATTTTCATCTGTAACCTCTAAATAACTCTTAATCAGGAAGAATCTGTTCAAATTGAAAGATAACAAATAACACTGAGTATGTTTCTCTGCTCTAGGCTCTGCGCCTGATACGACCTATCAGCCAGTCTGCATACAGACAACAGAGTGAGAGTGAAGATGTAGTTGCTGAAGAAGATCAACAATTGGACCGACAAGAACCTAAACGTCCCATTGTTGACCCAGAAACCAGCATCCGGTATTTATCCAGTTCAGGTAAGTGATGAAGTTATACAAGGACAAGAATGTATGGACAGAGAAGTTATGTATGCATATTATTCTGATATTTTTCAGCTGCTTTTGGTGTTGACCAAAAGTAGCTAGGCCCCCCACTAACCAATTGTTTCTTGATTGACTGACAATGGAAGAACACATTATTGAGCTGAAGAGTCACTTTTTTCATATTTCTGTCAAGAGTTTTGTGAATGTCTATACTTTTTGAGTGAAACTGATTAGACTTTGTTCTGTTATTATTGTTGACATAGTTATTTATGAAAGTTGTCATTTTTGTATGTTTTGAATTTACAGAAGTATAAACATAAAAATAGTGTGCAGATGGTGTAAACCCACAAATGAATTTAAAAACCATTTTAATATGTAAAATGAATCTGATGACAAATTCTGACCCAAATCTAAGGTCAGATTTCCTGAGTAGTTGTAGAGTTTATGACAAAAACTAATTGTACCTACTTTCCCAGTTTTAACATATTACCTGTAATCAGAGCCACAGAGTTGTTTTGTATTTTTTACTGAGATGCCGCTCTAAGAAGCAATGTTAAACTCCGCCCATATGGTAACCTACTCACTCACTCACATAGCTGGAATACTGCTGAATTCAGTGTGAAACTATAAACACACACATATGGGGAAGATATGTCTTTGGCCTATATGAACAAGTAAAGTATTATGGCATGTCATCTGGTGCAGTGCTTGTATTTCAGCCTACAAGGAAGCATATGGGGACGACCCTGTGTGGAAACACTACAGGCGAAACTTTAAGGGCTCACTGCCACCCAGAACACGGAAGACATGTGTGGTAAGTCTCAGACTTGATGGACAGGGCCCACTTGCGCAAAGTGATCTTAGAAAGAGTGAGCCAGTGAGTGAGTATGGTTTTACTCTGCTTTTAGCAATATTACATCAATATCATGGTGGGGGGACACCAGAAATAGACTTCACACATTGTACCCATGTTGGGAATCGAACCCGGGTCTTTAGGATGACGAGCGAACGCTTTAACCACTAGGCTACCCCACGGCCCCCTATGTTTGTTAGATCTGAATATTGAAGTCATAAAATGGTACGATGACTATAACTCCCATACTCTTACATAGACTTAAGGTTGTTGTAGTGCCAAGACCTCGTCGTGCAAGTTGGCCCAGTAGTATTAGGTCAGGGGTGGAAATAACCCATTGCCCGACGCCCCAGTCCAGTGTTTTTTTCTGTCGGGCTAGCATATTTGTATGTCACGCTGTACCGGTGTACCAGTTGACTTTCCAATCTTAATCATGTTGTTTATTAAAAGATCAACAAGAAAATCGGCCAGTATAGTGGAAATCTTATCAGGGCAAGTGATTTTACCTGTTCCACTGTACCGGAGTACATCAGCAATTTTAGAGTTATTTCCATCCCTGTAGGGTCGTTGGATCTGAATCTTGAGGTCTTATTGTCATAAAAAATATTTTCCTCAACCTTTGATTGGGATATTGCGATTGTGCAGACGGGATGGACCTGACACATTGTAAGCTTCATTATAAGTAAAAACAAGCAAAAATACACACAGGAACATGAGTCCTGTGTGATAACAAAAGTGGAGTTGTGTCCCTTTACTCTGATATTTGCACTAATTTGCTTAACAAATGTTTTGCACCCTGAGAGATTTAAAAGGTGAACTAAAGTAATGAATGGCCGAGGAGAAAAACCCTCTTACCCTCAGATTTCTGAAGGAGGCAATCATGTAAAGTTTTGCTATGGTAACTCAGTGGGCTGGTGATCTGAAACTGGCTATCGTCAGGACTTGTATAATCAGCTGAAGAGTGGGCAGTCAGGGGGAGATAATCAGCTACACATAATTTTATGCATATCAGCTATACGTAATTTTGTGCAAAGAATTATGAATAAATTACATTTGATTGAAGTCCAGCAACATCTGGTTAAGCCAGGTTATGCACTGACTTGAGATTAAAACAAAATTCACTGCAGTCATTGTTTGAGAGGTTTCTGATGCCCAGTAATCTGACTTAACAGGACTTTGAAACACTCTGTTTGCAGAGGAAGGGTGAGATCGCAACAGGGAGCCCTTGTCCTGTTTGTCGAGACGAGTTCCTGGTGTTGGATATGAAGGTAAGATTTACTGCTCCATAAATAACTTTGTGAAACCTGGGCACTGTACATGAAGCTTACTTCAGATGACAAGTTTTTCTTTGATCTGATGACATACGTATATGACTGTGACATTGTATCCTGACTGAGTGACATTGTATCCTGTGTGTGACATTGTATCGAGACTGTGTGACATTGTACCCAGACTGTGTGTGACATTGTATCCAGACTGTGTGACATTGTACCCAGACTGTGTGTGACATTATATCCTGTGTGTGACATTGTATCTTAACAGTGTGTGACATTGTATCCTAACAGTGTGTGACATCGTATCCAGACTGTGACATCGTATCCTAACAGTGTGAGACATCGTATCCTGTCTGTGTGACATTGTATCCTGACTGTGTGACATTGTATCCTAACAGTGTGAGACATCGTATCCTGTCTGTGTGTGACATTGTATCCTCTGTGTGACATTGTATCCTAACAGTGTGTGACATCGTATCCTAACAGTGTGTGACATCGTATCCTAACAGTGTGTGACATCGTTATCCTAACAGTGTGTGACATCGTGTATCCTAACAGTGTGTGACATCGTATCCTAACAGTGTGTGACATCAGTATCCTAACAGTGTGTGACATCATTATCCAGACTCTGTGTGACATCCATGATCCTAACTGTGTGACATTGTATCCTAACTGTGTGACATTGTATCCTAACAGTGTGTGACATCATTATCCTAACTCTGTGTGACATCGTATCCTAACAGTGTGTGACATCATTATCCACACAGTGTGTGACATCATATCCTAACAGTGTGTGACATTGTATCCTAACTGTGTGACATCATGTATCCTGACTGTGTGACATTGTATCCTAACAGTGTGTGACATCATATCCTAACAGTGTGTGACATCATTATCCCTAACAGTGTGTGACATTGTATCCTAACAGTGTGTGACATCAGATCCCTAACAGTGTGTGACATCGTGATCTAACACTGTGTGACATTGTATCCTAACGGTGTGTGACATTGTATCCTAACGGTGTGTGTGACATCGTATCCTAACGGTGTGTGACATTGTATCCTAACAGTGTGTGACATCATATCCTAACAGTGTGTGACATCAGATCCAGTGACATTGTGTGACATTGTATCCTAACAGTGTGTGACATTGTATCCTAACAGTGTGTGACATCGTGTATCCTAACAGTGTGTGACATCGTATCCTAACAGTGTGTGACATCGTATCCTAACAGTGTGTGACATCATATCCTAACAGGTGTGTGACATTGTATCCTGACAGTGTGTGACATTGTATCCTAACAGTGTGTGACATTGTATCCTAACAGTGTGTGACATGACAACGGTGTGTGATCCTAACAGTGTGTGACATCGTATCCTAACAGTGTGTGACATCCTATCCTAACAGTGTGTGACATTGTATCCTAACAGTGTGTGACATTGTATCCTAACAGTGTGTGACATCATTATCCTAACAGTGTGTGACATTGTATCCTAACAGTGTGTGACATCGTATCCTAACAGTGTGTGACATTGTATCCTAACAGTGTGTGACATCATTATCTAACAGTGTGTGACATCAGTATCCTAACGGTGTGTGACATTGTATCCTAACAGTGTGTGACATTGTATCCTAACGGTGTGTGACATCAGATCCTAACGGTGTGTGACATTGTATCCTAACAGTGTGTGACATTGTATCCTAACAGTGTGTGACATCATATCCTAACAGTGTGTGACATCATTATCCTAACAGTGTGTGACATCGTATCCTAACAGTGTGTGACATTGTATCCTAACAGTGTGTGACATTGTATCCTAACAGTGTGTGACATCATTATCCTAACAGTGTGTGACATGTGATCCTAACATGTGTGACATATCCTAACAGTGTGTGACATTGTATCCTAACGGTGTGTGACATTGTATCCTAACAGTGTGTGACATTGTATCCTAACAGTGTGTGACATCGTGATCCTATCCTAACAGTGTGTGACATCATATCCTAACAGTGTGTGACATTGTATCCTAACGGTGTGTGACATCATATCCTAACAGTGTGTGACATTGTATCCTAACAGTGTGTGACATTGTATCCTAACAGTGTGTGACATTGTATCCTAACAGTGTGTGACATCGTATCCTAACAGTGTGTGACATTGTATCCTAACAGTGTGTGACATTGTATCCTAACAGTGTGTGACATTGTATCCTAACAGTGTGTGACATTGTATCCTAACAGTGTGTGACATCGTATCCTAACAGTGTGTGACATCGTATCCTAACAGTGTGTGACATCGTATCCTAACAGTGTGTGACATCAGATCCTAACAGTGTGTGACATCCTCCTAACAGTGTGTGACATCATATCCTAACAGTGTGTGATCATTGTATCCTAACAGTGTGTGACATTGTATCCTAACAGTGTGTGACATTGTATCCTAACAGTGTGTGACATCATTATCCTAACAGTGTGTGACATCGTTATCCTAACAGTGTGTGACATTGTATCCTAACAGTGTGTGACATTGTATCCTAACAGTGTGTGACATCGTATCCTAACAGTGTGTGACATCGTATCCTAACAGTGTGTGACATTGTATCCTAACAGTGTGTGACATTGTATCCTAACAGTGTGTGACATTGTATCCTAACAGTGTGTGACATTGTATCCTAACAGTGTGTGACATCATATCCTAACAGTGTGTGACATCGTATCCTAACAGTGTGTGACATTGTATCCAGACAGTGTGTGACATCATATCCTAACAGTGTGTGACATCGTATCCTAACAGTGTGTGACATTGTATCCAGAACTGTGTGACATTGTATCCTAACAGTGTGTGACATTGTATCCTAACAGTGTGTGACATCGTGATCCTAACAGTGTGTGTGACATCAGATCCTAACAGTGTGTGACATCAGATCCAGACTGTGTGACATTATCCTAACTGTGTGTGACATTGTATCCTGACTGTGTGTGACATTGTATCCTAACAGTGTGTGACATTGTATCCTGACAGTGTGTGACATTGTATCCTAACAGTGTGTGACATTGTATCCTAACAGTGTGTGACATTGTATCCTGTCTGTGTGACATTGTATCCTGACTGTGTGACATTGTATCCTAACAGTGTGTGACATCGTATCCTAACAGTGTGTGACATTGTATCCTAACAGTGTGTGACATTGTATCCTAACAGTGTGTGTGACATTGTATCCTAACAGTGTGTGACATTGTATCCTAACAGTGTGTGTGACATTGTATCCTAACAGTGTGTGACATTGTATCCTAACAGTGTGTGACATCATATCCTAACAGTGTGTGACATTGTATCCTAACAGTGTGTGACATCGTGATCCTAACAGTGTGTGACATTGTATCCTTACAGTGTGTGACATGATCAGACTGTGTGACATTGTATCCCAACTCTGTGTGACATCGTGTATCCTAACAGTGTGTGACATTGTATCCTAACAGTGTGTGACATCCCATCCTAACAGTGTGTGACATTGTATCCTAACAGTGTGTGACATCATCCTAACTGTGTGTGACATCAGATCCTAACAGTGTGTGACATCGTATCCTGACTGTGTGACATTGTATCCTAACAGTGTGTGACATCAGATCCTAACAGTGTGTGACATCGTGATCCTGTCAGTGTGTGACATTGTATCCTAACAGTGTGTGACATCATATCCTAACAGTGTGTGACATCGTGATCCAGACTGTGTGACATTGTATCCTAACAGTGTGTGACATTGTATCCTAACAGTGTGTGACATCGTAGATCAGACTGTGTGACATTGTATCCTAACAGTGTGTGACATCGTGATCCCAACAGTGTGTGACATTGTATCCTAACAGTGTGTGACATTGTATCCTAACTCTGTGTGACATCAGATCCTAACAGTGTGTGACATCAGATCCAGACTGTGTGACATTGTATCCTAACAGTGTGTGACATTGTATCCTAACATCATATCCTAACAGTGTGTGACATCGTGATCGGTGTGTCAGTGTGCCATCGTATCCCAACAGTGTGTGACATCGTATCCTAACAGTGTGTGACATCGTATCCTAACTGTGTGACATTGTATCCTAACAGTGTGTGACATTGTATCCTAACAGTGTGTGACATCCTATCCAGACTCTGTGTGACATCGTATCCTAACAGTGTGTGACATTGTATCCAGACTCTCTGTGACATCATATCCTAACAGTGTGTGACATCGTATCCAGACTCTGTGTGACATCCTATCCTAACAGTGTGTGACATTGTATCCTAACAGTGTGTGACATCATATCCTAACAGTGTGTGACATCAGATCCTAACAGTGTGTGACATTGTATCCTAACAGTGTGTGACATCCCAATCCAGACAACAGTGTGACATCCTATCCTAACAGTGTGTGACATCGTATCCTAACAGTGTGTGACATCGTATCCTAACAGTGTGTGACATCGTATCCTAACAGTGTGTGACATCGTATCCTAACAGTGTGTGACATTGTATCCTAACAGTGTGTGACATCCTATCCTAACAGTGTGTGACATCGTATCCTAACAGTGTGTGACATCCTATCCAGACTCTGTGTGACATCCTATCCTAACAGTGTGTGACATCGTATCCTAACAGTGTGTGACATCGTATCCTAACAGTGTGTGACATTGTATCCTAACAGTGTGTGACATCGTATCCTAACAGTGTGTGACATTGTATCCTAACAGTGTGTGACATTGTATCCAGACTGTGTGTGACACATCCTATCCTAACAGTGTGTGACATCAGATCCTAACAGTGTGTGACATCAGTATCCTAACAGTGTGTGACATCAGTGATCCTAACAGTGTGTGACATCGTATCCTAACTGTGTGACATTGTATCCTAACAGTGTGTGACATTGTATCCTAACAGTGTGTGACATAATATCCCAACAGTGTGTGACATCGTATCCTAACAGTGTGTGACATCGTATCCTATCAGTGTGTGACATCGTATCCTAACTGTGACATCGTATCCTAACTGTGTGACATTGTATCCCAACAGTGTGTGACATTGTATCCTAACAGTGTGTGACATTGTATCCTAACAGTGTGTGACATTGTATCCTAACAGTGTGTGACATTGTATCCTAACAGTGTGTGACATTGTATCCTAACAGTGTGTGACATTGTATCCTAACAGTGTGTGACATCGTATCCAGACTCTGTGTGACATTGTATCCTAACAGTGTGTGACATCATATCCTAACAGTGTGTGACATTGTATCCTAACAGTGTGTGACATTGTATCCTAACAGTGTGACATTGTATCCTAACAGTGTGTGACATTGTATATCCTGTGTGACATTGTATCCTGTGTGTGACATTGTATCCTAACAGTGTGTGACATTGTATCCAGACTGTGTGTGACATGTGTGACATTGTATCCTGACTGTGTGACATTGTATCCTGACTGTGTGTGACATTGTATCCAGACAGTGTGTGACATTGTATCCTGACTGTGTCAATCCTAGAACTTGTGTGGCATTGTATCCAGACTGTGTGTGACATTGTATCCATTTGATCTGACTGTGTGACATTGTATCCTGACTGTGTGTGACATTGTATCCTGACTGTGTGTGACATTGTATCCAGACTGTGTGTGACATTGTATCCTGACTGTGTGTGACATTGTATCCAGACTGTGTGTGACATTGTATCCAGACTGTGTGTGACATTGTATCCAGACTGTGTGTGACATTGTATCCTGACTGTGTGTGACATTGTATCCTGACTGTGTGTGACATTGTATCCTGACTGTGTGTGACATTGTATCCAGACTGTGTGTGACATTGTATCCAGACTGTGTGTGACATTGCATCCTGACTGTGTGACATTGTATCCTGGATCCGGGTTAGAATTGATCTTCAGTATCCCATGGTTGTTGTAAGAGGCGACCAACAGGTTCTGGTGGTCAGGCTCGCTGACTTGGTTGACATTAGTGTTGGGAATTGGCTAATATCTCATAATTGATTATTGGTTCATTACAACCGATCAATCATCGAAAATAATTAGTTTCTGTCATTTATCAAATTTTCCTGTTATGTTTGTTAATGCACAAACATTTTTCGTTTTTTTGCAAATTGTACAAAATACAATTTCAAATTTCACATCTTTAAAGGATTACTAGTATGTTAGGAACATAAATTTCCTGGAGTCTTTATGATAAATTCAGTCATGACTTGGAACGAACTTGTAGTGCTTATGAAATGTAAATATAATGACACAGACAAAACCAACCTTGTGAAAAATATTGTTAATGCAAACAAGTGTTCCAAAATTGTTTCATGAGTCATGGCGATTATTCATGGCTACCAATCTTTGATTATTTCAATTAATCGGACCACCACTAGTTGACATGTGTCATTATTTTCCAATTGCATAGATCGATACTCATGCTGTTGATCCGCCTCCATATAGCTGGAATATGTGAGACGTAAAACTAAACTCACTTGAATCCTGACTGTGTGTCATTGTGTTGGTTTATATTGTATTCTGAGGACGTTTAACATTGTTGACAATGTGTTGACATTGACACTGGATATTTTCTGTCCTTCAGAATGTTCACTTGCTGGAACAGTTCATATCTCCATACACAGGCGAGGTGTACGACTTCATGAAGACGGGACTGTGCCAGACACAGCACAAGAAGCTGGTCCTGGAGGTTCTGAAGGCCAGGAACCACGGTGAGAAGCACTATCTGCATATACACTATTATCAAGAAAACGTCATATCTTGTGTTTTTTCTCCATAATATTTTGACAGAATAGGTATTGTATGAACAGCATGATAACACTGGTTGATGACTTGGCTCATGTGCAATGTCAACCTTATTGATCATTCCATCCACCCATGAAGGTCCGGGTTAGAATGAACCTTCAGTACCCCATGCTTGTCGTAAGAGGCGACTAACGGGATCGGGTGGTCAGGCTCGCTGGCTTGGTTGACACATGTCATCGGTTCCCAATTGTGCAGATTGATGCTCATGCTGCTGATCACTGGATTGTCTGGTCCAGACTCGATTTAGGAGATAAACATCATGTGTTGGCCAATTCCGGGTGTTATTGAGTATTTGAAGCACGGGAATTCATTTGGAACCGACAGCATCATTACGGGAGTACGGGTACAGCAGTGAAATGTCATCAGCCGGCCGTTTCGGCTGTCTCCCATGGTAGCATCTGGAACTGTTCATATGTGACGTCATTCGGACTTTACGTCACAATATGATTTTAATGATGTCATCACAGCTGACGACGTAACAATACTATGGTGTGAGTGATGTTTGTATGTATTAATAAGCAGCGAATTTCCGGGAATCGAATACCATTTGATCACGTTTTTCAACCAATCAGATTGAAGAACACAGTGACTTTTGGTTTACAATATTTACAGGCCGCCGCCATATGGCTGGAATATTGCTGAGTGCGGCGTAAAACTAAACTCACTCCATCAACCACTGGCCACATTTCAGGCAGATGTTGGAATGGTTCAACCATCATGACAACTCTTACACTGATCTCATCATGGGAGCTCACGTCAGATTGACAGTTAGGCTTGGTTGCTCAGCTGATACTGTTGACTATTAGCCCATGAAGTACATCATTTGATAATCCCAGGTATGATGTTGTTGCAGGTCTGATCGAGTCAGCGGTTCCCTTCAGGAGATATGACTACAGTGAATACATGGACGACAAACTGAAGACAGATAATGTATGACTTGCCAGTGTTGTGTGTGATAGTGAATAAAGTGTAAATAGTGACTTGACTTTGGTTATATCTGACTACATTGGTGATTTGAGTTTGGAACTGGTCCTAGCAACCTACATTGGTCTGATTGGTGGACTTGATGGATCGGGTAGACATTTTGAGGATTGGGGGTCGGACATATTTTCACCCCACACAGGAGCATACTGGAAGTGGTAGGTCACTAAGGAGATACCTGTGCTACATATAGTTAAACACTGTCTAACTTGTGGTTGTCTTGTGGTAAAAGCTTGGTCCATGTGTCTTCCTTATAAAGTAATCAAGTTACAGTTGTGTTGAACATCAAGATCTTGAAGTATTCATATTGGTCCCTTCAACTTCGACACACTAGAGGGGCAGTGGGTTAGCCGAAGACCCAGGTTCGAATCCCCACATGGGCACAATGTGTGGAGCCCATTTCTGGTGTCCCCGTGATATTGCTGGAATATTGCTAAAAGCGGCGTAAAACCATACTCACTCACTCACTCAACACTCAAGAGACTACTTCAGTCCTCAACAGGATCAAAGCCTGAGACCCACCCAGGAGTCATACTGTCCAGTCCAGTTAGTTTCTCAGCAACCAACACTTTGTAACTAAACCTGATTTATCATCTGTACATTGTTCACAGGACAACGTGAGGCCATACAGAAGTCAGCAGTGTCTAAAACACAAAATATATGAAGTCAAGTAAACTAAGTGAGAGGGGCTCCAGTCTATTGTTGAAGGTACACTGCTATACTGGAGTCTAACAAAGCCCAAATTGTTGAAAATTCGTTAGCAGGTAACTTTTGAAATGGACCAATCAGAACGATTCCAAATGCTATTTTCCGTATGATCGCTTCGAAAGTGATGCACATGGACCACGCTTATTCAACCGTGAGTAAACAGTCGCTGAAAATAGCGTTTTGTCATTATTGGAGGATTTTAGCTTGTGGAAATATTAGCTAATGATAACCATGTCAACAAACCCAAAAGCGTATATAGTGCAGGTCATATATCTGTGTTTTATGTGGGTTTTCATTTGTTGTGAGATCAGTGTTGGCTTTGTAAGAGAAAATCCATTTTGTAAGTCCCAACTAACCCTAAATAGTAGCCGTTGTCTGATTGGTTAAATCCGTTCGGTCGTCTCGCGTTTGATTGGACGGTCATAGGTCACTCAAAGGTCACTCACCACTGTCCTGGGTTCAAGGTTGAAGTATTAAGGTCATCTACTCATCAACACAACTGCTGTTACCAATGAATTCTTTTCCAGTGCCACAACAATGAACAGAATTGCAAACAAAAGGATAAATATTAGTTTATTTTCAGAAGCGAATTACTGACACATTGATTTTGTCTGCAACTCCACAAACAATGGACATACCATGCTGTCTTGGGCATGAGCTCCGAGGCCCTCAGTGACAGATCCTAACAGATTCGAAGTATGTGAAAATAAGGATTGACATTTCTTTTACAAAATGTGATGATCTGAAACTACTTTGAGTAGTGTTCATGTTGGTCTTTAACTTTCGATGTGCACATGTTGGCATTTGTGGAATAAACCTTATCAGGAAGTCATGCTTCAACATCTTAACGACCTTGGGCTCCTTTCACGAAGCAACCTTTACTAAGGTTAACCTTAACTCCCATTCTTTAACATTGCGCTAAGGTTACCTTAGTGACTTACGATCACCTCAGTGCTTTGTGAAAGGAGGCCCAGGTTGCCGTTGTACAAAGCAATCTTAGCTTTATGACAATTGTAAATTTATTGTCACCTTAGCAGTAAGATCGCTTGTTCAACAGTGCCCTGAGCTCTGTCCAAGAGTGATCTTAGCACTAAGACAATCAGAACTCCCAAGCTTCAACATTGGTACACGACAGTCATAGCATTAAGATTGCTTTGTGAAACGGGGGGCCATGGTCTCAGCATGTCGTTTGTAAAAGGATAAAATAGGTTTATAGTTTATTTGAACATTTGCCCAAGACATAATGGTTCTTCCGGTATGAAAGTAATGTGTTGGGTGTTTTGAGAAAATCACCAAATCATTCACTAGTGGTAATACTGGATATCTTAATGCCCCTTTAGTATTGACAATCAGGTACCCAGTACCATGAACAGGACGACTAACTTCATACAATGGGGAAAATAGTTTCATGAGCTTATGTTTAATATCACAGACCTTGCAAATATCACTGACCTTGCTGCAGCAAGGTTTCTCACCACGGGTTACATTTTACCCAGGAACATGTGCACACCACGGGTCCATCACGGGAACTGCAGCCAGGAAGGAACATGTGTATATGTATAACACCACAGGTCCATCACACCCAGGTACATAACATATATGTACAACGCACCCGGTTCACCCAGGGAATATATGTACATAACGCATCACGGGTCCATCGGGTTTACCCAGGAACATATGTACATAACGCACCATCGGTCCATCACCCAGGAACATATGTGTACATAACGCACCATCGGGTCCATCGCACCACGGTCCATCACGGTTTACCCAGGAACATGTGTACATAATATGCACCATCGGGTCCATCATCACGGTTTACCCAGGAACACGGTTTACCCAGGAACATACACCACGGGTCCATCACGGTTTGCAGGAACATATGTACATAACGCCATCCACCCCAGGGTCCATCACGGGTGGTTTACCCAGGAACATGTGTACACAACCGGTCCATCGCACCACCAGGAACATATGTACATAACGCACCACGGGTCCATCACGGTTTACCCAGGAACATATGTACATAACGCACCACGGGTCCATCACGGTTTACCCAGGAACATATGTACATAACGCACCACGGGTCCATCGCGGTCCATCATGTGTACATATAACGCGGTTTACCCAGGAACATTAACCCAGGAACATGTGTACATAATGCACCACGGGTCCATTGTGGTTTACCCAGGAACATATGTACACAACGCACCACGGGTCTATCCAGCATGTGTACCCAGACACATCGCTTTCCCACTTTCACTTTCAGACATTACTCTATCCATATTTAAAAAAAAAATTCACTTATTTTGTGTCCAAGTGGAAGAGTATCTTTTATTAAATCACAGCATAAATTTCCAGAGCGGTGGGGAAAATCAGAATCAACCTTTTTATTATTTCCCATGAGAAAAAACATTCAGGGTGGGTGGGAGATGGGAAACACAGAAAAAAACTGATGTGCACATGGTCTCTCCCAGTGTGCTGGAATCAGCTTGTGAATATTTAACTACAGAAGTGTCTGTCCTAAAAATGCGAAACTTCACTGGGTACTTTAGGAAGAAAACATTCCGTGGTACATTTAGATACATCAAAGTACCCATGGTACATCTTGAAGGCACCATCAGCCTCTCTGCTGCATCTTGTGTTGGCAAGATTGTTCAGGCTTTGTAAACTAAGCCGAAAAATAGTTCAGTTTCAAGAATTTGTCCCACACCTACAAAAGAGATTTGTGTATGGATCAATAAAAATGACTGATGTTTTTTCACAGAGTGGCTCCTCTGACTGAGTGTGGGTTTAGTATTATTTTACGCCGCTTTTAGCAATATTCCAGGATATTACAGAACATCAGAAATAGTGAATGACTTTAGTTTAGATTCAGGGTCCCGATCCACAAAGTGAGTGAGTGAGTGAGTTTGGTTTTACGCCGCTTTTAGCAATATTCCAGCAATATCACAGTGGGGGACACCAGAAATGGGCTTCACACATTGTACCCACCCACATCAGAAATAGGCTTCACACTTTGTACCCATGTGGGGAATCGAACCTGGTTTTCGTCATGACAAGCGAACGCTTTAACCACTGGTTACCCCACCTCGCCAAACTGAGGTCATAACATGGGACTGAGAGAACTCCATACAGGGACGTGTATAATCACCGACTACCACTTGATGCATATGGACAAATAAGTGTGCAAAGAAATGAACTGTGTGGACATTCACATATTTCTTTTAACAAAGTTTCTTTGGTAGATCTAGGGGCCGATCCACAAAGTGTTCATAGCGCTACAGTATTTGCTTAGCCATGATATATTATGTAGTTACAATAGCTTGTAACGCTCAAAATGATTTGTGGATCAGGGGCGGTGGGGTAGCCTAGTGGTTAAGGCGTTTGCTCGTTACGCCAAAGACCCGGGTTCGATTCCCCACATGGGTACAATGTGTTAAGCCCATTTCTGGTGTCCCCCGCCGCGATATTGCTGGAATATTGCTAAAAGCGTGTAAAACCAAACTCACTCACTCACTCACTTTGTGGCTCGGGACCCTGAATCTAAGTAAAAATATCTGATTTTGCATTCATAAATATCACCATTCTAATACATATTCAATATTTTTTCTGATCTTCCCAGATCACTCTCCCTACATTGACATTTTGGGAAAACAGCTCGCCTAATTATTTTCACTGGAAAGTAGAAACAAAAGACTTGCTCGTCTTCACCGTAATAGTTTCAAGTTTTGTACCATTTCAAAAAGAATCGGAATAAGTTTGTAAAAAATTCTTTTCAAGTGGTGCAAGTAGCACTGACCTCATCTAACAATAAATTAACAACTAATGATTAGGTTTGGTTCTGCAGTGACTGTCAACTTCAGTGATACGTCAAGACCAGATTGTAACAGTGTTAAGGGACCGTGGCTACGGGGGTTGATGATGATTTTATATGGAGGAACATGTACAATGTGAATGACCCTCATCAATGTGAAAACCTCATCACCCCTCTAGCCATAAGTTATGAATGGTCCCTAATATATTTCACAGGTTTTAATATCGTTGATGGAGGAGAAATAATACATGTATATATGGCCTTGAGTATACCAAGAGCATGAAACTATGCTGGAAAAATTCCCGGATTCCCAATTCTCAAAGGAATCCAATTGCATGTTCCCATGATGCAATTAGTGCCAAATTTATGTTCAAATTAAAATTGGTATGTACTCTTTCTTAAATTATCGAGATATTTACTGAAAATTTAAAAACTGCATGGTGAACTGTATTCAATGAAGAGGTATTTTAGCCATGTTTACAGTCTCTGCCAAATTGTTTCGAGTCCACTAGCCAAACTTGGCTCCGAACATCATTTAAAAAACTTTAATTGAGAACTTTCTCAAAATATACCTTAAAGCGAATTCTAGAATCGAAGCTGCTGGCTTGAAACTATTGTTGTGTAGCTCGAAAATGCTGATTTCTGATAGACTAATGTCATCTTTGTGTTAATCATTTCATTGGCTAGAAAACGAATCGCTAACGTCTTTCTGACCTGACCTGTAATGGGATGTCCTAAGACCTTGGCTTAGTGGAAGCGAGAACTTTAAAAACTGGTTTTAATGAGATTGTGGATAGCGCCAACGGACAGCGAAACATGTCATGTTGGCACAGTCGTAACACCACCTCAATTTCAGAAAACAAGTCGAAGGTCTGCAAACCTAACTGAATCAAGAGTGTAAGCACAAATGATTGTCTTAGCAAATATTGGGTTAAAGATTAACATGTACCAAGGATGTCTCAGCTCCGATCACATGCTGATGCCTGCATTTGTGAATGTTGGGCGAAGTCCATTGTCGTTATATCACATTTCATCCAGATTATGATACAGAATGAACAATACTGAAATGTATAAGTACAAATCATGATATACTCAACATTGGCAAACAAGAACACAAAATCAGGATTGTCTCCCTTAGCAAAGGGAGATAACTCACATCAAACAGGTGCAGACGGACATGATATAATTCTTTTCTGCAAGAATTATCTGCATTTTCATGCTGTATTTCACTCAACAATGTCAACAGTGCTGTAAAGACTATAATCAAAGCAGATGGGTTGTCTCCCTTGATGAAGTGGCACTGTAACAGCTGAAAGTTGACAAATGAGCAGATAAGCTGCAGCATGAATGATGACCACTTGGCAACAAAGTACAAATTTGGTATTTCATATCCGACACAGAGACGTCATTTTGTCGATTTTTCCCAGACTCCACTGTCCATTGTTCGTGTGCTCCGAGATGACAAAGACTGGATGTCTTCGCTGTCTGTTGACTTAGTCTTGGCATCATACCCTAAAGGACTGGCACCGTCCTGGGAAGTAATGGACATTGAGTCAAAACTCTTGGAAAGATGTTTGCCATCTTCGAACTTGGCATCTTCGGCAAGCTTGGATGTACCTTGAGCTGCTGTTTCTGATGCCATAGCACTACATGTATCCGAACTGTCCTGCTGCTTTGGAGATTCACACTGCCCTCCCACACACTCCGTCACTGATGCTGACTTGTCGCTGTCTGGGGGTACGGAGCGTGCTCTACTGATAGTCGACTGGTCTTCTGTTTGGTTTCGAGGTGCTCTTCTGGAAGCTTTAGCTGTAAAAGAGGTTTCAATTTGTACAAACAACATCTAAGTTGAGATGTTCTGCAGCTACATAATGGTAATGTAATATACGAGTGTAGAGAAGACAAACCAGAGATCCATATCAACAGCACCACATCAAACTTATGGACCCAGGTCTTCAACATGAAAAAACAATTTAACTCCAGGCAACCAAATGCCCCAAGCCAAGGTGGGAGCCAGTCTGGGAGAGCCAGTGTGGTAGAGCCAGGGTGGGAGTGCCAGGGTGGGAGTGCCAGGGTGGGAGAGCCAGGGTGGGAGAGCCAGGATGGGAGTGCCAGGGTGGGAGAGCCAGGGTGGGAGAGCCAGGGTGGGAGTGCCAGGGTGGGAGAGCCAGGGTGGTGGGTGCCAGGGTGGGTGAGCCAGGGTGGGAGTGGGTAGGTGCCAAGGTGGGTGTGCCAGGGTGTGGAGTGCCAGGGTGGGAGAGCCAGGGTGGGAGCGCCAGGGTGGGAATGCCAGGGTGGGAGTGCCAGGGTGGTAGCGCCAGGGTGGGAGCGCCAGGGTGGGTGTGCCAGGGTGGGAGTGTATGAAAAATCTCTGGACAAATGGAGGACATGCTGTCTGAGTCCGAGATGCAGCTGACCTTGTCTGAGGATGCGGAGTTGTTGGTTGAGCTGGTCAGTGAGTGTGAACATGTCCAGCACCTTGCCCTCGTACTCCTGGTTGATGCGCATGGACAACCTGTACTTCTCCTCCACAGCCTGAACAGAGAGAGAGAAACATGAACTGACAACAGCTTGCTGGGGATCTATTCTAACATGGTATCATCAATACTTCTCCTCCACAGCCTGAACAGAGAGAAGAGAAACATGAACTGACAACAGCTTGCTGGGGATCTATTCTAACATGGTATAACCAATACTTCTCCTCCACAGCCTGAACAGAGAGAAGAGAAACATGAACTGACAACAGCTTGCTGGGGATCTATTCTAACATGGTATAACCAATACTTCTCCTCCACAGCCTGAACAGAGAGAAGAGAAACATGAACTGACAACAGCTTGCTGGGGATCTATTCTAACATGGTATAACCAATACTTCTCCTCCACAGCCTGAACAGAGAGAACTGAGAGAAACATGAACTGACAACAGCTTGCACAGCCTGAACAGGGATCTATTCTAACATGGTATAACCAATACTTCCCTCCACAGCCTGAACAGAGAGAAGAGAAACATGAACTGACAATAGCTTGCTGGGATCTATTCTAACATGGTATAATCAATACTTCTCCTCCACAGCCTGAACAGAGAGAAGAGAAACATGAACTGACAACAGCTTGCTGGGGATCTATTCTAACATGGTATCTAAGAATACTTCCCTCCAAAAATTTACATTATCAGCCTGAATGAGAGAGAGAAACATGAACTAGTGACAACCATTTTACATGCTGGGGATCTATTCTAACATGGTATCATCATCACATACTTCTCCTCCACAGCCTGAACAGAGCTAACATCACTGGGTGAAACATGAGAGACAACCCACAAGTTTTCAGCGACACGTGAATCTGAACATGGTATCAGCTTCATCTGGATGTACTGATCTAAACTTACCAGAAATGCAGCCATATTGCCTTAGAGACGAAGAGAAACATGAACTTACAATAACATGCAGGAAGATCTAATCCTAACATGGTATCAACTGTTATCACTTAACGTTCCACAGCCATAACAGAGAGAAGAGAAACATGAACTGACAACAGCTTGCTGGGGATCTATTCTAACATGGTTTAGCATCTTAGAAAAGAACCCCAATACTTCTAAATAACCAATCCACAGCCACAGCTGAACAGAGAGAAGAGAAACATGAACTGACAACAGCTTGCTGGGGATCTATTCTAACATGGTATAACCAATACTTCCCTCCACAGCCTGAACAGAGAGAAGAGAAACATGAACTGACAACAGCTTGCTGGGGATCTATTCTAACATGGTATAACCAATACTTCCCTCCACAGCCTGAACAGAGAGAAGAGAAACATGAACTGACAACAGCTTGCTGGGGATCTATTCTAACATGGTATAACCAATACTTCCCACCACAGCCTGAACAGAGAGAAGAGAAACATGAACTGACAACAGCTTGCTGGGGATCTATTCTAACATGGTATCATCAATACTTCTCCTCCACAGCCTGAACAGAGAGGGAGAGAAACATGAACTGACAACAGCTTGCTGGGGATCTATTCTAACATGGTACCGCATGCGCCTCCTACAGTAAACTACTCCGTTGCATCCTGTTTCTTGGTTTGCAGTTGCTTCCACGCAGCTAACATCACTGGTGGAAACATTACGCTTATGTTTTACTTTTCGGCCGGTTAAAATGTGTCAATTCGACCCACAAGTTTTCAGCGACACGGTAATGTTCGCAATGTTTACATTCCCACAATGCAATCGCGTGGAATGTCGGCTTGACTACTCAGCTTCATCTGGATGTACTGATCTAAACTTCACGTTGGTAGTAGAAATGGCGTTCATATTGCCCCATATGGTTTACGTTAATGACAGATGTAATTAAAATAATTCAGAGAAGATATTTAATCCAAACGTAAACCGTCATCAAACTGTTATCATTTGTTTTTTTCTGGTAACGTTCGTCTTAACGTAGGGGGGCAGACATATCAATAGAACAGCGCGCCAGTTAGCCCTGTGCGAGCATTCTTAATTTAGGACACCCACAACGTCGTTTGTTTTCTGCCTTAAATTAATTGTAATTATCCTTAGAAAGTATTAAATTTAGCATCTTAGAAAAGATGTAAAGTTCGCTCTACCCCAATACATTGGGGTAGAGCAAACTTTATTTCCTAAATAACCAATACTTCCCACCACAGCCTGAACAGAGAGAAGAGAAACATGAACTGACAACAGCTTGCTGGGGATCTATTCTAACATGGTATAACCAATACTTCCCACCACAGCCTGAACAGAGAGAGGAGAAACATGAACTGACAACAGCGTGCTGGGGATCTATTCTAACATGGTATAACCAATACTTCCCACCACAGCCTGAACAGAGAGAGGAGAAACATGAACTGACAACAGCGTGCTGGGGATCTATTCTAACATGGTATAACCAATACTTCCCACCACAGCCTGAACAGAGAGAGGAGAAACATGAACTGACAACAGCGTTCTGGGGATCTATTCTAACATGGTATCATCAATACTTCTCCTCCACAGCCTGAACAGAGAGAAGAGAAACATGAACTGACAACAGCTTGCTGGGGATCTATTCTAACATGGTTTCTAAGATGCCTAGCGGTTAGAACAATCGAAAAAAAATTACATTATCAGACAATAAAGGTATAGTTTTTTGATGACGTAACAATTGAATGACGTTATCCCGTCACTGCGCCATTCTAGTGTGCCCCCTCGTAATCGAACCATTTTACATTACGTCACAATGTAAGCGACGTCACGATGCATGTCAGTTGTCATCGCCTCGTACGGCCTCCTACAGTAAACTACTCCGTTGCATCCTGTTTCTTGGTTTGCAGTTGCTTCACGCAGCTAACATCACTGGTGGAAACATTACGTTCATGTTTTACGACGGTTAAAATGTGTCAATTCGACTCACAAGTTTTCAGCGACACGGTAATGTTCGCGAATGTTTACATTCCCACAATGCAATCGTGGAATGTCGCTGACTACTCAGCTTCATCTGGATGTACTGATCTAAACTTACGTTGGTAGTAGAAATCGGCGTTCATATTGCCCCATATGGTTTACGTTAATGACAGATGTAATTAAAATAATTCAGAGAAGATATTTAATCCGAACGTAAACCGTCATCAAACTGTTATCATTTGTTTTTTTCTGGTAACGTTAGATGCCTTAACGTGAGGGGCAGACATATCAATAGAACAGCCAGCCAGTTAGCCCTGTGCGAGCATTCTTAATTTAGGACACCCACAACGTCGTTTTGTTTTCTGCCTTAAATTAATTGTAATTATCCTTAGAAAGTATTAAATTTAGCATCTTAGAAAAGATGTAAAGTTAAACTCTACCCCAATGTGTTTTTGTAATAAAGTATAGTTTTGCCTGAACTATTATAACATCAAAGCTTCGGACTACCGTCCTCGTGCTTTAATTATAATAGTTCAGGGCAAAACTATACTTTATTACAAAACACATTGGGGTAGAGCAAACTTTATTTCCTAAATAACCAATACTTCCCACCACAGCCTGAACAGAGAGAAGAGAAACATGAACTGACAACAGCTTGCTGGGGATCTATTCTAACATGGTATAACCAATACTTCCCACCACAGCCTGAACAGAGAGAGGAGAAACATTAACTGACAACAGCTTGCTGGGGATCTATTCTAACATGGTATAACCAATACTTCTCCACCACAGCCTGAACAGAGAGAGGAGAAACATTAACTGACAACAGCTTGCTGGGGATCTATTCTAACATGGTATCATCAATACTTCTCCTCCATAGCCTGAACAGAGAGAGGAGAAACATTAACTGACAACAAACATAAGAATAGGTTGTGTTTAACTCTCAATTTAAAACCACCCAATTGTTTCAAATGACCATAGTTTATCTGTCATGCAGGGGAAGAGAATGAAGTTTTGAGAAAAACTCTGAAAACTAGCCGAAGCTCCTGATATTTAGGCATTTTAGACCTTTAAAACTGGCTCAGAAATGACAATATCATGAACACAGCAACCATTAAAAACCTTTAAATCTGCTGAAGCACATTCATACAATTGTCAACGGATTTACACGATTCACAAAAGTTACCCTTGGCTTTATGAAATTCCCAGAATCCCGCGGCAAATTCTCATCCCTAGTCATGACTTGTGGGTATAGTAGCAGCCGCAGTCTTCCAAGTTTGGGCGTTCTTTAACCTGCATTGAGTAGCATACAGTCGAACCCCATTGACTTGAACTCTTGGTCACAAGAGAAAAAGGTTGATTTATCCAGCTGTAGACACAACTGACTCAGCCTCCTTTCAGTCCGACCCAGTGAGTGAGTGAGTGTGGTTTTATGCCGCTTTTAGCAATATTCCAGCAATATCATGGCGGGGAACAACAGAAATGGGCTTCATACATTGTACCCATGTGGGAATTCGAACCCGGGTCTTCGGCCGTGACGTGCCAACGCTTTAACCACTTACCTACCCCACCTCCCTGTCTGACCCAGCCGTCAGTACCCCTTGGTGAATGTTTAGCAAATACCATTGCCATTACGATAAAAATATAAATGAAGCATTTGTCATACAGTAAGCCATACACAAGCAACTCTGCACAGTGATCTGCTGTGACTTGATATTACCGGAGTGAGTATGGTGTCACGCCGCTTTTTTCACCAATATTCCAGCAATATCACGGCGGGGGACACCAGTAATGGGCTTCACACGCTGTACCCGTGTGGGGAATCGAACCGGGTCTTCGGCTTGACGAGGGAATACTTTAACCACTGGTTCCTGTGACCCACCGAACACAGAATTATACTAGTAGGGTAACCCTGTCCCAGAAAAAAATATACTTGTATATGCCAACCATACCTTTAATTCATTTCCATGAATTGCCTTGACTGCCTCTAACTTTGTCTTCATTTCACCCAGTGCTATTTCCTGAAGACATAACAAACATTTCAACTCTGAAAACAAACATCACAGATTTTGAAGTCTAAAATTACCATGAGTAATGACACCTCAGCTGTTAACTGTTAATAGTCAAGGCATCAATTCGTGTTTCAGTGTCTGCATTTACTTTTGACACACCATGATGGATGATGATGATGATGATGATGATGATTTTGAGATATATCGGATAGTGCACATTAAATTTCTAAATCATCAGCAATGATTATCTACCTCTATTAGGTATATTGACAGCCAGCCCAAAAGATCAATTCTCATGTTTTCAGAGAGTGAGTGACGTTTTGTGCCACTTATAGCAATATTCCAGCATACAGGCGTACCTTGTCTTTCAGCGTCTCCTCACACTCGGACAGCTTGCGCTGACTTGTGTCTAGCAGCACCGTCTGCCGGGACAGCTGAGACTTCAGAGCTGGAACAACACAACGGAAGGAAGGTACTAATTCTGTTGGGGGACTGAGTGAGTGGGGGGCAGGGGTGTGTGAGTGGGAGGTGAGTGAAGGGAGACAGAGGGATGGAGGGGAAGATTGGGAGGGAGGATGGTAAGTGTGGACAGATTATAGAATATAGATGCGAAAGAGGGTCAAAGAAAGGATTGATGGGAGGAAGAGGGTGGAGGAAGAGATAGTAGGGAGTAAGGGTGAATGGGAGGAAAAGGATAAAGGAGAGATGCTAAGAGGGTCTGAGAAAGGATTGATCGGAGGAAGAGAGAGGAGGATGGGTGAGAGGAAGAGGACAACGGAGAAACACTAAGAGGGTCGGAGAAAGGATTGATGGGAGGAAAAGAGCTTGGGTAATTGAAAGATGAAAAGAGGAAGCAAGAGAGAGTCTGAATCACAGATAGTGCAAGATATCTGTGAAGAATTAATTCTGATAATACCCTTGCACTGGGAAAAAAGCTGAGAAGATCAACTCACATTTCACCTCAGCCTTCATTGCCATGACGACATGATCATGTTGGGGATGTGTGTGCTGTTGGCGTTTGAGGAGGTCAATCTTCTCCTGGTACTTGTGCTGCAACTCCCCCAACAGCAAGATCTCCTTCTGCTGCGTAAATACCTGCAACATGCACAACAACAGCCATCACAATCTACTGTCCACCACGGTCTTCATAGCCTTACAATGTGAATGTGGTTTAACAATAATCCCGAACATTATGGTAGGGAACACCAGAAATGGGCTTCACACACTGTATACACGTGGGGAATCAAACCCAGGGCTTCAGTGTGACAAGCAAGTGCTTTCACCACTAGGCTACCTCATCGCCCATCATAGCCTTACAATGTTCCCTACAGTTGGAAATGTTAAAGTCCTTCACTGAACTCAGAGCTCCAGATCATGGTCACAGAGAACATGCAGCATACTAACTTTTTCACTATTTCAAAAGTATGTAATTTTTTAAGTAAAATTGATATTTTTATACTTATCCTGACTCATGACTTCTACACTGGCCAAACAAGTAATGATTTCAAACTCATTTAAAGGCAAATGCAGTTCTTATAAATAAATAGCACACAAACTGTATCTATATTCAGTCCAGGTTTACGCATACTAGACCCAAGGTAACAGGTACGCCTAATGGGTTTAGGAAGTATGTATGTCACATCAAACAGTGTCCGGTTGGTGAGAGACAATCCAACAAAGATGTAGGTTGTAAATGTATAGCAGTGTGGCATGACCCACCAGCCTTTGTATTTGGGCAAATTGAGAGACAGAATGGTGCGTACGTGCTCCTTCAGCTTGTTGGTTCTACTGACAGCTTCAGTCATCATCTCCAGCTGTTTCTCCTTGTCAAACAGACGATGCTCAGTCTCCTGCAATGCCTGGCAACAACAACCCCATCATAAACATAATCACATCACTGAAAACAATATTCATATTTGCCATGGGTTGACTAGAGCTTCTGTGCATGACGTCTGCCTACCAAGGGCGTAGCTACCATTATAAAAAAAGCCCGGGCTTACACGTGATTGTTGCTAAAAAGGTTGGGCAAGCCCTCAATGTTATCTAAATATTTAAAGGTCACATGAAACGTAAAACACAACTTTGCAGATTCTGATACCTTTCGGTATGGACTTACAGTAAGAAATCATCAAATAAGCAAATTCAACATATAAAGTTGAAAAATAACGCGGTGAAAACCCCCCTGTGAAATCGGAGTTCAAACGATTCTCTAAATTCACCCCAGCTCTTGGGGTGAAAAGTGGTTTCAACAGCTGTGCTGCGCTGTGCAGTGAATAGGTTCGCGCAGCTTGGAAGCGGGATGTCCGTATTAAAAGGTTGTGAGCAGGTGTAGTCTAATCAATACAAATAGTAAATAATCTACTCGCTTCATAAAAGAACCTTGTTAGGATCTATATAGATCTACTCAACCAGTGAGGCGTTCAACATTTCAAGACGGAAAACCTTCGCTGCGGTGAGTCGTGAAGGCTTTGATGTGAGCTATTTTTCTAATGTTTTGTTGATATTTCACAGGCGCCAGCATTTTATAAGTTATGACAGTAGATTACCGATTTAACTGCTGATATAATTTCATTTGTCTATCTAACTGTGATATAGATATGTCGTTGTCAAAGACAAAACTCAATGTCTGTTTTATTGACACCTATGTGTCTGCCTGCCTGTCTGCAAATGACAATATTCTATACACAACTTCGATCACTGACCACATGCAATGTGAACTTAACACCTATCAGGCTATACACCATAAACAAAATGCATTGATTTATGGCTCGTGCACCCGAGTTCTGTCTCTGTCACATTATGTAATTACACAGACAGGCAGGTGTGATACTTGTACACATGACATGTTATGATGTCTGTTGATTGTAAAATGTTATACACAAAAATGAGCCGTGAGGGCGTCGGCAAATGAAACAGCCAATGAAAGCCTTCGTTACACTTGAGTGCACACCCACCCGCTCTGACTGGGTTCGGTATCCTGGGTGCTTCGTTTCGAGGGAAGTAAATCCAAGTACAAAATATTGCACTTTTGATTTGCAATTGTACGCTTATAATTTTGTTTATATGTTTTTTCATAATCAGCAATGTATATTATATGTCATGAATAAGTGATAATTGTGTTTTAATTATGTTTGATTTTTTGGTTGCATGTGACCTTTAAAAGCTTTGCAACCTATTAGGCCTACACGAAAAAGATGGCTAGCTACGCACCTGCCTGCTGTGAGCTAACAGTCTTTTTACATGACAACCACCTCCTGTATGCTAACAGTTAACGGCTCCATCTGTGATGTGATGTTACTGCCACCTAGTTTGGTAAGTGTCCCTGTGTATGGTAACTGCCCATCTATGGTAACTGCCCATCTATGGTAACTGCTCATCACTGGTAACTATCCCTGCATGGCTATCGGTACCTACCTTCTTGAGCTTATCGTGGTCTTCCCTCTGTGTGATAAGTAGACTCTTCAGCTCGGTGTTCGACATCTCAAAGTCACTGTTCGCTTGCATCGTCACTCTGAGGATACAACACACAGAACCTGTACCACACAACACAATGTTCTAAATACAAAGCTTCCATACAACAACATATAACTATCTGATAACAACAGGACACAGCAGCATCAAGATTCACCAGAATATGACATCTCCTAACCTAAGTCCCCAAATCTGAAACACAAATATCTCATTATTGTACCATGGCTTTGTGGCGGTCTCTCTGATGTTGCCCATGTTGTAACCTGCTAGTTAACTACATGGTTTCGCCCTACTGATTCTCACATTGAAAACTTGAACGACCTAAGATGGCGCGTATGACGTGATATTCATGACGTCATATGGTGCATTCATTGTCCCGCCACTTTGTTTTAAACACACTGCCGAAATCTCATGGTACAAGCCTGTTACCCCACCCATGACTCGAGGTTCGTCTAGTTACAACACGAATTGTCCTGGCTTTTGATTGACAGGCGTAGTAGCATCTCGGGCTACGCCCTCGTGCCCTACGCCTTACTTCTGTCAATCAAAAGCCAGGACAAACCGTGCTGTAACACGAACCTCTCGTGTGCCAATGGGGTAACTTTAACTTACAGTAAGTTCAATAGGACAGTGTTTGAGGGCTCATTGACAGTCTTGGGGGATAGTGTCAGTATAAGACCACCTATCAAGGGTTTAAGGGAACGTACCTGAACTGCACAAGCTTCTCGTACTCGTTGCTCTCCTTGGCCTGGCGCATCTCCTGGTTCTCGTCCTGCAGAAGGCGCAGTGACACCTGCATGTTGTGGATCTTCTCCTCCAGCAGCCTCAGCTGCTCCGTCTGAAACACAGCACCGTGTCATCAACCACGCTGGGCTTTGTGATGAGGATGAGGATCACAACCATTGGCATTATCTATCACAATACCAGCATGGGAGACCGACTACTAGCATCAACTGGAGCACCCACCATTAGTATCTTTAGCACCACCTATGTTTATTGTCACTAGGACCATGCATCACCAGCTCCACTCACTATTAGTATCTCTAAAAACTCCTTTCAACCTCACTCAGACCACATATTAGCATCACTAGGACCACCTACCACTAGGACCACCTACCATTAGCATCACTAGGACCACCTACCATTAGCATCACTAGGACCACCTACCGTTAGCATCACTAGGACCACCTACCATTAGCATCACTAGGACCACCTACCGTTAGCATCACTAGGATCACCTACCAGTAACATCACTAGGACCACCTACCAGTAACATCACTAGGACCACCTACAAGTAACATCACTAGAACTACAACCACCTACTAGCACCATCACTAGGACCACCTATAAGCATCACTAGGACAACCTATTAGCATCACTAGGACCACCTACCATTAGCATCACTAGGACCACCTACCATTAGCATCACTAGGACCACCTACCATTAGCATCACGAGGACCACCTACCATTAGCATCACTACGACCACCTACCATTAGCATCACTAGGACCACCTACCATTAGCATCACTAGGACCACTTACCAGTAACATCACTAGGACCACCTACCATTAGCATCACTAGGACCACTTACCAGTAACATCACTAGGACAACCTACCATTAGCATCACTAGGACCACCTACCATTAGCATCACTAGGACCACTTACCAGTAACATCACTAGGACCACCTACCATTAGCATCACTAGGACCACTTACCAGTAACATCACTAGGACCACCTACCATTAGCATCACTAGGACCACCTACCATTAGCATCACTAGGACCACTTACCAGTAACATCACTAGGACCACCTACCATTAGCATCACTAGGACCACTTACCAGTAACATCACTAGGACCACCTACCATTAGCATCACTAGGACCACTTACCAGTAACATCACTAGGACCACCTACCATTAGCATCACTAGGACCACCTACCATTAGCATCACTAGGACCACTTACCAGTAACATCACTAGGACCACCTACCATTAGCATCACTAGGACCACCTACCATTAGCATCACTAGGACCACCTACCATTAGCATCACTAGGACCACCTACCATTAGCATCACGAGGACCACCTACTGTTAGCATCACTAGGACCACCTACCGTTAGCATCACTAGGATCACCTACCAGTAACATCACTAGGACCACCTACCAGTAACATCACTAGGACCACCTACAAGTAACATCACTAGAACTACAACCACCTACTAGCACCATCACTAGGACCACCTATAAGCATCACTAGGACAACCTATTAGCATCACTAGGACCACCTACCATTAGCATCACTAGGACCACCTACCATTAGCATCACTAGGACCACCTACCATTAGCATCACTACGACCACCTACCATTAGCATCACTAGGACCACCTACCATTAGCATCACTAGGACCACCTACCAGTAACATCACTAGGACCACCTACCAGTAACATCACTAGGACCACCTACCAGTAACATCACTAGGACCACCTACCAGTAACATCACTAGAACTACAACCACCTACTAGCACCATCACTAGGACCACCTACCTTTGCTTTGTTCTGTTCCTCCAGGGCAGTAGCATTAGCAATCTTCCTCAGTAGCCTGCGGTTCCTCTTGGCATGAAGATCCCTCTTGTGTCTTTCATACTGCACCTGGTTGCCTAGCATCAATACTTGACCCCGGAGTATGTTTACCTCATCTGCTGGAGGGGCACCTGCAGAAAAGGGAAAGACAACTCTGTTAGCTAAGTCTGACTCCATGCAACATGCAAAGGAGAAAAGTAACTATCAGCTCTTTTCTGCCCGCAAGACATTTCTCTGACAAGATTATGTTACAGCCCTTTAGTTACAAATTAACTTATTACTCTACAGCACAGTGAATGTTACCTCCGAAGTGAGTCCAGTGGACAGTGTCCTTGCTGGTCAGTGGTATCCTCGTGAGCTCCTTGGCATGAAGCTCACTGCCCATCTTCAGATGGCGTTCCAGCAGCTCCACCGGGGACACAGAGCTGAACAGTGGAATCTCACAACCTGAAACACAAACACTATTGTCAAACATTTATCACACACACAACAGTGACAGCTGCTTCTGATGAAGTATCTTGACGAGCTGAGTGTTACCTTCATTGTTCTGCGAGTCATTCAGAACTTGAGTTTGTAACTGAAAATCTGATAGTATGGGTGATGAACTTTCCTATTACAATTGTTGTGATTGGGGGTTGGTGTTGGGGGTTGCACCCAGCAATATTCCAGCTATAAGACAGAAGCCTGTAAATAATCACATCTGGACCAGACAATCCAGTGGCTGACATCATGAGCTGTGACCACCACAATCATGCACAAACCACTGACTGAGTTTGGTTTTACGCCGCTTTTAGCAATATTCCAGCAACATCACGGCGGGGGACACCAGAAATGGGCTTCACACATTGTACCCATGTGGGGATTCGAACCGGGTCTATGGCGTGACGAGCCAACGCTTTAACCACTAGGCTACCCCACAGCCCCCATGAACAAACCAAGTCACTGTGCCTGATACCCCGATCCTGTTGGTTGTTTAAGAAAACAAGCATGGGTTTCTGAATTCACTTCTAGCCCAGACCTTCATGGTTTAATGTATCAGTGTAGAATCTTAAAATTGTCATCAAGCATGATAATAGTGTAAGAATCTGAAAATGTCACAATAACAATAATACAAAAATGATGAGTGAGTTTTATCCCCCTTTCAGCAATATTCCAGCAATATCACGTCAGGGGACACCAAAAACGGGCTTCACACATTGTACACATGATGGAAATCGAAAACGGGCCTTTGGCATGATGAATGAATGCTTTAACCACAGGGAAACCCTTCCCTCCCTCCCCTAAATGTTAATAATTGTTACATGTCATTAGAAAAAGCCTTTATTAGACGTTCATTGGCAACACAATATTACTAAATACTGCCCTTCAAAACTACTTGACGAGAACTGACCATAGCCTCACCTTGGTGTTTTGTCTTGTCATCAGACGGCTTCCTGTCAGGTACGAGCAGCTGATTCCGACAATTTTGACACATCACCACACTAACCGGAGACATGAGAGTCTGAAAGACTTTCATTATATTGAACGTGTTGCCATCTTCCTGAAGCACAAGTGGCAACTGCTTTTCCACAGGTTCTTTTTCTGGAACTGTGGGGACGTCTCTTTCTTCACATTTTGGCACATCTGGCTTAACTCCACTTTCAGGTTCATGGGGAGGAGGCTCTACGTTGTCTATTGGTAATTTATCTATTGTTGTGTTGGAGTGACTCTGAAAGCTGGTTGAAGCACAGCGAGATGCTGGTTCGTTCTCCTCAATGACGCCATTTTCCTGCTTGAACATGGGACACGAGGAAGATCTGACAACACCTCGTTTCTCAAATGTTTGTTCACCATTGCCATTGTTTGAAAGACTGTTAAAGCGAATTCTGTTGACCTTTGTCATGAACTGTTTCACAGATTCCGCTGTGAGATGTTGACATGAAGACGAAGCCTCGTCGTAACTATCACTGCTTTCCGATTTAGTAGTATCGGTTTCCTGGTTGATTGCAACCATCTCAGGGTCATCACATTCTCCATCTGAAATACAGATTATAAACTGTTAGATATGTCAGGGAGGGAGTACTTTGAAAAGTGATGTTAGACACAGACATTACTACCATGGTGAAACCAAAGTGATGTTAGTCACAGACATTTACTACCATGGTGAAACCAAAGTGATGTTAATCACAGACATTTACTACCATGGTGAAACCAAAGTGATGTTAGTCACAGACATTTACCACCATGGTGAAACCAAAGTGATGTTAGTCACAGACATTTACCACCATGGTGAAACCAAAGTGATGTTAGTCACAGACATTTACCACCATGGTGAAACCAAAGTGATGTTAGTCACAGACATTTACCACCATGGTGAAACCAAAGTGATGTTAGTCACAGACATTTACCACCATGGTGAAACCAAAGTGATGTTAGTCACAGACATTTACTACCATGGTGAAACCAAAGTGATGTTAGTCACAGACATTTACCACCATGGTGAAACCAAAGTGATGTTAGTCTCAGACATTTACTACCATGGTGAAACCAAAGTGATGTTAGTCACAGACATTTACCACCATGGTGAAACCAAAGTGATGTTAGTCACAGACATTTACTACCATGGTGAAACCAAAGTGATGTTAGTCTCAGACATTTACTACCATGGTGAAACCAAAGTGATGTTAGTCACAGACATTTACTACCATGGTGAAACCAAAGTGATGTTAGTCACAGACATTTACCACCATGGTGAAACCAAAGTGATGTTAGTCACAGACATTTACCACCATGGTGAAACCAAAGTGATGTTAGTCACAGACATTTACATTACCACCATGGTGAAACCAAAGTGATGTTAGTCACAGACATTTACTACCATGGTGAAACCAAAGTGATGTTAGTCACAGACATTTACTACCATGGTGAAACCAAAGTGATGTTAACCACAGACATGTTACTACCATGGTGAAACCAAAGTGATGTTAGTCACAGACATTTACTACCATGGTGAAACCAAAGTGATGTTAGTCACAGACATTTACTACCATGGTGGTGAAACCATGGTGAAACCAAAGTGATGTTAGTCACAGACATTTACTACCATGGTGAAACCAAAGTGATGTTAGTCACAGACATTTACCACCATGGTGAAACCAAAGTGATGTTAGTCACAGACATTTACCACCATGGTGAAACCAAAGTGATGTTAGTCTCAGACATTTACTACCATGGTGAAACCAAAGTGATGTTAGTCACAGACATTTACTACCATGGTGAAACCAAAGTGATGTTAGTCACAGACATTTACTACCATGGTGAAACCAAAGTGATGTTAGTCACAGACATTTACCACCATGGTGAAACCAAAGTGATGTTAGTCACAGACATTTACTACCATGGTGAAACAGACAAAGTGATGTTAGTCACATTTACTACCATGAAACATTTTACACAGACATTTACATGGTGAAACCAAAGTGATGTTAGTCACAGACATTTACTACCACCATGGTGACATTTACCAAAGTGATGTTAGTCACAGACATTTACCACCATGGTGAAACCAAAGTGATGTTAGTCACAGACATTTACTACCATGGTGAAACCAAAGTGATGGACATTTACTACCATGGTGAAACCAAAGTTAGTCACAGACATTTACTACCATGGTGAAACCAAAGTGATGTTAGTCACAGACATTTACTACCATGGTGAAACCAAAGTGATGTTAGTCACAGACATTTACTACCATGGTGAAACCAAAGTGATGTTAGTCACAGACATTTACTACCATGGTGAAACCAAAGTGATGTTAGTCACAGACATTTACTACCATGGTGAAACCAAAGTGATGTTAGTCACAGACATTTACTACCATGGTGAAACCAAAGTGATGTTAGTCACAGACATTTACCACCATGGTGAAACCAAAGTGATGTTAGTCTACCATGGTGAAACCAAAGTTGTTAGTCTACCATGGTGAAACCAAAGTGATGTTAGTCACAGAAACCATTTACACAGACATTTACTACCATGGTGAAACCAAAGTGATGTTAGTCACAGACATTTACAAAGACTTTTGGTACCCATATTATCACTTTAGAGACTCACATCAGGAGGTTAAATATGTATAGTGTGACGTGGACTTTGACCTTCTCGTAAACTGAAGCGAAAGAATACCCCTGTGCCATTTGGTAAACATTCATGGAAGATTAAAGTGAAAACATAATATGAGAGGCAGTAATGGTCAAATATTGCCCAAATCTTTGAGTAGTCATTTGGCAGATGACAACCAACAACACACCTTCATCTTCCCCGAGTTCCTGCATCACGTGGTGCAGCTCATCAATCGTTACAGCTTCAACTGCTGAATCACATCTCTTCAACCCATCAATTACATTTGTTCCTCCTTTTGCACTTGCGACGCTGACCTGAAGGCCACCATCGTGAACTGTCCTTGACCCATCGTGAACTGTCCTTGACCCATCGTGAACTGTCCTTGACCCATCATGAACTGTCTTTGACCCATGGTGGACTGTCCTTGACCCATCATGAACTGTCCTTGACCCATCGTGGACTGTCCTTGACCCATCATGAACTGTCTTTGACCCATCGTGGACTGGCCTTGACCCATCATGAACTGTCCTTGACCCACCATCAAGCCCTGACCTTGACCCACCGTCGGCCACTGAACTGGACCCATCACTGGGCACTCTCTGATCACACTGGAGTTCTGGGATGCGGTCAAAGCGCAGCTCTCGTATTGCCCTCCTCACTGGCATTGTTTTCACGGCACCCTTCGGAGGCTCAGATGTGAACTCCGGTTTGAGAGGCGAGGGAGGGACACTGCTGGGCTGGGACCCGGGTGTGATCTTCAGGTCAGGTAAGTTGGATGGTCCTCGAGAGGATGTACTGCCAAAGCTCTGTCGCTTTGGATCACTTTTGTGAAGCAGACTGCGGGTGCTGTTTCTACTGAGAGCCTGTGCAAAAAGCACATAATTAGAACACAGACTATTTACTTGCTAGAATTGACTTTTACACCCAATAGAAACATATTTCAATGTGAAAAAAATGTGAAATAAAATCTGTAATTTATCTACATATTCAGCTCTTCAAGTGAGTGTGTCAGAGAAAATTGTTCAATGCCATGAAGTGGTCTGAAAGTATCCAATTCTGTGTCATAATAAGCACACAGGTCATTCGGACAAAATGCAACAGCCTACAAGGTCGTTGGGACACAATGACACAGTCAACAAGGTCATTAGGGCACAATGACACAGTCTACAAGGTCGTTGGGGCACAAGGACACACAGTCAACAAGGTCATTGGGGCACAAGGACACCTTCATCAAGGTTGCTGGGGCACAATGACAGGCATCAAGGTCGTTGGGGCACAATGACACATTCATCAAGGTCATTGGGGCACAATGACACAGTATACAAGGTCATTGGGGCACAATGACACAGTATACAAGGTCATTGGGGCAGAATGACACAGTCAACAAGGTCATTGGGGCACAATGACACATTCAACAAGTTTATTTGGGCACAATGACACAGTCATCAAGGTCATTGGGGCACAATTACACAGTCAAGAAGGTCGTTTGGGCACAATTGCACAGTCAAGAAGGTTGTTTGGGCAGGTTGTTTGGGCATTACACAATGACACACAGTCAACAAGGTCATTGGGGCAGGGTCACAATGACACACAGTCAACAAGGTCATTAGGGCACAATGACACACAGTCTACAAGGTCATTGGGGCAGAATGACAGTCAACAAGGTCATTTGGGGCACAATGACACAGTCAACAAGTTTATTTGGGCACAATGACAGTCAGTCAACAAGGTCATTGGGGCACAATGACACAGACACATTCAGCAAGTTTATTTGGGGACAAGGTCATTGGGGCACAATGACACATTCAACAAGGTCATTGGGGCACAATGACAGAGTCAACAAGGACATTAGGGCAGAGACACAGTCATCAAGGTCAGAGCAAAATGACACAGGCATCAAGGTGAACTGGGAGCACGCATTTTCTGCCCATGAGTTCAATATAGTCAATTTTTCTCAAAATCAATATTTAAGTCAGCTCTTTTGCAAAACTAGAGGTACTGTGGACAAATACTGATCTGGTATCTTAACAAGGCTTTACTTGTAATGACTCACATGCACACTGATCTCTAAAGACAAGAAACTCACTCTATCTGCATCCTCAGCCATAGTGGGCGTTTCCCTAGGGGTTGTGTCGATCGGGGTATGCATGGGTGTGTTGCCATAGGTTCCTGAAAAAATATTTTGTTATTTTACACAATTTGTAAATAATTGAGAGAATATACAAACTTACACATTTTCTATGGAAGGGACAAAATATATTTAGCTGAAGGAGGCATGGATCAGATGAACCAGACCCGACCTACCTAGCAATGAATGTGGCATGCTTGAGCTGCTTATGTCCAGGAAGCTGGTGGCGGGCGTGTTCCTCTGAGACTGTGGGGGTGTGGAGAGTCCGATGAGCACTGACGGGCTGTACTTCAGGTAGACATCGGGGTTGGGGACTGACAGGAACTCCACAATACTGTCGTAGCTTTTACCTTGAGACGATGACGCATCTTGGCCTACATGGAAGGAAGTTACAGACATGAATCTCGGTGAGTGAGACAGTTTTAAATCACTTTTAGCAATACTCCAGCAATATCAAGAGGGGGATATCAGACATGGAATGAAAACATTGTCCCTATGTGGGAATTGAACCTGGGTCTTCGGTGTGAGTCGACAAAAGGGTTTCCCACCACCTTGGCGTGAATCTTGTGATCTGCTTCACAGAATCTATGTACAACCCAGCTGGCGTCTCCTTGTATTTCATGAAAACAGCTGATGAAAGCAATCTTAGTGCTATATAAATGTTATTTTAATACATAATACTGGATCCGTGAAGGTCCGTGTTAGAATTGATCTTCAGCAACCCATGCTTGTTGTAAGAGGCGACTAACGGATTGGGTGGTCAGGCTCGCTGTCTGGGTTGACAAACGTCATCGTATCCCAACATGCTGTTGATTGTCTGGTCCAGACTCGATTATTTACAGACCGCTGCCATATAGCTGGAATATTGCTGAGTACGACGTAAAACTAAACTTACTCACTCACATAAATACTGAATGATGATGGATGATTGATAAATTGTCAGCCTGACATAAGAAATGACATTTAACCAGTCAGCCTTCCTGTGCCAAAGACGGTAAAGCAGAAGGTTCTACTCATACTCATAGAGTGAATGAGTGAGTGAGTGAGTGAGTGAGTGAGTGAGTTTAGTTTTATGCTGTTTGTAGCAGTATTCCAGAAATGCACTTGGGACACTAGAAACAGGCTTCACACATTATACCCACGTGGGGGAAACGAACCCAGGTCTTCGGCATGATAAGCGGACACATGAACCACAAGGCAACCCCACCACCCCCTACACAAAGACTCACCTTGAGGGTGTTCCTGAGCTTGTGTGACTAGATCCCTGGCGGCCTGGTAGGAGTGAGCAAAGATGGGACACCGCAGCTGCTCCCACGTCCCCTCCAGGTGGTCCAGCGACATCTTTGTACACTCCACAACCACGTCCTGCGTCTCCATACGCTTCCATCTGCAAAAGGAAACAGTGCATTTATGTTGGGCTTTCAACACCGCAATATTCTGTGAAAGCTCTAATTGAAAAGATTTCACATTCACCTTAGTGGGGAATGGTTATGACCAATTCTACCACAGATCTCCACAGTTCTGAATCGGTAGGTGAAATAGAATGTGATTGTAATATGAAAACCTTCCAGCACTTGATGTAAACAAGCATTGTCACCAAGGTGACATAATCCCCCCGTCGCAAATTATCAAATCAAACTTAAAAAGTAATGAAAGTTTAAGATGAAGTTAAATGTCAACAAAAACATGACCAGTCAACCTTTCTTGATATCGTGCTCTTTAGTTGTTCAAACACACAAATTGTTTTAAGACTGACTGACGTTGACATGAATGTCATAGTGTATGCAAAAAAGGTACTAAAGAAATTGCTTATTGAAAAACATTCAAGGGAAGTCTTGAAAGTCTACGAAGAAAATCCAGTGAATTCAGGTTAACATGCTGAAATCTTCAAAGTGTCACCATGAACTTGAAAATTATGTGAAGATCACCAAAATTGACTGGGCCCTGCGCCTTTATTAGATGAAGCTTGGAGTCAAATATGAAAAAAATCCAGTGAATGTTTTTTTGCAATATCTTGCTATCTTAACATGCAATTTAACATGCTGAAATCTTCAAAGTGTCTTTGTGACCTTGAAAATTAAGTGAAAATCACCAAAATCGACTGGGCCCTGCACCTTCCCTAGATAAAGCTTGATGTCAAATATGAAGAAAATCCAGTGAATGGTTCTTGAGGTATCTCCCTGACAAGCATAACATGCAGGTTAATATGCTGAAATCTTCAAAGTGTCGCCATGACCTTGAAAATTACGTGAAGGTCACCAAAATCAACTGGGTGCTGTGCCTTCACTAGATAAAGCTTGGTGTTGAATATGAAGAAAATCTAGCAAACGGTTCTTGAGATATGTCGCTGACAAGAGTAAAACGTTACAGTCCCCTTGTGACCTTGAAATGAAGGTCAAGGTCACCAAACCTGACTGGGACCTTTCTTATACTGTGATGAACCTAGGTACCAAATATGAAAAGAATCTAGTCAATGGTTCTTAAGATATTCTAATTGGTACGTACGTACGGACAGAGCCTAATACTATAATCCCCGCTTCGCATTAAACGTGCGGCGGGAGACGGACAGACGTGCAGACGGACGGAGCCTAATACAATGTATCCTCGCTTTGTGCTAAATTCGTGGCGGGGGATAATAAAAATCAAGTGTACATTGACCTGGGTAAAAAACTTTGAACATGCTTTGGGGAACAGATTTGATGCATTATAAGTATACGATTAGTATTATTTTTGAAAGGTGACTGGGTCATATCTGACATGAGAAATGAGATTTACTTCAATACGAGTGAGTACGGTCTTACACCACTTTTAGCAATATTCCATTAGGCTAGCCAACTGCCCCAATTTGAATACGAACCTGTTTGTGGATGTTTCTTGTTCTCGGGACCCCACAATAAGGAATGGATGGAGTCGGACTCTCTCCAGCATCGGCTGCAAAAGACAGTTGGTTGGATATATTTAAGACTTGTAGGACAGCAATTCAGATAGACTCAGACACAGTGATCCCAATAACTGAGATGCTAAATACAACTTTCTACAAACCTCATGGTACGCTTTGTTTGTTGTTTTACGCCCCACTCAGCAATATTCCAGCTATATGGCGGCAGTCTGTAAATAATCCAGTCTGGACCAGACAATCCAGTGATAACAGCATGAGCATCAAACTCCGCAATTCAGATACGATGACATGTGTCAATCAAGTCAGTGAGCCTGACCACCCGATCCTGTTAGTCGCCTCTTATGACAAGCATGGGTTGCTGAAGACCAATATTCTAACCCAGACCTTCACGGGTCCGCAATTGAAAAACGGGTCTATTTGTGTGATGACCCTACACCCTGCTGTCATATTCCCCATCATTGGAGGACTATCTGCATTTAAGCACACAAACCCAAAACAACATAAAAAAGCACATGAAGTCACGTCAGCCACGGCTTCACTGTGGGAAACATGCATGTGCACAAAGAGAGAACACATGACATCATGCCATGTGACATGATTCTATAATTAGTGAGTGAGTGAGTTTAGTTTAACGACACACTAAGCAATATTCCAGCTATATGGCGGTGGTCTGTAAATAATCGAGTCTGGAATAGAGAATCCAGTGATCAACAGCATGAGCATCGATCTGCGCAATTGGGAACCAATGACATGTGACAACCACGCAATTCTATAATTAGATGACTAATGCTGGCATATCACCTGCTGCACAAATTTATACAAACCTGTAGAGAGTTACCTGCTCTTGGCTCTGGCCCCGAGAGGTGGTCTCATCAAAACGAGTTTTTTGTTTTGTAAATATTTTATTGAAAAATATAGTTAAAATGGACATTTAAATGCTTTTATGTACCCCAAGGAGGACTTCTTCTGAAAAAGAATGGACATTAGTTGTTTCAAATCTCACCATAATGACTTCATCAAAGACTGCAGCGTTGTCCTTCTTCCGATACTGCTGGTGGAGGTATGTGAGGAAGGAGGACGGGTACATCCCGTACAGACGATGCAGCATGCTGTACAACGCCACCTGGAGGTGCAGCAGGAAGATGTCTGGGGTGTTGGCTGTAAGGGGAGATAAGCAGATATAGTTTCTCAAGACAATACTGAACAATAAGGGCAAAAACCTTCAGTAAAACTTTCAGTATTTTCAGGAATCTACAGGAAAGAAAGAAAACAGAAATCATAAGCATTGGAATTTATGGTTGGGTTGGTTGGTTTGTGGTTTAACACCACACTCAGCAATATTCCAGCTATATGGCGGCGGTCTGTAAATAATTGAGACTGGATAAAAAATCCAGTGATCAACATCATGGCCATCGATCTACACAAGTGGGATATTATGACATGCTTCAATCAAGTCAGTGAGCCTGACCACCCTATACCATTAGTCAGCCTCTTACGACAAGCGTGGGTTACTGACTGAAGATTAATTCTAACCTGGACCTTCACGGGTCTTGAGACCTTATATACCCTACCTAAGCATGTTATATGTTTTTGAAATGAACAAAGTACAGTTAAAACTACGAAGATCATGTCTGCCCAAAAGGGCCATAATCCTACTTTGTCCTTCAATGACCTAAGGTCCACCGGTCCTCACCTGGTTTCTTAATACTGAAGGTCGAGAGTCTCATGAAGATGTCAAATATTTCCTGCAGATGGGATCCAATGGTGACCGGGACAACCGGCAACAACATCGTCACTATCATCAGCGCCGTCATCACAACTGGGATGTCATTAGCATTCTGTAAAAATATGAGTGAGTGAGTGAGTGAGTGAGTGAGTGAGTGAGTGAGTGAGTGAGTGAGTGAGTGAATTAGCATTCTGTAAAAAGATGAGTGAGTGAGTGAGTGAGTGATGAGTGAGTGAGTGAGTGAGTGAGTGAATTAGCATTCTGTAAAAATATGAGTGAGTGAGTGAGTGAGTTTTTATGCTGATTTTAGCATTATTCCAGCAATATCAAGTTGAGGGACACCAGAAATGGGCTTCACACATTGCACCTATACTTAAATAGTGTTGTCTGCATGTTGTGGATATGAGCAGCTGATGTTACAAGCCCAAATCAATGCTGGTTTTACAGTGCCAGATCACTGGAATACCATTCACTAAGATAACATGGGCACCTGACTAAACACAGAGCATGTGACTCAGGCCAGACCTGTCCTTGTCTCACCTGCTTAATGATGAGACATAGTGAGGGCATGGTAACAATCAGCAATATCCATCTATATGGCTGTCACTAAATAATGAGTCTGGACCAGACAATCCAGTGATCAACAGCATGAGGCCAGACCTGTCCAATTGGGAACCGGGACACCAAGAAATGGGCTTCACACCTGCTTGGGGAATCGAACCTCTTCTTCAAGCATATGTAGCAGGCAAGCACATGGGTTGCTGAATAGCTAATCTACCCCGGATCTTCACGGGTCCATGGTAACAATAACTGCCATCTTTAACCTGTCATGTTGAAAGACAGACGGGTATCGAACCACCCACCTTCTATGATCAATCAAGAGGTTGTTTTGTTTTAGAAATTGCAATGAAAGTCATCATATTGTATAAGAACCTCACTGTATTACCCATGATGGAACAGATTTTCTGCAATTTTTTACTCAAGGTGTTCTTCATAAGTTGAACTTTCAGACCTTGACCTTAAACCAAGACATTATAAAGACACAAATACTACCACTTCTCAGGACTGTACAGGTTAAAGTTCAACAATAACTGACATTAATATAATACAGCCATGTTTCACAATACACTCAAAAATGACCTTGACCTTGACCAGACATAACACCAACATTTGTAAAGATACAAAGAATCACTAAACTTCATGGCAGTATCCAAGCTTCAAAACTGATTTGACTATGCTTTACAAAAAAATTGAAAGCTGACCTTGACCTTTGATTTATATTGACCATGAACTCTTCAAAAGGCCCTGCACTTGAGAAGGCATATACCAAGTTTAATAACACATGGATACATACATTTTGATAAGTGTACGAAAATCATTTCAATGAGATTTTTCATCTCATGACCTTGACCTTTTCATTGCAAGACATTCAAAAGTTAATGTGGAATACCTCGTCTGCAGGATACATGCTCTAATGTCAATAATGTTTACAATATATTCAGTAGAAATCATTTCTTTGAGATGGTAATCTTTTCAGAAGCATTATAGAAATTTCAATGCATATTTCATAAACCCTGCCCAGCACTAATTACAATATCTTAAGGATGAGAATGGTTTTTATGCCACTTTCAGCAATATTCCAGGAACATCACAGTAGGGGGGGGAAACTCCTCCAGAAATGGGCTTCACACATTGTAACCATGTGGGGAATCGAACCTGGGCCTTCGAACGGACGCATTAACCACTCGGCTGCCCCACCACCCCTCTACAAACCTGGGGCATATACCCAATTGAATATCACAGTCTAACCTTGAGACACTTGAGCAATGTAGAGAAGATGGGAGATGCCACTATCTTGTGAGTCCAGGGGGGTTGTTTGTAGACAATGTACATCAGCAGCTGCAGCGACTGCAGCTTCTCCTTGTTCTTCAGCCCATCCTGTAGCTTGTCCAACAATGGCTGAAACACAAGTAGAGGAAGTTGGTCATCTTGTCGTCTGGTTCCCATTCCACAAAGTCATTCCAGTTGTTGTGAGTCTATGTAAAGCAGGGTTTTACATGACTCGCAATTCCTGCGTATTTGATGCAACAATTTTGCAAACAACTCTCATAATATTATCATAAGAGTCAAGCTTGACGCAAGTTTTATGGGTGGCCCTCACAATTCAGTTTAACAAAATGGATTTGATAAGCAAAAAAAGATATTGTTCGATGATAGTTTGACTTTTACAGAGCTGTCAGATTGTTCCAGAGTACTCAGAGGAGACAGTAATCTTGGCTGTTTGAATTGAACAATGCTGTAGTTTCATTTGGTGGTGCGACATACACAGTTACATACTGAGAATGATTAACATAAAGATTTCATGACTCCCAAATATTGAAAATGACTCCCAAAAATAAATATTGTGAGTCACCATGACTCTCATATTTAAAAGTCTGTGTAAAACCCTGGTAAAGTATGGAGAAAAAAGTCATCTTGGTGCTTCGAGTATACGAGTTACAAAACGGCTTTGGACAAAGATGAACTATTGAGGATCATTAGAACATTGTCTAACAAGCCCAACAAGCAATGGCTGAAACATGACAGGAGGAGATAACTCTTGTCTGTCATTTACATATCACAAAAAACTGCTACACATGATAAAAAGATTCAATATGGCTGCCATGTGTTCACTCTGATAAATATGAGGACCCTCAACACCTGAGATGAATTATGTTCCGGCAGATTCATAACAAGAGATCCTTTAAAACAACACCATGGTCAGAAAGGTCAGCTAGGTTGGCAGGAGGAGATAACTCTTGTCATTTGGTCATTTCAATATTACAAAAACTGCTGTGAATGATAAAAAGATTTGAATTTTCAATATGACTGCCATGGTTCATTTTGATGGACATGAGGACTCTCAACAAATGAGATGAGAAATGTTCAGACAGATTCCTAACAAGAGGTCAAGTAAAACATCACCGAAGTCAGTAAGGTTGCTTGCCTTATCCTGAGGTTCTCGGACCTCAGCCAGGATTTCCTCGATCCTCACAGAATGTGTGACGTAGTAATAGTCGACCAGCGTGTGGATCAGCCATGCCTCCCGTCCTGCAAGTCAGTGAGTAGGGAACATATGTTATATTTGGGATTACACGTTCTTAGTAAAATACAGATTCTAGTACTTTTTGGGTTGAGTCTCATCCGGGATTCGAACCCACACCCTCAGCGTCAGGCACCTAATCGCCAGCACACAAAGTCAGACGCCTTGAGTGTGGGTTCGAATCCCGGATGGGACTCAACCCAAAAAGTACTAGAATCTGTGCTTTACTGAGAAAGTGTAATCCCAAATATAACATATGTTACATTTGACCACTTTTTAAATGGCATTGTGTATTTCACAGTGAGTAGGGAGGTGAGATGGGGGAAAGGGAGGCAACTCAGAACAGTGAATTGCAGCATTTTTTGAAAACTGGGTGACCGGATCTCTCACTTGAAGAACTACTAATGTTTTTTACTCCCAACAATAGGCTGGTTATTTCTAAATGTAGCCCATCTTGAAAGTGGCAGTGAATACACTCTGTCCAGAAATTACAACATGCGATAGCATATAATCATGATGCTTTCCTCCCAAATTTACTTTGCTCTGTGCTATAGTTACAGAATTATGAGTGAGTGAGTTGAATTTTACGCCGCACTCAGCAATATTCCAGCTGTATGGCGGCGGTCTGTAAATAATCGAGTCCGGGCCAGACAATCCAGTGATCAACAGCATGAGCATTGATCTGCGCAATTGGGAACCGATGACATGTGTCAACCAAGTCAGCGAGTCTGACCACCCGATCCTGCTAGTCGCCTTTCACGACAAGCATAGTTGCCTTTTGTGGCAAGCATGGATTGCTGAAGACCTATTCTACCCCGGATCTTCACGGGTCACAGAATTATGATCACAAAGGCGCTCTTGATCTGATCATCTTGATCACTGTCAAATGAACAACGAAATGTCCACTTGACAGGCAGACAAGAAGGAACACATTCCATATCTCGCCATTGCGCAGCTGAGGAAGTGAAGACAAGACTTGCCTGAGGTGAGATTGTCAAGTATGAGCCTTCGGATGTCGTCAGCCACGTCGATGTCTGACGACTCCAGAAGGGTGAACATCGCATTGATGTTCTGGGGTTGGTCGATCTGTATACTGGCAGCCATCACCGTCAGCTCTGTACCTATCCTCTTCAATCATTCTACTCACAGGACCATCCACTGATCATCATCAACAGACTGCAACACAAGAAGGGACATTTGTTGGATGCCAAACTCAGAATCAGGCAAATTAGGAACAAATTTAATATTTCTCAAAATTGACTTTTTAAGTTCTCATTCAGTAAAGTTCAAAGGCCAAAACATTTAACATGTAAAAGCCTCTTCTGCTTGTGCATTTTAAAGTTAGTATTTATTTAACTTCAGATTACTCTTAACATCAAACGAGAGCGGAAGGTCGCGGGTTCGATCCCCGACCGCGTCATACCAAAAGATGTTAAAATATGGTACATGTTGGTCTCTGCCTGGCGCTCGGCATTAATGGGTACAAGGACTGGTCGGCTCGGAGTCAGTATAATGTGTCTGAGTAGGGTATTCATGCTTCACTGCGTCATGGTATCTCAGTGGGCTAGCACTATAAAACCAGCTTAAGTCTGGGCTAGTACAAGCAGCCGCACATACACATACACACGCATGCACATCGTCATATGAGCGAAATCTTCTCAAGCACGACGTTAACCCAATTTCACCTCACCTCACCTTTTAACATCAAACGGGTTCATACAGCCAAGAGCCCTTGAGATTCAAGGGCTTCTCAAGGACCTTTGACATGTGATGTGTTTTCAAGCACCACTTTTTTCCCAAAGTATCGCAGACAAGTGTCACTTTTGGTTTCGACATTGCCGCTTCCAGCTTTAACAATGATCTATCTGAACACAGCACAAACGCCCGATTCACAGACAGAGCCTGGTTTCTTTTTTTTTGATGATGTAAGGAACCAGGAAATAGACACAATTTAATCAAAACGATATATTGATCGTCAGTGCAACCACAACAAATATTTAAATGAAATTTCAAGCACTTTTCAAGGACACGTTAAAAAATCCAGCACTTTTTAAGTACTTTTGTGGTAAATTTTCAAATTCAAGTACTTATCGAACGTGGTTAAATTCAAGCACTTTTCAAATCTGTGCGAACCTGTCAAACTTTCTTCTTCACTGATTGCAGTACCTGTGAAATACAAGTGACCTTGACCTAGCCAGGGCTAAAGGTACCAGATATAGCTTGCACCTTGTGCATGTCGATATCACAAGCTGTTTACACCAGATATAACTGGACTGAACTCATACTTATATCAACTACAAGTATAAACATAACCCTGCAGATCCCAGAGCCGAGTCACTAATATTCTGAAGATTTCAGTTCATGGAAAAGATCACCTCATAATTGATCATATAATACATATTTACACCCAATAAAATTTCTAACCTGAAGAGGTGAGGTGAGGTGAAATTGGGTTTAAAGTCGTGCTTGAGAATATTTCGCTCATATCACGACGTGAATGCGCGTGTATGTGTATGTGCGGCTGCTTGTACTAGCCCAGACTTAAGCTGGTTTTATAGTGCTAGCCCACTGAGATACCATGCCGCAGTGAAGCATGAATACCCCACTCAGACACATTATACTGACTCCGAGCCGACCAGTCCTTGTTGTACCCATTAATGCCAAGCGCCAGGCAGGGACCAACAAGTACCATATTTTAACGTCTTTTGGTATGACTCGGTCGGGGATCGAACCTGCGACCTTCCGCACTCCGGGCGGACGCTCTAACCACCACACCACGGAGGCGGTGATTTGTCTTGTATTTCATGTCACTGTCACAAGATTTAGTAGATAATGATATTGATTTGATAATGATATCAACAACGTGAACTCCAAAGGACAATGTCAAATTACACATAACATTGGAACTAGTGACGTTTTAAGTTTCGGATTAAAACTTGCTTACTGGGTCAGTTAAAATCTGCAAAATTTTGATGTGTGTGCATGAAGAAATAGTTACTGTATACATTGTCCTATATCAGGCTGGGGTAATGCATGTCTGACATTATTAAACCGATCCCTGCATTCATGTTCATAATTATACTAACATAAAATATAAAATTACAATTTGGGAATTGTTACGGAAATATCCTGCAGAACTGGTTTGACAATGTTTTATGTCAGATTGCCTTGACTACTGAATATAACTTGCCTAAGATTACAATTCAACTTGCAAAAAAATGTAGTACAATCTGTACTTTACTGAGATAGTGCAACCCTAAATATAACATACATTTGACAACCTTCTAAATGGCATTGTGAATGCAATGACTATTCCAAGTATTTCAAAATGATCATCTGATAGTGATATTGACTTCAGCTATTGAAGTCCTCACCAATTTACTAAATTTGTATTCTGCATCAAATCATAATGATCATGAAGAACTTTGCCTCAAATTTTCAAAAGGTTCATTAATACTGAATAAAGATGTGCATGTCAGTTGAACGCCTACTTGGTAGAGGTGTGACGATACGGAAATGTCACGATACGATACGTATCGCGATATCTGGGTACGATACGATTCGATGCATATCACGATATGCTATCTTTAGTTATTTTCTTTAAAAAGTATATTTTGATAGCAAGTAACAGTGTAAATTTTTACATAACCGTCAATTTATAATGAGCATTAACAATTTTAAGGTCAACGATACGTATCACGATACGAACAAAAGTATGGTTACAAACTGGATTTGCCAAGATTATATTAAGCAAGATTCCTGTCATTGTTGAGCAAGATTCCTGTCATTGTTGACAATTATTCAGACATCCAGACATTCTCCTATGAAAAATCTATACTGTCTACTAATGAACCTAATTGCAGTTTGTTTCACTTATAGTCTAACTTAAATTTATCTGAATTTAGACACTTCTTTTAAAGGATTTATTTGACTGATTGTGAAATCTAACTTGTCAAAGATTTATCCAACATTTTAGACTTATCCCCCACGTGTTATCCCCTCAACTTGGACCTTTTTTAATGGAAATTACTTATACTGCAGTAATGTCTCTCTTTACTTTTCCTTGTGAAAATATATATTACTGGAGGTTTGGCAGTGAGTGAGAACAATTACTTTGGAAAACAGATATCCTAGGAATGTCAAATGTTCAGTGAAAAACATGCTAAAACCACAATCAAACGATATATCAATCAAACAATATATTTCTAAGAATAACGTAAAGGACGTGTCAAATCTTATTTCATATATATATGTTTAAAGATATCATTGCAATTTATGCCATATGTTAGGGTGAAAAACATTTCTTTTCAAGAGCCAACAAATACTGTTGACGATATGACGAATTACTCTGACCACAGCCTTGACTGCATTGCCTGGGTTAGGGCAACCTAACCCTCACTTAACATAAATGATTGTTTTGTACTTCTCGCCAAGAGTTATAACTTTTAGATATTCCCACACTGTTACTGGTGACAGCTTTAATAAATATTTCGTTGAGAAAACATTTACCAACCTGACAATATTTTGAACATTCCTAAAACATGGGTCTGGCTTAATAGATGTCAAAATGTCATAAAACTATATATGCATATATGTAAACACTGTGTGCCGTCAAGGAACTCGGTTAAGTTCAAAACTTTAAAAATACTGACTCAAGGATGCATAGTGGCCATAATACTGATGTTGCTACGATAAGAAGATGAGTAAGTTGACACAGCACGTAATCAGCTGGCTATGCAAACTGCGTCAAAAATCAATATATGCATACACACTTGGCATAATCTGAAACTGATGTCAGATAGGCAGCAATTTTTAACAAGGCCAACTATAAATTACTATCAAGTCGTTTTCTATTCAAAACTTAAACAAATACATAGATTACCTTCAGAAGTTGCAAAACAAACACTATTCGCGTGTGAATAAACTGTTCAGTGCCACTAATCTTTTCACTCGTGTACTGGCACCGGAAGTGACCCTCTCGCGTGTAGTTCAAGCCGAAGTCACGAGACTGGGTAGTAGTAAATTGCATTAGTCCAAATAAATGACAAAGCTTGGTTTCGCCTGTAATTTGTTCTGTTTTATAGTGGGATATCTTATACTAGCGGTAGGCGGTTTGTGCAAACCTGCCATCCACTCCCATATCATTTGAGTCTCGCTATACCTTTCACCCCTTCTTTTGAGCTATTCCATTATTTCCATACTATCTATTGATACTATCTATAAGTTACAACTAGTAATTTTTCCCAGAAGATGTAATTTTGGAATGTTCACTACTTTAACCCGTGACATATATTATGTCAAAAATACGAAGTTTATTAGAATCTATTTTATTGAAATGAGAAACATAACTTAGCAATGTTATTTTATTTTGTATCAGCAGTATATCGTTAGTTAACAGGAAAATAGAACATAATACAACAAAATGGCGCCCCGCATGGAACCGGGGAAATTTGGATTTTTTAACTTTTGAATAACTTGCTCGTGTTCAGCTGTCAACCGAAAATGGAACCCCAGACCAGTCAAGATGTTGAAAATGAACGCTTGAAATTACAAAACGACATTCAAAAAATCCAAGACACTCTATATGAGGACAGCTACAGCGAGTACGATAGCAGCGACGATTCCTGCCTTGAAATTGACTTGGGGAATTCCGGCCGAAATTCCGAGAGGAATCAGTCCACTTTGACCGTTACTGATGACGGTACGTTCGCGCCAATCATAAACTATGTTGAGGGTCAAATGTTCTTTGCCGGCTCCCATCTTTATCATGTATCGAAAAAATAAATATATTTCTTTTGACCATGTTGATGAAACATTTATCAGAAAGAGTTCCTTCCTTTCCCCCATATTTTGTCTTTTCTTGAAATGTATTCTATTTGTTAAGATTATTTCGAGGAGTTAGGGTTAAGGATAAGGTTTAGGCTTTTTTATAAAAGAGATAAATAATCTATTGTTAGGCATAGAATGACAAAAAAAAACACCCCAAAAACAACAACCAAAACACCAGGGGTTACTGGCGGATTTCTTTTCTTAATTATCTGGGTTTTTTTCTCTCGTGAAACTAGAAAAGTGAGAAAAAGTACTGGAGTTATCTCAAATTGCTTTGGATTTATTTGTTTGTGCAGGCGCATGCACGTGTGCCAGAGATGCGAACCACTCCGATTTTGGCGGAGTTACTCCAATTTTCAGATACAAAATCTGCTGTCCGATTTCTCTTTAAAAAACTCAGAATTTTGAGAAAAAATTCTGAATTTATTTTTACGGTATATAATTTCGTAAGTCACCGGTGTTTTATTGAGTGAACACTGGTAAAAACATTCAGAAGCTTAGCGTGTGATCCTTTGGGTGTCGATTGTGTATATCGGGGTTATTGACGATGAAATTTCACAAAGTTTTTCTGAATTCATATCATAGTTTCTATGAAAGTGACAAGAAATGGCAGAGCCGACCACGAGCTCACCCCAAACTCGCACCATTGGGGCTCAGGCCTGGCTTTCAGCCAGTCATGACTCCGTTTTCCTTAGATTCAGGGTTGGCATCTCTGCGTGTGCCTGCGAGTGTGCGCATGTGTGTAGTTCATTGAATTTATTCATGTGTGTGCATGCACGTGTGCTTTCGTGAGTGTGTGTCTGAGTGTGAGTGTCTTCAGCTGAACCATGACTTACCTCACAACTTACCCAAAGAATTTGACAGGGTGTTAGATCACAAGAGGTCCCCATCCCTAAGGATAGTGAAATGATAGCTTAATCTTAAAGAGGTTCAAGATAAGGACAGTTGGATGTATGCATAATTCATAATATGAATTGAAAGTTGTTAAGTAAAGTCATGTATCCACTAACTCACAACGGCAAAATGACTTCTCATCCACAGTCCTGATAATTTACTTGATGCTGAAAAAACTGCAGTCACACTTATATTGACTTCTTTAGATCAGTGAAACAGTTCAGTAAGAAAACCATTGCTCAGTTTTGAAGAACATGATTTGATTTGTATAACATTGACATGTTTCAGATGCCAGAACTCATTCAAGCTTGGGTGAATCTTCTACAAGTCATTTCGAAGGAACTGAGGTGAGTAAGAACCTGGGAAAGCTTATGAATGCTCCGCCACAGGGGGGGGAAATAGGTTTGAGCTCCGTCTGACCAAGACAATGGGGACAGATTTTCTCAAAAAACGTTATAGATAAGGAAACCAAATTTTAGTATGTGTTTTCAGGACATGAATGCCTCAATGGAGTTTGAAAATGAAAACCGTGTTACAATTTGTTAAAGAGTTCTGGTCCTTCTCATGCATTTCTTGACTTCGAGCACGGTATCCCAAATGTTGACAGATTTCCTCAAAAACCATGAAACTATTTAAAGATAGGGAAACCAAATTTGGTATGTATTTTCAGGACACAAATGCCTTGATGGGAGTTAATTACATGCCATTTTACAACCCTTCTGTGTGCTTAAGTGCTTGTAACCCTGCTTACAACATGCAAGGTGACTTACTAGTAACTACTGTCCCGTGTCAATGACAACTCTTTAAGATGACTTAGAACCATCCTCTGTGACTTACAACTGTGCAAAGTGACTTACAACAATGTAAAGTGACTTATAACTGTGGAAGGTCACTTACAACTGTGCAAGGTGATTTACAAGTGTGCAAGGTGACTTACTATTGTCCCATGTCATTGACAACTCTTTAAGATGACTTACAGCTGTGCAAGGTGACTTACAACAATGTAAAGTGACTTATAACTGTGCCATGTCATTGACAACTCTTTAAGATGACTTAAATTTTAAAACCATCCTCACTGACTTACAACTATGCAAGGTGACTTGCAACCCTGCTATGTGACTTACTTCTACACAATATAAGTTACTACTGTGCAAATTGCAATGTGTCTTACATCTGTGCAAGGTGACTTACAACTGTGCTATGTATCTTACAATTATGCCATTTGAAACACAACCTTGCAAGGTGACTTACAACCCGCCATGGAACTTACAACTGTTCAGTGTGACTTACGTCTCTGATTTGCAGATATCGGAAGTAACTGACTATGAACAAGAGATCAGTGTTGGTGACGCTGATTCTACAGAGTTGCCAGTGTCTGTGGAATCATGTCTGGCATTGAATCGAGCATACCAGGAAGTGATTGTGGACGTTCTCCGACAGATCGAGGCTTCACTGGAGGAGAACAGGCAGAAACAGGTGACGACGGTTTCCATGGTTACATACAAACATGACTGATTTAATCTCTTCTCTTGGGGGGGGGTTGGGTTGGGGTTGGAGTAGCCTAGTGGTTAAGGCGTTTGCTCGTCACGCCGAAGACTCGGGTTCGATTCCCCACATGGGTACAATGTGTGAGGCCCATTTCTGGTGTCCCCAGCCATGATATTGCTGGAATATTGCTAAAAGCGGCGTAAAACCAAACTCACTCACTCACTCTTCTCTTGGGTTTGAAATTGTCTGTTTCAGTTCTCACAACACATAATAGATTTTTTTCTCCATAACTGACTACTTTCTGTTTGAAATGGAGTTGTGTTTTTTCAGCAGATACATCTGAGGCTTCAGTATTTTTATCTTCATTTTGAACTTCAAATTTATTTTGAATTGTGTATGACTGATATCAACAAGTAAATGTCCACCTGTGTACATATAACCAGGGTATAACAAGACATATATGATATTCTGATCTTTCAGATGTTTATTTTGGTGTGATGGCATTTGCTATCACCAAGGAGAAAACTTTTGATGTTTCTCGTCCTTGCAATAACAAACAATGCGTGATTGACATATGCCACACCTTCAGACCCCAATACGACCCATGAAGATCCGGGGTAGAACAGGTCTTCAGCAACCATTGCTTGCCACAAAAGGTGACTATGCTTGTCGTAAGAGGCGATTAACGGGATCGGGTGGTCAGGCTCGCTGACTTGGTTGACACATGTCATCGGTTCCCAATTGCGCAGATCGATGCTCATGCTGTTGATCACTGGATTGTCTGGTCCAGACTTGATTATTTACAGACCGCCGCCATATAGCTCGAATATTGCTGAGTGCGGCGTAAAACTAAACTCACTCACACACTCAGACCCAAAGACAGCATGTATGACAAAATTGGGCACTTGGGGACATTTAACCAGATTCCTAGGGATATAAAAGAATTAACTGACTCAACTTCAATTTTATTTCAGCAAGAATGTGAGAAGGATGTGATTTGTCGGAGAGAGAAGAGTCTGAACTCTGCCCAGTCAAAAGTTCTGTACAAGCATTTCTCCATGCCCTACATCAAAGACCCAGCTGGAGGGGTGAGAGGTTTAACTTTTAAACAATTTTAAATGTAATTGTTGAGTAGGGTTGTTGTAGTTTAATGTGTCTATTAATTAGTTTTGGAATTGGGGAAAATATGTATGGTGTCAAGTTTCCATTGGTTTCTTAATGGGAGATAACTCTGTCAAGACTGCATGTCTGCTGACTGGCAAATGGGGACAACACAGGCATGTCCTGAAAAGTGCTGATATATGTTACTAATTCCTAGACTGAGTTATGAGGGTAGTGACATTCATGCAGTTCTAATCATGATGATTTAGATAATTACGATGTAGATAATGAGGATTTAGATGATACAGATGATGATGATGCTGATTTAGATAATTACGATGTAGATAATGAGGATTTAGATGATACAGATGATGATATAGAGGATTTGTTTTTTGTTTAATACCGTACTCAGCAACATTCCAGCTATATGGCGGCGGTGTATAAATTATTGGGTCTAGACCAGACAATCCAGTGATCAATAGCATGAGCATCGATCTACGCTATTTTTATAAGAGGTAAAGATGATGATTTAGATTTAGAAGATGATGTTGATTGAGATGATATAGATGGTTGTGAAGGATGATGATGATGATGATAGTAAGGTAATTACCCCAAATTCCATCCCCAGGGTCCCCCTCCGAATGAAGATGTTCGTATAAAACAACTGATGAAGGAACACAAGCAGGATATACCACCAGACAGAGATTGTAAGTCCAACCCCTCAGTTCCTCTACCATCCTCTGTAATCCAGGGTGTATTAGCTCCATTCTGCTTGGATAAATACCCTGGGAACATTTCTAACAATGCCTGTCCAATCAGATTACACTCACGAAGAAAACAAATCTGGTGCCAGGTTCGTAATAAGAGATACTGTGATTGCGATGTCTGGAAGATTCTTTGTTTTCAAAGAGTTTTTGGCAAAGATTGAAATAATAGCTTCTTTGCTCACAAATTTCTCCTAATATCCGTTTCAGGGCTGAATCGAGACAGAAAGAAGCTGTACGAAGCCATTGCTGAGGATGCTCTCCAACAGCTGCTGCAGCCTCTGATGGTCAGGGACGTGGGTGTCACCATGGCAACGGAGACGGAGGGGATCATGTGCCCTATGCACAGTATTGGAAAAGGCTGAATAAAGAAGTTTAGGTGACAAGTTTTGTTGTTTGCGAGTCACAATTACCCCGATGATGTGGACATTTGTCAATGGGATGTCAGGTCAAGATGTCTAGTCGAGACATCGTCAGTACAGGTGACGTACCTGAAACATTTCAAACTGCCACATTAAACAACTTTTATGCACTTCATCGCTCGTGGACGAATATGCTGTTTCTTTGACTGATTTTACTGGTTTTGTGAGTGGAGTTGCAGATGTTGTGACTGACGTTGCTGGTGTTGTGACCGATGTTGCTGGTATTGTGACCGATGTTGCTGATGCTGTGACTGATGTTGTTCGTGTTGTGAGTGATGTTGCTAGTGCTGTGAGTGATGTTGCTAGTGCTGTGACTGATGTTGCTGGTGTTGTCAATGATGTTGGTGTTGTTACTGATGTTGTTGTGGCTGGTGTTGTGAGGGAAGTTGCTGGTGTTGTTACTGATGTTGTGACTGATGTTGCTGGTGTTGTGAGTGATGTTGCTGGTGTTGTGACTGATGTTGTGAGGGAAGTTGCTGGTGTTGTGACTGATGTTGCTGGTGATGTGAGTGATGTTGCTGGTGTTGTGACCGATGTTGCTGGTGTCATACCGATGTTGCTGGTAATCTGAGTGATATTGCTGGTGTTGTGACCGATGTTGCTGATGCTGTGACTGATGTTGCTAGTGTTGTGACCGATGTTGCTGATGCTGTGACTGATGTTGCTGGTGTTGTGACTGATGTTGCTGGTGTTGTGAGTGAAGTTGCTGGTGTTGTGACTGATGTTGCTGGTGTTGTGACTGATGTTGCTGGTGTTGTGAGACTGATGTTGCTGGTGTTGTGAGTGATGTTGCTGGTGTTGTGACTGATGTTGCTGGTGATGAGTGGTGCTGGTGTGGCTGATGTTGCTGGTGTTGTGACTGATGCTGTGAGTGAGTGATGTTGCTGGTGATGTGAGTGATGTTGCTGGTGTTGTGAGTGATGTTGCTGGTGATGTGAGTGATGTTGCTGGTGTTGTGAGTGATGTTGCTGGTGTTGTGACTGATGTTGCTGGTGTGTATTGATGTTGCTGGTGTTGTGAGTGATGTTGCTGGTGTTGTGACCGATGTTGCTGGTGTTGTGACTGATGTTGCTGGTGTTGTGACTGATGTTGCTGGTGTTGTGAGGGAAGTTGCTGGTGTTGTTACTGATGTTGCTGGTGTTTTGAGTAATGTTGCTGGTGATGTGAGTGATGTTGCTGGTGTTGTGACCGATGTTGCTGGTGTCATACCGATGTTGCTGGTGCTGTGATCTGAGTGATATTGCTGGTGTTGTGACCGATGTTGCTGATGCTGGTGACTGATGTTGCTGGTGTTGTGACTGATGTTGCTGGTGTTGTGAGTGATGTTGCTGGTGTTACTGATGTTGTTGGTGTTGTGGCTGATGTTGCTGGTGTTGTGAGTGATGTTGCTGGTGTTGTGAGTGATGTTGCTGGTGTTGTTACTGATGTTGCTGGTGTTGTGAGCTGATGTTGCTGGTGTTGTGACTGATGTTGTGAGTGATGTTGCTGGTGATGTGAGGGAAGTTGCTGGTGTTGTGAGTGATGTTGCTGGTGATGTGAGTGATGTTGCTGGTGTTGTGAGTGATGTTGCTGGTGTTATTATTGATGTTGCTTGTGTTGTGAGTGATGTTGCTGGTGTTGTGACCGATGTTGCTAGTGTTGTGACTGATGTTGCTGGTGTTGTGACTGATGTTGCTGGTGTTGTGAGGGAAGTTGCTGGTGTTGTTACTGATGCTGCTGGTGTTTTGAGTAATGTTGCTGGTGATGTGAGTGATGTTGCTGGTGTTGTGACCGATGTTGCTGGTGTCATACCGATGTTGCTGGTAATCTGAGTGATATTGCTGGTGTTGTGACCGATGTTGCTGATGCTGTGACTGATGTTGCAAGTGTTGTGACCGATGTTGCTGATGCTGTGACTGATGTTGCTAGTGTTGTGACTGATGTTGCTGGTGTTGTGAGTGAAGTTGCTGGTGTTGTGACTGATGTTGTTGGTGTTGTGGCTGATGTTGCTGGTGTTGTGACTGATGTTGCTGGTGTTGTGAGTGATGTTGCTGGTGTTGTGACTGATGTTGGTGTTGTGTGACTGATGTTGCTGGTGTTGTGACTGATGTTGCTGGTGTTGTGAGTGAAGTTGCTGGTGTTGTTACTGATGTTGCTGGTGTTGTGACTGATGTTGCTGGTGTTGTGGCTGATGTTGCTGGTGTTGTGACTGATGTTGCTGGTGTTGTGAGTGATGTTGCTGGTGTTGTTACTGATGTTGCTGGTGTTGTGGCTGATGTTGCTGGTGTTGTGACTGATGTTGCTGGTGTTGTGAGTGAAGTTGCTGGTGTTGTTACTGATGTTGTTGGTGTTGTGGCTGATGTTGCTGGTGTTGTGACTGATGTTGTGAGTGATGTTGCTGGTGATGTGAGGGAAGTTGCTGGTGTTGTGAGTGATGTTGCTGGTGATGTGAGTGATGTTGCTGGTGTTGTGAGTGATGTTGCTGGTGTTGTTAATGATGTTGCTTGTGTTGTGAGTGATGTTGCTGGTGTTGTGACCGATGTTGCTAGTGTTGTGACTGATGTTGCTGGTGTTGTGACTGATGTTGCTGGTGTTGTGACCGATGTTGCTAGTGTTGTGACTGATGTTGCTGGTGTTGTGACTGATGTTGCTGGTGTTGTGAGGGAAGTTGCTGGTGTTGTTACTGATGCTGCTGGTGTTGTTGAGTAATGTTGCTGGAGATGTGAGTAATGGTGCTGGTGTTGTGTGAGATGATGTTGAGTGATGTTGCTGGTGATGTGAGATGATGTTGCTGGTGATGATGTTGCTGGTGATGTGACTGATGTTGCTGGTGTTGTGTGTGATGAGTGATGTTGCTGGTGATATGACTGATGTTGCTAGTGTTGTTACTGATGTTGCTGGTGTTGTGAGGGAAGTTGCTGGTGTTGTTACTGATGTTGCTGGCGTTTTGAGTATTGTTGCTGGTGATGTGAGTAATGGTGCTGGTGTTGTGAGGGAAGTTGCTGGTGTTGTGACTGATGTTGCTAGTGTTGTGACAGATGTTGCTGGTGTTGTGAGGGAAGTTGCTGGTGTTGTTACTGATGCTGCTGGTGTTTTGAGTAATGTTGCTGGTGATGTGAGTAATGGTGCTGGTGTTGTGAGTGATGTGAGTGATGTTGCTGGTGTTGTGAGTGATGTTGCTGGTGTTGTGAGTGATGTTGCTGGTGTTGTGACTGATGTTGTGAGGGAAGTTGCTGGTGTTGTTACTGATGTTGTTACTGATGTTGCTGGCGTTTTGAGTATTGTTGCTTGTGATGTGAGTAATGGTGCTGGTGTTGTGAGGGAAGTTGCTGGTGTTGTGACTGATGTTGCTGGTGATGTGAGTGATGTTGCTGGTGTTGTGAGTGATGTTGCTGGTGTTGTGACCGATGTCGCTGGTGTCTTACCGATGTTGCTGGTGTTGTGAGTGATGTTGCTGGTGATGTGAGTAATGGTGCTGGTGTTGAGTGATGTTGATGGTGTTGTGAGTGATGTTGCTGGTGATGTGAGTGATGTTGCTGGTGTTGTGACGTGATGTTGCTGGTGTTGTGAGTGATGTTGCTGGTGATGTGAGTGATATTGCTGGTGTTGTGACCGATGTTGCTGGTGTTGTGAGTGATGTTGCTGGTGTTGTGACTGATGTTGCTGGTGTTGTGAGTGATGTTGCTGGTGTTGTGAGTGATGTTGCTGGTGTTGTGAGTGATGTTGTTGTGACCGATGTTGCTGGTGGTGGGGTTTTTCGGGTTGTTGTGTGTTATTATTAAAATGGACTCCGTCCGTCCGTGCACATATGTCTTTTCCGAAGCAGAACTCTAAAACCGTTCAATATTTCTTCACCAAACTTGGCACATAGATTGGTCTGGTGGTGTACTGGTGCCTTTTGGTAGTTTGGGTATTCTGAATAAAATATTTTTGGTGTTTCCATGGCAACAAGTTTGACTTAGCCTGAAGTTGGTGGTAGTGCTCTTTTCCGGGGCAGAACTCTAAAACCGTTCACAATTTCTTCACCAAACTTGGCACATAGTTAGATCTGGTGGTGTACTGGTGCCTTTTGGTAGTTTTGGAATTCTGAATAAAATATTTTTGGCTTTTCCGTGGCAACAAGTTTGACTTAGCCTGAAATTGGTGGTAGTGCTCTTTTCCGGAGCAGAACTCTAAAACTGTTCACTATTTCTTCACCAAACTTGACACATAGATTAGTCTGGTGGTGTACTGGTTCCTTTTTGGTAGTTTTGGAATTCTGAATAAAATATTTTGGGCATTTCCATGGCAAAAGTTTGACATAGACTGAAATTGGTGATAGTGCTCCTTTCTGGAGCAGAACTTTAAAACCTTTCAATACTCTCCTTCCACTTTTCTATATACACACCTAAATATTTGACATAATCATAACTCGTAGACATAATCATGAAGATTATTTTGCCATTGCGGGGGATATTGATGACTTTGTCTTCTTGTTGGTTTTGTTACTGATGATGCTGGTGTTTTGACTGATGTTGCTGGTGTTGTTACTGACATTGCTGGTGTTGTTACTGATGTTGCTGGTGTTGTGACCGATGTTGCTGGTGTTGTGACCGATGTTGCTGGTGTTGTTACTGATGTTGCTGGTGTTGTGACCGATGTTGCTGGTGTTGTTACTGATGTTGCTGATGTTGTGATCGATGTTGCTGGTGTTGTGACTGACATTGCTGGTGTTGTTACTGACGTTGCTGGTGTTGTTACTGACGTTGCTGGTGTTTCTGTAGACAGGAGTTGGAGCAGGACAAGTTGGAGAGATCCACTGGGAAAGAGGCTGCCGCCATCAGGGCCCGCATCGCCGCCATCGAGGAGGACATGGCACAGAAGAGGTGGGTCACCATCGTCACATTTCAGGCCATGTTTATTAAAGCTACTTGGGGATCATGCCTCCCAAGGTTTTAGGGAAAGATAATGCTCTTACATCAAACTTCAGCTTCCCTGCCTGAGATTCTGTTGTCAAACCAACCCTCAATGAACTTCACACAGCACACTTGCATGTGTAAAACTTGAAGACAGGTTAACCCCACTCCCAGACTGAAGTAATTTCCTTATCTAACAAACCCTTGAACTTCTGCCAAATATATTTATTGTTTTAGGCTATTTTAACGGCTCTGTCATCATTGTTTGTCTGTAAAGAAATGTCCACATTGTACTGATTGTCATAACACCATATTGTCATTTATTCCAGAAAAACCAGCAGATTAGACCTCATAAAAAATGTCGATACAGCTAAAACTGACTGGATGAAAATATCAAATATTGCAGTGAGTATTTAGCCAAGGATGTGATTGAATATTGCAGCCAGCTTGTAACATGTCGTAATGGTGCAGGCACTGGTTGATCTTTGAATGCAACTTCGACTTAGTTTGACTGAATGCGACAGTTTATGCTTTAAAGCCAATTCAGAATGTTGAGAAATGTCATGATAGTTTGGATGGTCAAGATTGTTTACAATATGAAAAGTACATCCTTATATTAACCTCAAATGCTTTCTGTCTGATGTCGACTGTTTCAATATGTACAAGCAAGTTTGTTCAGATTAAGAACAAGTTATTGCTATTGTTATGTCAAATAGTGAATTGTATTGTGATTCAACAACTGTCTTGCTATGGTGTTGATCTCGGTAGTTGGATATAATCTCACTGTTCTGATCGGACATGTGAAACAGCAATATAATTACAATCAGATCTTTTTTGCCAGTGCAACAGTACTGTTAGTTGTGATCTAAAAATTACAACCACTGAAGGTTGCGTCTGGCCAACTTTCTGATCAGAGAATCAGAATTCAGGCTACTAAATTGAGCATTGAAACCATCATATGTGGATGTCCACATAGAGAGTGATTGTATCAGATTAATAGATGAGAACGAGAGATTCGAGAAGCAATCTGTCTGATGACACAATGTCATGGTATGTGACTGACTGACTGACTGAGTTTAGTTTTACGCCGCCTTTAGCAATATTCCAGCAATATCATGGCGGGGACACCAGAAATGGGCTTCACACATTGTGCCCATGTGGGGAATCGAACCCGGGTCTTCGGCGTGACGAGCCAACGCTTTAACCACTAGGCTACCCCACCGCCCCCATGGTATGTTAAGTTTGTGGAATGTGTTTTCAGTATGGCGGACGGAAGACTTGGCAGGACTGTCAGATGATGTGGAACAATGTCCTCAGTCCTAAAGTGAACCGCGGGAAGTGGGAACCGGAGGAGGAGAAACAGTTGGTAGAGCTGTGCAGGATTAACAAGGGGAAGAACTGGGAGAAGGTGGCAGCTGACCTGCAGGTGAGATGGACGTGGGTGTAGGTGTAGACAACTGTGTAGGGTTAACAAGGGGAAGAACTGGGAGAAGGTGGCAGCTGACCTGCAGGTGAGATGGACGTGGGTGTAGGTGTAGACAACAGTGTAGGATTAACAAGGGGAAGAACTGGGAGAAGGTGGCAGCCGACCTGCAGGTGAGATGGACGTGGGTGTAGGTGTAGACAACAGTGTAGGGTTAACAAGGGGAAGAACTGGGAGAAGGTGGCAGCCGACCTGCAGGTGAGATGGACGTGGGTGTAGGTGTAGACAACAGTGTAGGGTTAACAAGGGGAAGAACTGGGAGAAGGTGGCAGCCGACCTGCAGGTGAGATGGGCGTGGTGTAGGTGTAGACAACAGTGTAGGGTTAACAAGGGGAAGAACTGGGAGAAGGTGGCAGCCCCGACCTGCAGGTGAGATGGACGTGGGTGTAGGTGTAGACAACAGTGTAGGGTTAACAAGGGGAAGAACTGGGAGAAGGTGGCAGCCGACCTGCAGGTGAGATGGACGTGGGTGTAGGTGTAGACAACAGTGTAGGGTTAACAAGGGGAAGAACTGGGAGAAGGTGCAGCCGACCTGCAGGTGAGATGGACGTGGGTGTAGGTGTAGACAACAGTGTAGGGTTAACAAGGGGAAGAACTGGGAGAAGGTGGCAGCCGACCTGCAGGTGAGATGGACGTGGGTGTAGGTGTAGACAACAGTGTAGGGTTAACAAGGGGAAGAACTGGGAGAAGGTGGCAGCCGACCTGCAGGTGAGATGGACGTGGGTGTAGGTGTAGACAACAGTGTAGGGTTAACAAGGGGAAGAACTGGGAGAAGGTGGCAGCTGACCTGCAGGTGAGATGGACGTGGGTGTAGGTGTAGACAACAGTGTAGGGTTAACAAGGGGAAGAACTGGGAGAAGGTGGCAGCCGACCTGCAGGTGAGATGGACGTGGATGTAGGTGTAGGTGTAGACAACAGTGTAGGGTTGCTGCCAATCTACGGGGACCCCAAGTTAATAAGGACCCCATGTTAACCAGTTTTTCCCGTGTTTCAGACGGGACGTACAGCCTTCCAGTGTCTGCAGCACTTCCAAATGAATCTTAATCCAGAAAACTGTAACAGGTAAACATGCCCTTAAGTTGATGGAGATTTTATGTGCTCTTCCGCAGACCAGTGTCAACAGAAGACAGACTCGTTTTGGAACTTTGTGGGTAAATCACTGTCACTGGTGCTGTTGAAATATAGCTGAACATTAATGATTTTGTTGAAATGTTGGATTAGTACAAGCAGAGGTGGTGGGATAGCCTAGTGATGAAAGCGATTGTTTGTGATACTGAAGACCTGGGTTGGATTGCCCACATGGGTACATTGTGCAAAGCCCATTTCTAGAGTCCCCGCGATGGGGTAGCCTAGTGGTTAAAGTGTTTGTGCCGAGACCCAGGTTCGAATCCCCACATGGGTACAATGTGTGAAGCCCATTTCTGGCTATGGCTGGAATATTGCTAAAATCGAAAACCAAACTGAGTCAGTCAGTCAGTCAAGTGTCCCCCCCTTTGACTATGGCTGGATTATTGCTGAAAGTGGTGTAAAACCAAACTCACTCACTCACTTCATACATGGAATTGTTGTCCTGACAACTACAAGTTTAGTAATTGGAGTTTATGCAACTGGTTTTGATTTGATTTTTACAGACCCTGGACAAATGAGGAAGATGGGAAATTATTAATGGTTGTCAATGACATCCGTCACAGCGGACACAGGTTGCTGTGGTCGAAAGGTGAGAAAGTCAGAGTCAAATCGTATCTAAACTAAACCCAAGGTATTCTTGAGATATGATTATATAATGTTGGGCTACACAAATGTGTTGTTATTGTTTGTGATGGTTTCCTGAAAGTTTAGACAGTGTTGTTATGTCTGTAACAGTGTCAAGCTACATGGAGAACCGCAGTGGAACTCAGTGCTTCTGCCGCTTCCAGCAGATCGACCCGGACATGAAGAGGGGCCCCTGGAGTACCGAGGAAGATGTGGTGGGTTGAGAAAACGTCAGCGCTGCAAGTGGCACCCTGCATTTCCCTCCATCTGATTCTAACCCACCACATTCTACAACATTCCACATGGACATTCAACACTACAACACCTTATGCAACGCTGAACGATCAGTCTTTTTAGTTTCGCCCTTGTCTCTGCAACCTTAGTACGATCAGCTGAATGTAGAGTGAGGCTCGGCTTGAGGGTTGACAGTGGGCTTTTGGTGTATTGGGGTAATGGGTAGGCTAGAGGTTTAAGTAGAGGCTGGTCGCACCGAAGATCCGGGTTTGATTCCCCACAAGAGTTCAATGGGTGAAGCCCATTTCTGGTGTCCACCACCATGATAGGGTGAAATATCGTGACTCTAAGAGGCTTAAAAGCACACTCACTGATTCACTCGATGTTTCACTAGCTAGTTCGCTCGCTCCCTCCCTCACTCACTCACTCACTCACTCATGATGTTTATGGACTGAACACCATTCAACCTTACCCACACCCCACTCTACGACATCCTACACCACACACACTTCACAAACAAATTTACAAATTATGTATGTTTTTGTTTTTTAACAGATGGTTTGATTTGAAGTTTGTTGCTATGCATGTGGTAGAAGCAGAGTCTCCATTGATGTGGGCTGCATTCATTGCTGAAAGATGTTCCACTTTTCTTGCCAACCATGTTGAGTACTGATGATTATTATGAAGTAGATCAGAGTTAACCTTGTTGTCAATTTGATGACAGAAACTGTTTGCGGCCGTGAAGATGTGCGGCACTCAGAGCTGGATGCGATTGGCTGAATTTGTCCCTGGACGGAGCTCCATACAGTGTAGGGACAGGTCAGTAATGTGTTAAAAGTTTAGAAACTGCTTTTATTCATACACATGCACTAGAGCAAGCCTATGCAATTCCCCTGGTTTTATGACAATCAAAGTTTCCTGAAAAAAATGAATTGAAATAATCAGAAATTAAGGAATCAGCAAGAAAATTTCAAAATTTCATGTTTTTGAAAGAAACTTAAAGTAATGACAAATAATTGAAATAATGAAACTATAATCAAGTTAACTAGAAAAAACTCAAATTTTAAATGCACAAATAATTGAAATAACGAGACACCATTTTGTTAAAATGTGAGATGAGTATGAACCCTGAATGTGCTACTGTTGTGTTCCTGTAGGTGGCTGAACAGCCTTGACCCCAGTATCAGGATGGGCAACTGGACGTATGAGGAGGATAAGGAGTTGCTCAAGGCCATCACGGAACTTGGCACAAGTAAGTACTCCAGGGTAATGGGGCATCTGAAGTTAGTTGTTCTTGATTTACTCCTCGCCTCCTTTACCTTCCTCTCTCCCTGTCTTCCACTGCCTCTGTACTCATCCTGCCCTCTATCACCCAAACCCCCTCTTGCTTCCTTTCCTATCCCCCTCTATTCATCTTTATGAAAGTACCTGGTGCAACTGTGGTTTATGTTGTTTCCAGAGAGCTGGACAAAGATTGCTGCCAAGCTGAATGGCCGTACTGACAACATGGTTCTTCAGAGGTACCGGCGCCTGGAAACTTGGCAGAGGAAGTGCAAGTGGTTTGATGAATTGCCAGTAAGTAAGCAAGATCAGAAGAGAGCTCTGCTATTTTGGCAGTGTTGGGAATTGGTTCAAATCTCACAATTGATGATTGGTTCATTACAACCGATCAATCATCAAGGATAATTGATTAGCGTCATTTATCAAATTCTCCTCCATGTTTGTTAATGCAAGGGCAAAGCCTAGTTTTAAAGCGTTGTTCGCCACCGAAGACATGACCGATTCGATTGGGTCCACATGGGCACAAAAGCCCATTTCTGGTGACTCATGATATTGCTGGAATATTGCTAAAAGCGGCTAAAGCTCAGTCAGTCAGTCAGTCAGTTGTTAATGCAAAAATTGTTTGTGTTCGATGATGAGAAACATGATCGATTGCTTGGCCGCTTAGTCATTGCGACCAATCTTCGATTATTTCAATTAATCGGACCACCACTAATTGCATGTCTGTAGGAGACAACAAAGAGAGCTCTGCTAGGGGGCACCTGTCAGTGTTACATCTATTGTTTATCTGTAGGAGACAACAAAGAGAGCTCTGCTAGGGGGCCACCTGTCTGTGTTACATCTATTGTATATCTGTAGGAGACAACAAAGAGAGGGGCACCTGTCTGTTACTCTGGAGACAACAAAGAGAGCTAGGGGCACCTGTCTGTGTTACATCTATTGTATATCTGTAGGAGACAACAAAGAGAGCTCTGCTAGGGGGCACCTGTCTGTGTTACATCTATTGTATATCTGTAGGAGACAACAAAGAGAGCTCTGCTAGGGGGCACCTGTCTGTGTTACATCTATTGTATATCTGTAGGAGACAACAAAGAGAGCTCTGCTAGGGGGCACCTGTCTGTGTTACATCTATTGTATATCTGTAGGAGACTCTGCTAACACCTGTCTGTGTTACATCTAGATATCTGTAGGAGACAACAAAGAGAGCTCTGCTAGGGGCACACCTGTCTGTGTTACATCTATTGTATATCTGTAGGAGACAACAAAGAGAGCTCTGCTAACAATCTATTGTATATCTGTAGGAGACAACAAAGAGAGCTCTGCTAGGGGCACCTGTCTGTGTTACATCTATTGTATATCTGTAGGAGACAACAAAGAGAGCTCTGCTAGGGGCACCTGTCTGTGTTACATCTATTGTATATCTGTAGGAGACAACAAAGAGAGCTCTGCTAGGGGCACCTGTCTGTTACATCTATTGTATATCTGTAGGAGACAACAAAGAGAGGCTCTGCTGTTACCTGTCTGTTACATCTATTGTATATCTGTAGGAGACAACAAAGAGAGCTCTGCTAGGGGGCACCTGTCTGTGTTACATCTAGCTTGTATATCTGTAGGAGACATTGTATATCTGTAGGAGACAACAAAGAGAGCTCTGCTAGGGGGCACCTGTCTGTGTTACATCTATTGTATATCTGTAGGAGACAACAAAGAGAGCTCTGCTAGGGGGCACCTGTCTGTGTTACATCTATTGTATATCTGTAGGAGACAACAAAGTAGGAGAGCTGTCTGTGTTACATCAACAAAGAGAGCTCTGCTAGGGGGCACCTGTCTGTGTTACATCTATTGTATATCTGTAGGAGACAACAAAGAGAGCTCTGCTAGGGGGCACCTGTCTGTGTTACATCTATCTGTAAAAGAGAGCTCTGCTAGGGGCACCTGTCTGTGAGTAGGAGACAACAAAGAGAGCTCTGCTAGGGGGCACCTGTCTGTAACATCTATTGTATATCTGTAGGAGACAACAAAGAGAGCTCTGCTATAGGGCACCTGTCTGTTTACATCTATTGTATATCTGTAGGAGACAACAAAGAGAGCTCTGCTAGGGGGGCACCTGTCTTCAGACGAGTTAAAAGAGAGAGAACAACTGACGTGGCGAAACTTCCAGGAAGGGATGGGAGTCCTCAAAGAAGACTATGAAAAGCAAGAGAGAGACAGGCAAAAAGGTAGGATGATACACCTAAGATCCTCTCACTGAAACAGTGAAAAATACATTAAGGGTAGCAGTTCAATCATAATGTGGATTACCCAAAATGTCATTTGAATGTAAAATCACTTGATTATCTAATTGCAAGAGCTTATTTCCACTGTAGTATCTAATCATTGGTGTGTTTCTCCACACAGGGGATATTGTTGTGCCACGCCCTCCTCCGCTCCTCGGATATGGAACGTCAGCCCGGCAGAGTCTCATCGAACATCGGGTGCACTTGCATAACATCATCCTGAAACACGTCCGCTCCATCAGGAACAGTGACATCGCCGACGCTCAGGATGGAGATGTTGATGTGAGTCTGGGGGTTGGGACTTGTGGCAGGATCCTGGACAGGACAGAGGGATCTCTTGAAAAACAATGTGACCGCAACATTGTAAATGCAAGCTTTGTGAAATTCTTCTGCCCATTGAGGTGGATCAATTAAACTTAACAGTGCAATGACATAGCTGAAATATTGTTGGCTTTGGCAGTATAGCTGAAACATTGCTGACTTCAGCGATATGGCTGGAATGTTCCTGACTTCATGGTTATTTCTGGAATATTGCTGACTTCAAAGTTATTTCTGGTATATTGATGACTTCAACGTTATGGCTGGAATATTGCTGACTTGAGCGTTATGGCTGGAAAATTGCTGACTTCAGCGTTATGGCTGGAATATTGCTGACTTGAGCGTTATTTCTGGAATATTGCTGACTTCAGCATTATTTCTGGTATATTGCTGACTTCAACGTTATGGCTGGAATATTGCTGACTTCAGCGTTATGGCTGGAATATTGCTGACTTCAGCGTTATGGTTGGAATATTGCTGACTTCAGCATTATGGCTGGAATATTGCTGACTTCAGCGTTATTTCTGGAATATTGCTGACTTCAGCATTATTTCTGGTATATTGCTGACTTCAGCGTTATGGCTGGAATATTGCTGACTTTAGTGTTATGGCTGGAATATTGCTGACTTTAGCGTTATTTCTGGAATATTGCTGACTTTAGCGTTATGGCTGGAATATTGCTGACTTTAGCGTTATTTCTGGAGTATTGCTGACTTTAGCGTTATGGCTGGAATATTGCTAAATTTAGCGTTATGGCTGGAATATTGCTGACTTTAGTGTTATGGCTGGAATATTGCTGACTTCAGTGTTATGGCTGGAATATTGCTGACTTCAACTATATGGCTGGAATATTGCTGACTTCATGGTTATTGCTGAAATATTGCTGACTTTAGAGTTATTTCTGGAATATTGCTGACTTCAAAGTTATTTCTGGTATATTGATGACTTCAACGTTATGGCTGGAATATTGCTGACTTCAGCGTTATGGCTGGAATATTGCTGACTTCAGCGTTATGGCTGGAATATTGCTGACTTTAGCGTTATTTCTGGAATATTGCTGACTTCAGCGTTATTTCTGGTATATTGCTGACTTCAGCGTTATGGCTGGAATATTGCTGACTTCAGCGTTATGGCTGGAATATTGCTGACTTCAGCGTTATGGCTGGAATATTGCTGACTTTAGCGTTATTTCTGGTATATTGCTGACTTTAGAGTTATTTCTGGTATATTGCTGACTTCAGCATTATGACTGGAATATTGCTGACTTCAGTCGTATGGCAGGAATATTGCTGACTTCATCGTTATTGCTAGAATATCGCTGACTTCATCGTTTTTGCTAGAATATTGCTGACTTCATGGTTATGGCTATGATATTGCTGACTTTGTAGTTACTGCTATAATATTGCTGACTGTTACATTAATTGCACCGGATACTTCCATCCCATTCCAGACTGCGGAGAAGCTGGCTGCACAGATCCATTACGCCCATCACAGCAACATGTCTGTGAAGAAGCTGATCGAGCTGACGAGGAAAGTGAAGGGTGGCTTCATCCAGGCACGAGGCAAGACTAGGCTGCCCTCCAAGAGGAACTTCAACTTCGGAGCAGTGGAAAGGAATCGGCGTCTGGAGCGGTCGCTGAGGGAAGCAGTTCACTCCATCTACAAAACAAAGAAGAAAATGAAGAAAGGGAGGCCAAGGAAGTTCTACAGTAAGTCGTAACAGTTGGTTGTCGATGTACCACAGACACACGGCTCAACACAACGTAAGTCGTAACAGTTGGTTGTCGATGTACCACATTACACACGGCTCAACACAAAGCAACATATTAATAGTTAATAAATATATTAAAAAAAACAATAATGGCTGTAAATTATCGATCTCATTCAGATCACATCCAAGTTGTCACTTTTGATGAACAAACATCTGAGGACTTCGTCAGAACGACCTTTCGCAAACTTCGACCAACCACTGAAATAACTAACAAGTTGACATAAGCCAATCAGAGAGCATCTTATCAAGAGAGACACAATACTAGTCTCAAACTGGTCACTTCTATTCAAGACTACTTTTTAAAAAATATTTTGTCAAAGTTCTCAATTCAAAATTTGATCAACAGAATATTCTGTGATGGCTAATGGATGGCTGACATTATTTAGCTAAGGGGAACTGAACTGAACTGAAGTGTGTTCAAATGGTTATCTCCTCAAAGTTGATGATTTTGACAGTCTCAGCCCGTAGCTATCACTTATTAACCTTCTTGGGTTTGCAACATTAGAAGACTTGATTGTCACATGTTTCTGATGTTATTGAGGGAGGTGGGGTAGCCTAGTGGTTAAAGCGGTCGCTCGTCATGCGAAGACCCGGGTTCGATTCCCATATGGGTACAATGTGTGAAGCCCATTTCTGATGTCCACCGCCGTGATATTGCTGGAATATTGCTAAAAGTGGCGTAAAACCAAACTCACTCACTCACTCTGATGTTATTGTGCAGATCGTACACTGGCAGGAAAATCTACCGAGCAAGAACTTCACCAGATTAAAGTCAAGTCACTCAACATTGTCATGAAGGTAAGCTTGTTGCTCTTACTGACGGGGCGCAGAGTATACACTGTAAAATGCCCGCATCCTGACTCATCCTAATTGTTTTTCCATTTGCCTGAGATATTTTTTTTAACAAACAAACCAACAAAATGGGTGTGATTCTTATCCCAATGTAGAACTTTTATTTCATAAGTTCAAATTTTCTCCCTTTCTTCAGGTAAATCACAACCCTGAATTATTTGTTGCTAAATCTTAGTCAGCGGCGAGGGGATATTGTAGTCGAGAAAGATGTTAGTTTGGGGGCAATGTAAAAATTCTGTAATTTGTAGCCAACAAGGAAATGCTTGACATTCTGCGTAAACTGCCTTTGGAACAGTTTCTGTTATTTCTTTATATCCATATGACTATAATGTGATGCATCGTACGTATTGCGATACTGGAATTGTACATGGATGTATTGTGAGCTTGTACCACACATACAATCCTGTATTGCTGTGCCATTACGCCACTAGTCGGTAGCCTTTGGTCTTTTTGCACAGGCTCTTGATGTTGATCCACGGACCATGCTGGAAAATGCCGCCAAGTTTAAGAACATGAAATCAGCAGCAAGTACTCCTTCGAGTACCACCACCAGCACCTCGGCCACTCCTTCTTCCACCCCAGCACGCACCCCAGCGGGCACCCCAGCCACACCCAGTGGCACCCCAGCCACTCCCACTGGCACCCCAGCAGGCACCCCAGCCACTCCAGCAGGCACCCCAGGTACTACAGGGAGAAAGAAGGGGTCCAAAAGAAGACAGAGCAAGGCTGGGGCCCAGAAGGAAGCAAAGAAGACACCTCCCCCTCAAAGGGCTCCTGAACCCATGGAGGACCTAGACATGCTGCTCAGTGCCCAGAGTGAGAGGACACAGGAGGACGACGGGGAGGACGTTATCAGTCCAGACAGCGAGACAGCAGGACATGGGGGTGAGGGTCATGGTCTTGGATTGAGGTGTTTCACCTCTAGTCGTTAAGGCGTTCTTTCATCGTGCCACACTTCTGAGGTCTGTTCTCGACATGTATGTTGTGTAAAACCCATTTTGGTGTCCTCTGTTTGTGTATTCTATGTAGATATTGCATACAGTCTGACCCACCTCATTTTCTTACTAGTATGGGAGTGGTGTGATAGTCTAGTGGTTAAAGCATTCACTAGTTACACAGAAGAACAGGGTTCTATTCCCACGGTGGGTACAATGCCCATTTCTGGTGTCCCTGCTGTGATATTGCCGGAATATTGCTCAAAAAGTGGCGTAAGATCATACTCACTCACTCACTCACTTTATTGAACACATTTCAAATAAATTACCTTAAAAGTTAAAAAAACAACCCAGTCTTTAAAGAAAGTATTTGACACTGAAATAATCAATGCTAAACTGTTGTCTTTTTCAGAAGATAATGATGCTCCTACTAGAAGGAAGAAGTCAGTATCTTTTGTTCAAAGCCCTAGTGTCAAAACTGTTGAACCTGCTAGTCGTGAAAGGTTTACCCGAGTTGTCACAAAGACAGTGTTAAAACCTGATCCAGACAAAACACCATCTGATCAGGAGCAGTCTTCCGCTTCCATGTCAGTAGGCACCAGTACCCAGTCAAGTGACGACAGCTGCCAGGAAGTGGATGGTGACGAGCCACCTGTCCGTGAGAGATCGCTCCCGTATCTCCCCCCAATGTGACAAACCTGTCGTCCTTCAAATCTCTGCTTCTCAATCGGAGAAAGAACATCATAACAGCCGGGTCTTTGTACGATCCGAAATATTACCACATGCCCAACAGTCGCCCCAAACATCCCAAACATCGCGTGTTGGGTAAGCAGGTTAAAGGGAGTGATCCCACAACGCCTGCAAAGACTGGAACGTCCGACCCATCTCCCACCTTGACGACAAGTCGTCTGAGGAAGATCCGGAACACTGAGGAGTATGCTCTGCTGAAAGCCAGGTTCCAGGCTCTGTTTGTGTGGCCTGCTCTCGTCTCTACGATACTCCCGGAGTTTGACAGGAAGGATTTCTCCCAGAAGGCCAAGACCATCACTGCAGGGGAGGAGGAGGTGGAGAACCTCCCCCGAGTCAAGACTAAGGGGTTTGTACCATTCCATAGAGTATTGGGGTGAACAATTTGGACCTGCAAGAGAAGTCAACACATTCGATCTGACTTGGTCTATAATTGGGGAATATTACATGTCCTTACAATTTACTGTCATTTCCAACTTTCTCCCTCTTTGTTAGCATTGATTTTTGTGGCTGGTCCATTCTCAGGACGAGGAAAATGTTTGACGATTCATGAAATAGAGGTATTTGAAATTTGAAAAATCAGCCTCATTCTCTCCTGCCACCTACTCATTCAGTCACTAAATTGACAAAATTGAGAGTAAAAACCTAGTCCCTCTAGATTGTGACTTGTCTCAGACTTAAAACTAGCAGCTCACTCATCCACCTGCCTGGACTCACTCACTCACTCACTCACTCACTCACTCACTCACTCACTCACTCACTCACTCACTCACTCACTCACTCATCACTCACTCACTCACTCACTCACTCACTCACTCACTCAGATGCTATTCTGCAGGTACCCCCTGAGTCGGGGCAGCAGGTTCTACAGAAAGCAGGTGATGTCCAGATCTCAAAAACAAGGTTCAGCCAAGAAGAGCAGAGGCAGTCAGAACCAGTCTGATGAACAAGTTGACACCCAGTCCACACCAGTTCAGTCCAGCTTAGACCAGCCAGTACCATCTGGATCAGGTAAAATAACTGCTGATCAACCGTTTTGGTGTTTTCAAACATAGAGCATGAGGCAGATGCTGGATGCAGTTGATAGTGTAGTTTATCTGATGACAATAATCTGGAGCTACCAGCGATCAAGTTATATCTCAGGTGACCAACCGAGGCATTACCCATCAGACATTGTTACCTACGGAACTGATAAAGTCACTTGCCAATGCTTGGTTGATCAAAGCTAGTCAGGGCTCCAGATAATTTTTCAACAACAGGAGTACGTACTCCTTATTTTTTCAATATAGGTGTACTGGAAAACCTTAAGAGTACATTTAGAGTACTGAATGGAATTTAATCGAGTATCAGCAATTCATATATGCACCACAACATTGCTACTATTGTGGAAACAGGTCAATAAACAATAAAACAATACTTTTGTCAGATAAATACGTCTGTAAATGATTCTAAGACCATACACCATTGCTGTGGTGCGTATCTGCTACCGTATCATGCATATTTGTTATCCGTACATACGCCGATACGGCACTTATCTGGAGCCCTGCTAGTGTTTCTGAAAATATCTTATCCAATTCTTATCCAAAGTGAGCAATATTGTGTGGAAACTGTAATTTACAGTTAATATTCTGTTTGATCTCTGATATGTCCACTCACCCTGTTATGAAGAATACCAATCATTTATACAACACAACCACTGTCATGGTGGTTCTTTCTATATATAAACTTGTTGAACATGTGTAGAATCTTACAACAACGTGCGTTGAACGTCTGGGTTAGAATATTGATATTCAGTAACCCATGCGTGTCGTAAGAGGCGACTACCGAGATCGGGTGATCAGCCTTGACTTGGCTGACACATGTCATCGGTTCCCAAATGCTCAGATCGATGCTCATGCTGTTGATCACTGGATTGTCTGGTCCAGACTCGATTATTTACCGACCGCCGCCATATAGCTGGGATATTGCGGAGTGCGGCGTAAAACTAAACTCACTCACTCACTCTGTTTGTGTGCTGGTGATTAGCTGCCTCACTGTGAGAATGTGGGTCTTGGATGAAACTCAACCTCAGAAAGTACTAGAATCTGGATTTTGCTGAGAAAGTGTAATCCCAAATGTAACATATCTTAAGAATTCTTATGCACCTTTGAGTACATGGTCTATCCATCACAAGTGACAACCTAGATAGGGTACAATGTTATGCATTTCTGGTGTTCCCCGCCGTGATGTTGCTGGAATATTGCTAATAGCGGCTTAAAACCAAACTCAGTCAGTCAGTCAGACAACCTAGATGCTCTAAGATAACATGGTGGACCTGTTGATTACATGTCTGAATCTGTGTTCTTGTATTTGAGGTGAAGCTGATTTAGACATCACAAGTGACAGCATTGGTACTCCCAGAGGAAGAGGCAGACCTAGGGGGAAGATGAAACGGAAAGTTGTAGAAGCACCGACTCGATCACTCCGAGAGAGGAAGGAGAAGAGTCCCCCTGAGAAGAAAATTAAGAAAGAGAAAGGGGAGAACTCCATCCGGAGAGTTTCCACAAAACGTGCAATCCTGGCCCGAAAACTCCGACAGTCGATGCTGGATTCCGTGGCGGCCATGGAAGCAGGACTGAGACCAGACCCAGCACAAGATATAACAGGTGCCCTAACAGGTGCCCTAACAGGTGCCAACTCAACAGGCAGTGGTGGGCTTGTCACAAAAACTGAAAAGTCTTCCACAGATCTGTCAGAGACCTATACAGTTGTTCTTCCTCCCAATTTAGAATGTCTTCCCTCCACAAGTTCTGAAACAACAAGACTGGGACCACTGGGAAGTACAGTGTTGGGCCCTATCAACCCGACTGCTAGTTTCGGAGGGGCAGCAGTGTCAGGTGTTGATATCCCATCACAGCTGAACACAGTCAGCATGCCACAGCCTGGTGGTATTCCTAGTCAAGCAATTCCCATGATCCTCAGTTACATAAAGGGCGAGGATGGTACGATGATCCCGGTACTGAATCACGTCAGTGTTGTGCCTAATGTTGAGTCAAATCCACTCAGTCTTCCCAAGATCAAAATCCAGTCACCAGAAGGTTCTGTGTCACCTGGACCTTCAGGGCAGTCCGACTCAGAGACGGCTAAAACTAAATCTACATCATGATGGAAGGACCTACAGTGGGGATGTTGTTCTTTGGTCTGTCAGTCAGTTTCACAGTATATATATTGTGTATTTTACAAAGGAATCTGGTCCTGTTTTAGTCAATTGATGTTCTCTCCTGACAAATCTTGTTTTTGAGTGATCTCTTCAAAAACAAGTGCGAAGTTGTCCCAGGAGCAAAAACCAAGTGAGGCCACAGAACATATTTTTTTAGTTTGACTTATTTCTCAAGTATGAATTCATATGAAGCAATGATTTTGTTATTAGCAGAATTGGTAACTGAAACATGCATGTGTGATAACCATGGTTAAGTTTTGTTATCTGTTATCAATGCAAATACATGTTTGACAAAGAATGTGTGGATTTGTGTTTTGGTTTGTACATACAAGCTAATGTAACATTTATAAGTACATTTAAACTGAAGTTCAATCATAATTACGTTTTTTGTCCAACTTTCAGTTTTGAACAACTCATTTAATGTGGCAATGTAACTGTCACTTGAGATAAATTGTCTTCATTTATGTCTTCGGGATTTTTCATAATAGGCTCATGCAGTATTCTTGAATTTTCTCTTCTGAATATGTGTATCCGACTGTAGACAAAATGATGTCAACTTTGAGACCTGATGATCTGTCATTCATTTTGCTGGACCATGGAGAGGAAAAGGTTAAAGCCCTGTATTTGCTCACTGTGTTTGCATTAAAGCAAGTTGAATGTAATAATTAAAACGGTGGAGCCTATTAAGTGGAGAATTAATATTTATGCCAGCAAAAAAAAATTATAATTATATTTTCCATTTTATGAGGCCACAGAGCTCCAGATAAGATTTAGCTCATGTGGGTACTGTACCCACTGTATTTTTTTGGAGTGGGTATTATGAATGGTGAGTGGGTATTTCATTTTCCGTTACCCACTGCTTTCAAATATGTGCGTATTTCAGTCATCTTACTCACCTAAGTATATGTCATTGAGTAAGTTTACTAAGCAGGTATGTTCTGCCTTATGTCATACCTAATCAAAACCAACTTAAATATAATGGAAATGATTTCATAAAAAATCACTCATCCTATACTGACAGTACAACACTAGTCCTATACTAACAGTACAACTTGATAGCAATCGATGTCTTTTTCATTACGCAAGCGATTTTCATAAATATATTCCGTACGCATTTGTTTTAAACTTTTTGCGTATCTAACATTTTAAATGCGTAAATGGTACGCAACAATTATTTTTTCAATGCGTAATTGGAAATTTTCTATGCGTAATTTACCCGGATACGCAGCTTATCTGGGCCTCTGACGTCATAGGAATAGGCATTGACACGCAGATTTTATGTGTGCAACTTTTTGTAAAGTGCTGCAAAGCAACAGGAAGGTCCGGGTTAGAATTGGTGTTCAGTAATCCATGCTTGTCGTAAGAGGCGACTAACGGGATCGGGTGGTCAGGCTCGTTGACTTGGTTGACATGTCATCGGTTCTCAATTGTGTACACCGATACTCATGCTGTTGATCACTGAATTGTCTGGTCCAGACTCGATTATTTACAGACCGCCGCCATATAGCTGGAACTTTGCTGAGTGTGGTGTAAAACTCAACTGACTCACTCACTGGTTGACACATGTCATCGGTTCTCAATTGCGTGGACCAATGCTCATGCTGTTGATCACTGGATTGTCTGGTCCAGACTCGATTATTTATGGATCGCCGCAATATAGCTGAGTGCGGCGTAAAACTAAACTCACTCACTCACTCATACCTTGTCCCTCAGAAATGGCCTATTCTATGTCATAACTGAACGACCATTCCCATAGGTTAATACATGAATGATCCAGGATTATCCTTTTATAAAGGTTTGTTACATTCTGTCCTCAACGGGGCGGTGGGGTAGCCTAATGGTTAAAGCGTTGGCTCGTCACGCCGAAGACCCGGGTTCGAATCCCCACATGGGTACAATGTGTGAAGCCCATTTCTGGTGTCCCCCGCCGTGATGTTGCTGGAATATTGCTAAAAGCGGCGTAAAACCAAACTCAGTCAGTCAGTCTATCCTCAACGGATGGCTTACATTCGCGGGTTTATTTAGGCCTAAATTAATTAGGCATATTGATACATTTAACTCCTTTCCTTCAAATAAATTTGCCCTTGGAGCTCAAGACTGTTGCTATCAAGTGCGCCCAGTATGCTGTGTCACGTGAAAAGTCGAGTGAAAACTAAATTTCTTCAAGTTTTCCCCTAACGTCTAGCGCGATGTAACTAAACTACTGTTCAAAGCGGTGGTAGACAAGACTCACTCACTCATGAAGAGAGCGACAGGTACAATGAGAATTGCACACCACACTACAATACATTAAGCTGTACAGAGCAGGAGTTTCCCGTTGACAAAACTAGCATAAAGCTGTTGGAAGCACGACTTCCCATTTCAGAAAACAGTATTCTTTCATTAATATATTTCAGCTCCTTGGGGTCGCCAGAGTACGATCCCAGCACTCAATGCTTGTTTCAAGGGACTGTTAAATGAAGACTGAAAGTCAAATTGATTGTGGCGTGGATCGGTACTCATGATATCGACCACCAGGTTTTGTTTTAACCACCTGGTCCTGGAGTATTCATTCAGTTACCATTTGTTGACATAGCGGTTAAATGTGTTTTAAGTTCAACGAGCTCTTAATCGCTTGGGAAGAAACGTGTGCCACAGTGAAAGCATATTCGTATTTCATGAGTTGCTGTCTATTTATAGAGTTCTACGTGAACGGATACCATCCACCGGGTCAGCTTAACGTCATGCAGCTGTAATGCCTTTAAATTTTAACCAAGACGATGACAATACTTATATAGTATGACCAGAAAATATTGAGAATTTTAGGAATATATTTAATTGGATTTCTAGTATAAACAACCTTGACCAGCTATCAAGTGCTTGGTTTCATTCAAGAGAGACAACTCCGTTCATCCTTTTTCATTAGTTTGTGAAGAGTTATCCCCCTTTGTTTGCTTAATAGCAGACGACATTTTCAGTGATCTTCAGTATGGATGATTTAGAGAAGAGGAAGTTGATTTTAGAGTATTATAACACGGACATCAGATCAGCTAAAGTGATTTCAAGTAGAACAGTTTCTAGGTTTGCCAGCACTATGCCTTGTTCGTTGGTTTCATCACTGTGGTATACGTATCACACCACTTCCGGGTCATCACTTCCGGGTTGCCCAAATCATGATGGCACGCTTTGATTTAACGGGAATACAGTTAAAAGCGGTCCTACACCAAACTGTCGCATTTGCTCATGCAATCGAGTCACAGCTATACCCTGGAATTAATGATACCTGAATTTTAATATAACTTTATTAACATAAATGCCCCTTCTGTCTAGGACGCACTCAACCATAAAACATAACCTATTATGATATACAGCTTCTTGTCAGTCACTAACAGTTAATTGACGATTACAATTCAATTACAAAGGGGCACACATTACAAGAATTAAAAACAAATGAGAGTTATCTCCCCTAGACTTGTGACAACAGTCTGCGGGCACCAGGATGAGAACAGGTAGATTAGATCCACATGGTCAAGCTCAGTAATGAGTGGTGAGTGAGTTTAGTTTTACGCCGCTTTTAGCAATATTCCAGCAATGTCACGGGGGCGACCCCAGAAATGGGCTTCACACATTGTACCCATGTGGGGAATCGAACCCGAGTCTTCGGCGTGACGAGCGAACGCTTTAACCACTAGGCTACCTAACCGCCGTGTCAGGCTCAGTACCTCTTTGTCATGGAACGATCCCGGGTTAAAGCTGAATCCAAGAGGTTACAAAGAGGATTGGATGGCCAGGGTCGGGAACGTTGCCCACAATTCCAATATTTGATGACTGGTCCAGACACGACTATTTTCAGGCAATCGAATCATTGGCGGACTATTAGTGATACTGTCGTTAAGGGCATTCATTTACTCACTCAGGGACCGCCTCCGTGGTGTAGTGGTTAGAGCGTCCGCCCGGAGAGCGGGAGGTCGCGGGTTCGATCCCCGACCGCGTCATACCAAAAGACGTTAAAATATGGTACTTGTTGGTCCCTGCCTGGCGCTCGGCATTAATGGGTACAACAAGGGCTGGTCGGCTCGGAGTCAGTATAATGTGTCTGAGTGGGGTATTCATGCTTCACTGCGGCATAGTATCTCAGTGGGCTAGCACTATAAAACCAGCTTCAGTCTGGGCTAGTACAAGCAGCCGCACATACACATACACACGCATGCACGTCGTCATATGAGCGAAATATTCTCAAGCACGACGTTAAACCCAATTTCACCTCACCTCACTCACTGAGGACATGATTCATATGTGACGATATTTCGTATTTGTCGATTTATTGTCCAAAATATGAACTTTTGTAGGTAGAGGTTAGGTACATTGGATTTGCTCCACCGTATATTTTAAATGTTTACGTCAATTCTGTTCGCTGATAATCTTGATTACTTAACTAGAACACTGAGGTTTTAAAAACACGACAGATTAAGCATAATCGTCAACGCCGTGTTTCTGGTAGGACGCGCAAGAGCGTAAGTGTAAACAGTGTTGTTCTATTTGTCATCTACTTCATTTTATTTCCCTTGTTAAAAGTAGCAGGGGTAGTGTTAGGACATCCTTGGCATTAATTCCAGTCTTTAGTTAAAATATACATGCACTGACCAACCGATCTGAGTGTAATTGTTGTTTTCAATTGGTCACATAAAGAGGAAACAACCACTTGTGATAGGTTTTCCTCGGGAACCAATGTTTTGTGACATTATCCGTTCATCGTTTGTACACCGATGTACCTGGGTATACCAATATAGACACATCATGTCAAATGTAACTGTTGTTTCGTATTGTCAAAGACTCGTCAACATCGGGGTTAGAATTGGTCTTTAGCAACACAAGCTTGTCGTAAGACTAACGGGATCGGATGGTCAGGCTCTCTGAAGTGGTTGACACATGTCATCGTATCCCAGTTGCGTACATTGATGCTCATGCTGTTGATCACTGGATTGTTTGGTCCAGACCGCCGCAATATAGTGTGTCGCTAAACAACAACAACAACAACAACAGCAACAACAGCAACACCAACAAAGACCAAACATCGTATTGTACCAATGTACATAAGTCAAGTGCAACTGTTCTATTGGTCACACGGGGCAGTGGGGTAGCCTACTGGTTAAAGCGTTGGCTCGTCACGCCGAAGACCCGGGTTCGAATCCCCACATGGGCACAATGTGTGAAGCCCATTTCTGGTGCCCCCCCGCCGTGATGTTGCTGGAATATTGCTAAAGGCGGGGTAAAACCAAACTCAGTCAGTCAGTCTATTGGTCACGGGGCGGTGGGGTAGCCTAATGGATAAAACGTTTGCTCGTCACGCCCCATGATATTGCTGGAATATTGCTAAAAGCGGCGTTAAACTATACTCACTCTATTGGTTACCAGGGCAACATATGTAGCTTTATGCTCCATTCCTTCCAGACACCATGCCTCAACTGTTCCTGGGAATCCTGCTGCTGGTCAGGTAAGGCCTGTCACCATCTCGCCATTCCAATTGATGAAAATCTCCTTTGGGTTTTTTGAACATAACTGCACCAGTGCCACAGTCGACTAAAATGGGGCTCAAACTTTCATGTCCTGGTTGATGAAGTTCCCGCTACATCCTTGTGGTCTATAAATACCCAAATGTGGATGCAATATAAGGATGTGTCATCAAGCCATGAACCAATGGTTTGTTGCATCCAAATATGGTTATTTACAGACCACAACGATGCAGATGCAACGTCTATGTAGTGGAGTCCACCATCCAAAAATTCATTCTCAGTAGAGAGTTGTAGGTGCTTGTTTTCTTTGACTGCTGAAATGTTTACCCGTTGGTTCAGAAAAGAACACATTGGACTTCCAAAGAGCATTTCTCAGATCATTCTAATTTGAAACGAAATGATAGCACTGTCTTCTTGAGCTTTGCCTTGTAATACACTTTGCCTACCCGCATATAACGGAAGGTGCACTGGATGTTGTGTAGTTGTTGCTGCTGTTGCTGTTGTTGCCCACACATTTTTTGTACATCTCCCAGATAAAATAAAGCCTGTCATTTTGTGTCTGACAGAAAATAACAGAAAACAACAACAATATACCCCCACCCACCCCAAACATAAGAAGGAAAAAAACCCCCTAAAAATAAGCAACAACAAAACAAAATTAAAAAACAAACCTGGAACAATTTCCAAAATGCCGCCTTTTTCATTCTTTATTCTTTGTGATAATACAGGAAATTGTCGTTTCAGCCCTATCTTCGCTCAGAACTACGACCAAATATGGCTAGACATGAACCCAAATGGCGGGGATCTCACTCCGGACGAGATCGGGCTGTTCTTCCGGTCGATGATGAGACCACGTACGTACATGTGCACTTACTGTTAAAAAACCACACACCTGTGTAACATTGTGAAACAACGTCTCGTGCGGTCATCGACTGACCATTCAACTGTACATGGCGCTTTTCTTACAAGGGGGTCAACTAAACCGGAGAGCCGCAGCAATGATCACGTAACAAGGAGATGCGCCGGCAAACCATATTTTTACTTTCCTCAAAGGCAAAGCGTGTGAATAAATATTTGAAATCGATGGTAAACACGGTGTTTAAATGTCGTGTTCAGCTATATACTAGTATTCCCCCTTGGTATTACAAAGCCGCAGACGACCAATGAAAACTGTAAAATGAAATGAACGTTTGCAGCAATCTGATTGGCTGATAACCGATGTGCACTGACAGTCGAATCTCCACACTCCGGCACAGCGATGGCTCAACATAACATCACTGCCACAGGCTAATTTGCATATCACGTGACCGGACTTTTTTCTTGTTTTTAATCAAACGCTCATATTCATAATAAGAAGAGACTGGACTCACGAAAGCTTTTCGGCACTCTCTTCATAATGTTTTACATTGTTACATATATATTCTTCCACAACTGCGACAGTATGGTCTATGACAGTACATATTTAGATATCAAACTGGCTGCATCGTTTGCTCTCCATCAGCTTCGATGACAGCACGTGGAGCCGTACAACCTATGTAAACAAAGGATCGCTACGCAAATCGAAATAGTGTTACATGTTTTAGGATATTTTCTCAATTAAACTAAACCATTCCATCAAAGATGTTTAATTAGTTGTGTAGACTCGTCAAAAATAAAAGAGTTGAGAAATATGTAAATTATATTGAATGGACGGTGCAAGATGTGACGAATCGTCACATTTTTCTGGCCTGTGGCAGAGATACTATGCTGGCTTGCCGCATGGAACTCTGGGTAGGAGAGTGTCGAATCTCGGCTACGTTAAGCCCGAGTCACACCAAAGTAGTTCTTTTAGTACGTCCTGCCCCGTCCACACAATAATTTTAAAATGGGCTCGAACGGGACAGAACGTGTTACGTACGTCTATCTCGTCTTTACCCCGTCCCCATACAGTTGGTATTACATTCAGACTGGGTAAACTTGCCCGTTCACTCCTTGAGGACAACGTTTTCAAGCAGTTCAATCCCGTCCTCAGTCAGATTTTATCCGTTCTGAACTGGACCTATCTCGTTCTTAATACGCACAACCCCGTTCTAACTCGTTCTTAACTCGACCAACTCGTTTTCAGGCAGTTCTTCCCGTTCGTTCAAGACGTTCATCAACCGGTGTGTGTGAGTGTGTGTGTGTGTGTGAGAGAGAGAGAGAGAGAGAGAGAGAGAGAGAGAGAGAGAGAGAGAGAGAGAGAGAGAGAGAGAGAGAGAGAGAGAGAGAGAGAGAGAGAGAGAGAGAGAGAGAGAGAGTGTGTGTGTGTTGTAGGGATTCTCAAGACATTGTAGAAGGGCTCATGATCATGAAGGTAGAACACATGAGTTGATGTCCCACAGCTGTTCGCCTCTCAGGTTTAGGCCTGTTCTTCACCCAAGTTCTCGTTGTTTTCCTCCTTTCTTGCTCTACCAACTCATTGTACTCTTGCTCTGCTTCCAATAAATTTTGCAGGAAACCAGCATTCAACATATTGACAACTGAAACAATCTCTACCCCAAATAACGAACATGTTAAAAACGCATGTATTTGTACCCTACCTTGTCACATCGTACGGCGCACGGTGTTGACGTAGTAAGAACTGCGTGAGAACTACGTAAACGTACAGTTAACGAGTAGAACGTAATGAGGACCCATTGCGAACTTTTAGATCCGTATAGAAACGTAGTACGAACTTCTGCAGATCAATTCATTTTGTTTTGAACATTTTTGCACGGAATAGCAACTAAGGACGTGATGAGGTCGAGTTAGGTCTGTCTGCGAACGGTGTGGACGTGGTGGAAACTGTGTACAAACGTATTGCCATTGATGACCCACTGCACTACGTCCGCACACGTCCCCAGATTGAAGTACGGCAATTACGTTCGTAGTACGGCAAGTACTCGTTTCAAGTACGTTGTCACTCCGTCCAATTTTAGAAAGGGTAGAACGGTGTACATGTTCAACGTTCTGGAGCACGCTTCCAACCTAGCCCGTCCATACAGTTCTTAAACAGACTGTAAACAGGTGCCACTACGTCTAGTCCGTTCGCACACAACTCGAGCCCGATCCGAACATGTTTCAAGAACGTGCTGAGAACGGGATTGGTGCTATGGACTAATTACTGCGAAAAGATATTTAGTCTTTTTCTTGATAAGTTTTCATTTCTTTGTCACTGATAACCTGTCATTCCATATCTATTAGAGCAGCTTCCACTTTTTCAGTCAACTAATCACGCAAAGTCAGGTATCAGGGAAACACCCGACGTCGTCAATGGAACACGACGCCTTCGCTCTTGTCATGATACAACTTAAATAATAAGCCGCTCCCTAATCTCGTGTAATATCGCATGCAATGAAGGCTCCCTGAGCACATGTGTTTGACGCCGGCCATGTTATGAGTCGCCAGATTGTCCAGGTCAGTGTGTACCTGTCCAAAGGGAACTATGACGAATAAACCGAATGAATTGGAAGCCTCTCATGTTATCACAGCTCTCGACAGTGACGTCATACCATTCACAACCGTTAGAGCTCATACAGAGAGGAAGGACTGTGGACTGTCGTAGATTAAATATCGATACATATCATGTTTCTTCTCCTTTACTGTGTGTTTTTAACACATATCGTCCAAACAAAACAGTAGCTTCGCTTTCATCGTCGCGGTAGTTATTTCCGAGCTGGTTCCCGGCTCCCTTTGTGCGTCGTTAACTTTCACCAAATCTATATTGCTATGAGAGACGGGGCCCAGCGTACGGTCCTTACAATTTCGAGAGGCAACGAGATTAAAATTACCCCTTGAACTGAGTATACGGTCGTTAGAAATATGCCGTCCAATCATGCGTCTTTGGCGTTCCACTATTTGTGTTCCTTAATGGTAATTACAAAAATGACCGCCGCGTGGTGTAGTGGTTAGAGTGTCCGCCCGGAGAGCGGAAGGTCGCGGGTTCGATCCCCGACCGCGTCATACCAAAAGACGTTAAAATATGGTACTTGTTGGTCCCTGCCTGGCACTCGGCATTAATGGGTACAACAAGGACTGGTCGGCTCGGAGTCAGTATATGTCTGAGTGGGGTATTCATGCTTCACTACGGCATGGTATCTCAGTGGGCTAGCACTATAAAACCAGCTTAAGCTAGTACAAGCAGCCGCACATACACATACACCCGCATGCACGTCGTCATATAAGCGAAATATTCTCAAGCACGACGATAAACCCAATTTCACCTCACCCCAATTACAAAAACTTCATAACAAATTCCAAGAATGTTCCTTACGTCTAGTAACAAATACCCATCATATTACTCTTCCAAGTAGGGGAACTTCATTTTTAATATATATATCGGAGGCAATGAATGTTGATGTGTTAATAAATAATAATACTTCCTTTTGACCATAGTTGATTGTTCAGTAATCGCTCTTGAAAGAAGGGTTGGTGTATGACGTGAAATTTGCATGTGTAAGATTTTCATTTTTGAAACAAAAAAAAACCCGGCTAGGAACAAACACTAACAACTGTGTGATGTAAGGTGAAAATCAAGAATGACACCCCATGCACGTGTACGGGGCTACTGCGTTGTGCACGTTTATCTCATGCTTTGTTTAGGGGTGGTGATAAAGAGAAATGGTGGTGCGTTCATAAGATGTCTGTCTTTGAAACGTTTGTTAACGCTTATACTTCCTATCCACATTGAAAGTTCAGGTTCCACTACCTTATTTGAAGATCATATAAAAAGTATATATGTTTACTTCAGAACGCAACGATGCGGGTAAACATCACTCCAAAGACTCGTTATACAGACTTCCAAATTGAGTGAATCCAGTTTCTGGTATGGCCTTCAGTAATGTATTGCTAAAATGTTAATACAAGCGGCAAAACCCAAATACAAGCACCTGTTATTACAGCACCTGGCGTCAACGACGTGACGGCTCTGACACGGTCAGACTTCAAGTACGTCTGGATGCCAGCCTACCAGGACACGGAGAAGATTGCTGACGGGCTGTTCTCCTACTTTGACGGTCACAAGGATGAAATCATCGATGGACAAGACCTGCTCCCTATGATGAACATTGGTGACACTAACGGTAGGTATGTGGAAGCTAAGGGTAGGTGTATGGACACAAAGGGTAGGTGTATGGACACAAAGGGTAGGTGTATGGACGCTAAGGGTAGGTGTATGGACACTAATGGTAGGTATGTGATGGCTAAGGGTAAGTGTATCGAAGCTAAGGGTAGGTGTATGGACACAAAGGGTAGGTGTATGGACACAAAGGGTAGGTGTATGGACACAAAGGGTAGATGTATGGACGCTAAGGGTAGGTGTATGGACACTAATGGTAGGTATGTGATAGCTAAGGGTAAGTGTATCGAAGCTAAGGGTAGGTGTATGGACACAAAGGGTAGGTGTATGGACGCTAAGGGTAGGTGTATGGACACAAAGGGTAGGTGTATGGACACAAAGGGTAGGTGTATGGACGCTAAGGGTAGGTGTATGGACACTAACGGTAGGTATGTGATAGCTAAGGGTAAGTGTATGGAAGCTAAGGGTAGGTGTATGGACACAAAGGGTAGGTGTATGGACGCTAAGGGTAGGTGTATGGACACAAAGGGTAGGTGTATGGACACTAAGGGTAGGTGTATGAACACAAAGGGTAGGTGTATGAACACAAAGGGTAGGTGTATAGACACAAAGGGTAGGTATGTGGAAGCTAAGGGTAGGTGTATGGACACAAGGGGCAGGTGTATGAACACTAAGGGTAGGTGTATGAACACAAGGGGTAGGTGTATGGACACTAGGGGTAGGTGTATGGACCCAAAGGGTAGGCGTATGGACACTAAGGGTAGGCGTATGAACAGAAAGGGTAGGCGTATGAACACAAAAGGGTAGGTGCATGGACACAAAAGGTAGGTGTATGGACGCTAAGGGTAGGCGTATGAACACAAAGGGTAGGTGTAAGTATGGACACAAAGGGTAGGTGTATGGACACAAAGGGTAGGTGTATGGACGCTAAGGGTACGGGTATGGACACCAACGTACGTATATGAACGCTTATGGTAGGTGAATGGATGTAGAAGGTTGGTGCATGGACGCCATGGACAGGGGCATGGATGCCAAGGGTAAGTACATGACCGCAAATGGTATCCGTATGAACGCCAGTGGTAGATATATGCCGTATTTGAATTGTTTTGGACCTGTGAAGATCCGGCTTAGAATTGGTCTTCAGTAACCCATGCATGTCATAAGAGGCAACTAACGGAATCGGGTGGTCAGGCTCGCTGACTTGGTTGACACATGTCGTCGTATCCCAATTGCGTAGATCGATGTTCATGCTGTTGATCCCTGGATTGTCTGGTCCAGACTCGATTATTTAATATTGCTGAGTGCGGTGTTAAACAATAAACAAGCTGTAATATCGCTGATGGCGTAAAATAACATTTGGTCAAGAATTTGAGGGTCCCTGTTAACCGTGTCCAAACACTAAATTTGCTGACCGATCACTCAGACGATGTGAAGGGCACTGCTGTGTGAGTGAGTGAGTGACTATGGTTTTATGCCGCTATTAGCAACATTCCAGAAATATCACGGCGGGGAACACCAGAAATGGGCCTCACACATTGTACCCATGTGGAGAATCCAACCTGGGTGTTCAGCGTGACGAGCGGACGCTTCAACCACTAAGCTACCCTACCGCGCCTACTGTCGTGTGAGGCAAACAACACAAGCCTTTGTCATGAAACTGGTACTACCGACAGGGCAGGACTTGGTTACCCTTTCCGCTACCACCTGGTGTTACCATTGATCTTCTACTAATATACACTCATATAACTGTCAATGACAATGCTATTTTGTCATTTACGCACGATTGAATATGTTTCGTCGGACATTTGACCTATTTTGGTTATATTGGTTATTTTTTAGCTGACGCTTTGGTTCCTTTAATGCTTTATACATTTAGGGCTGCGCAATATAACCGGTTTACCGGTATTTACCGGTTCAGACATGAAAACGATACGTATTGCGATACGCTGATCGAAAACCGGTATTTTGACATGCATTCGGAAAACTTCGTAACACTCGGAAAACTTCGGATATTTCCGTTTTTTGAATTGTTCTTTTAGTGCCAAATGTTACTTACATTTTTATTTTGTCATGATTAAAAGTTTTTATAAATGGTTAATCAATCAGTGATTTTGTTTTATAATCAAGCATCAACTCGATTATAAGTAGTTTTTGTTAAAAAAATAATCCTTGCAATACATATCGCAATATATGCTTCCGCATCGCAATATATCGCAATATGAAAATTCTCTGCAATACCCACCCCTATATACATTGTTCCTTGTATGGTTACTATTGCATACACTGCCGCCATATACATTCCACCAGTCTTCGACCCGTGAAGATCCGCGTAGATCGATGCTCATGCTGTTGATCACCGGATTGTCTGGTCCAGAATGGATTATGTACAAACCGGCTCTCTATAGTTGGAATATTGCTGTGTGCGGCGTACAGCTGTCACTCACTCACTAATCCATACAAAGCGTATACCTTGCTCTGTTCTAAATTTTAGCTGACGGCGTTCTCAGCAGAGCAGAGTTTAATGGATATATGGATCTTGTAAGTACAGAGTAATAATTCACTGTAACCCTTTATGTGCCCTTTGTTGGTACCACGGTTAAATTGGGGTCGGGCTCCTTGACGTTCCCCGTGTAGGACGAATGCTTTGATCGCTGTTCTCCCATTGAGTCCCGAATCGGTTCCAACCAGTATGTACCAAGTATATACCCGTGAACATACGGGTTAGAATTGGTCTTCAGGAACCCAAGCTTGTCGTAAGAGGCAACTCACACGATCGTGTGGTCAGGCTCACTGACTTGGTTGACACATGTCATCGTATCCCAGTTGCTTAGATCAAAGCTCATGCTGTTGATCACTGGATTGTCTGGTGCTGACTCGATTAGTTACGGACAGCCGCCATATAGGTGAAATGTTGCTGAGTGCGGCGTAAATCTAAACAACAGATATATATTGAATGCTTCTCCCACGGCCACTCATCACTTTGAGAGTGAGTGAGTTAACAATATCCCATCATGCCGTGTCAGATTAGTAGTGTTGGAAAGTATGGAGTTTCTAAAATTACGAAATTGAGGTGTTTTTCTTAATATTCATATCTTACACCACGGAGGCGGTCCTCGGCGAAGGTATCTAACGTTAACCACTGTGGTAAAACCCGCCGTATGGTGTTGATGTACCTAGAACCAGAATAGGGACAACCCGGGATTCGAACCCACGAACCCACGGTTTTGACGTGAACAGATGCCATAGGAAAATGGTCACTACACACTGGGAAATGCATGTATGGAAATTGAATATGTACATTTTCTTTCCGAGTGTAAAATTCTCATACTGATTCTCAGTATATGTACACGTGTTTATGTTTAGGCTTACGCTTATGCTGAGAATCAACGTTTGTTGCCTGGCAACAATGCCAATGGTCAAGCCCACCAGCAGCAGCACCAGAATCACCACCACAACAACCACCACCTTCACCAAGGGAAGCCATTCTTTGGATAAGACGTGTATTTATTAAATAAAGGTTTAATCGGCTTCAAAAGAATATTTCGTTTTAAAATAATTATCCCTCTGATAGAGTGATGAAATTGGGGTTTACGCCGCTTTCAGCAATATTCCAGCAGTATCACGGCGTGGGACACCAGAAATGGGCTTTACACATTGTACCCATGTAGGGAATCGAACCCGGGTCTTCGGCGTGAAGAGCCAACGCTTTAACCACTAGGCTACTCCACCGCCCCCTATGATAAATTGTTGCTTCGTATTTGATAAACCAGTTGTGCTTTAAATTTAGAGACATTTATTTGAAGACTTGACGTCAGAATATTTGACATAGTTGCCCAACTGTGAAGGGGCGATGGTGTAGTCTAGTATTTGCTCGTCACGCCGAAGATCCGATAAGCCACTTATGATTCCCAGTTAACTGTGGTTCCAAACTAAAATAACATCTTGACATAAAAAAAAACATTCTTGAAACTTTCACTACAATTTTGGATACTTCCAGTAAGTGAGTAAGTATATTGCACAGTAAAAAACAACATGGTTTCTAGTGCATCGTAAAACTAAACTCGTTCACTCACACACTCAAAATGTACCGTGCATTTGAAGTTTCTGCTCGTTCTATGAATCAAATACGATTTGATCATTCTGACGTCAAGAATCATGTTAGAGATCTTCAGAAACCCAGTGTTGGTCTAAAACTAGTCACTCTTGCTGACTTAGCGGATACATGTCATCGTATTCAATTTGCATGGATCTAAGCTCATTTCGTCTGAAGCACACACCCTTGATCTTTCTGAATACTCATGTTGCGTTATGTCGATCATAATTAGGAGATAAACATCATGTGTTGGCGAATTTCCGGGTGTTATTGAGTATTTGAAGCACGGGAATATTTCATTTGAAACCTCCGGCATATTCCCGTGCTTCAAATACTCAATAACACCCGGAAATTCGCCAACACATGATGTTTATCGACATTGTAAACACAAAAGTAAACGGAAAGGTCGACACACGTTTTTCGTGTCTGCTCTCATTGACATCGAGTACGGGTACAGCAGTGAAATGTCATCAGACGGCCGTTTCGGCTGTCTCCCATGGTAGCATCTGGAACTGCTCATTTGTGACGTCATTCGGACTTTACGTCACAATATGATTTAAATGACGTCATCACAGCTGACGACGTAACAATACAATGGTGTGAGCGATGTTTGTATGTATTAATACGCAGAGAATTTTCGGGAATCAAATACCATTTGATCACGTTTTTCAACCAATCAGATTAAAGAACACAGTGACGTTTGGTTTACAGTATTTATTTAAACACGATAACAGGTTTCAAAAAGCCGCTCAACTTGCACATAATTTACACATAACTAGACAAACAGTACCCAGAAGGAAACATTATTTTGTATGTTTACAAACAACGTTCCTTTGATGAAAACTGACCATATACTAGAATCCACGATATATCAGAATGAGAAACACGAAGACAGTTTGGAAACAATCAATGACCGAGTTAAGGATTTGAAGACATCTGTGATTTAGTAATAAAGTTTATTGACATATATATTTGAATTTATGTCGTTTAAAGATGTGCCATTTTTTCCAACCTAACAGCGGTATGGCTTTCGGTAACTCCGGGCTAAATGCCAACACTTCCGGTAACTCCGCACTGAATACAACAACGCGGTCTCCAACGACACGCGAACATGTGAACCTTTCGGGAGTGTCGTGGGAGAAAGATAAGGTCTGACCAGCGGTTCACTCTAGTTTGGCTTGGAAACCAAGGTGGGTGCCTTAGATTATGCGTGATAAATGTATTTTTCATCTGTTTATTTAAAAATCATAAAGACTATAGTATTGAATTAGCAACATGCATGGACCGTGTCTAAAACAAATGTGATTTATTCGAATGTGTTCCCAGAGTTGTCGAACGTTATTTATTGAAGTGGCGACGTTTTCAAAGTAATACACTGCACAAATAATCTTAAGCATCTTCATATGAATGGATAGGAAATAATGATACTATCAGAATCACTCATCGAGTGAGTGAGTGAGTTTAACGCCGTTTTCAACAGTTTCTCATTCACATCTCAACGAAAAGCCCGAAATGATTGAGATGTGCACGTGGACATCTAGAAACATCATTCTCGGATTAGAACCCTGATCACCTCTGGTGCTAAGAGACGCGTCGACGCAGACTACTGGGCCAACTTGTCCCGACGTGTTTGAATCCACGGACGTTATAAAGTTCCCCTCTCCCAGATCCCACACAGACTGAAGGGCAGAAGAAAATAAGTCGACTTTTGTCGCTTACGTTTAAACCTGATATCAAACCACATTACTATCCAACCAACGTTTTTTTAAACTGCATCGGTTTTCAAAATGTCATCTTCCCCCGGGAATTTTTATGTAAAAATATATTGGGTCAGTGAAGAATGGAGTAAATAAGATGTAGCAACCACAAATTTCAAATTTTGAATATTTGTGACGAAACTGGTTTCTTGATTGAAACATTCATTTGAGGATAAGATGTTTGAGATATATGTCAAAGTCAAAGATGTTTATTGTACAAAAGGCCTCCGGCCCATATACATTGGAGTTATACATATACATTATACATATGGTGCAATAAGTAGTAATTAGTGATCCAAACAGCAAATCATGATACAGGCAGTAAATTATGTACAAGTAGTGAAATACGACGGGTCTACAAAGTTTTTATCAGATTGTTACGTTTAATAAGAGCATAACTGATATAGTACGACAACTTTATTATTACATGCTGGTCAGTTGATGAAAGAAGCAGTTTAAAAGTTAATGAAGGTGGCTTACATAGATAATATTCAGCTATATATTTCGTACGCAAATCTTTATAAAAAGGACATACAAGTAAAAATGGATTTCATTTTCCACATCTATATTACATGGAGGGCACATTCTCTTGCATCGTTCAATATAAAAAAGTCTTCCTTCGTTTACCATTATGTTGATCAAACCTAACCTAAAACGTATAAATGGATATCTTAATTTCTTTGATGTTAAAAACGACAGATATTTCTCCGGCTGGAGTAGTGATTTGTATATTCTATGAGTCATACCGTGAACTATTATCTATTACTGAATACCATTCTTGATTAAACATATTAAGACTTCTTTCTCGAAACCGAGTTAAAAACAAACTTGCATCACCAGCTGACTTACTTAACCATACAAAACCATAACCATGTGAAAACAGAAGATTTCTTACATAAGATGCCCACGTCACTTTACCAATGTTGTCCAAATGAACAAGCATGTTATAAGCCTATTTGGGTAATCAATGTTCTTGCATACACAATATCTTAAACAAGAACTTTATACATCGAATATGAGCATTTATATACAGGGGATACCTCCCACATTCACCGTACACCATACAATTCGGTGTAGATGGTCCAACATTTAAAAATTTCTTAAAGGCCATCAAATGTATTTTTTCTATGCGTTCATATTGCTGTAATCCCAACACAGCAAAAATAACTTGGTTTCCGCAATGCGGAAACCTGGTGGAAAGTGGACTGAAACTTAAGTTTCCACCTAGAATCCAGGGAGTTTCCGTTCTTTTACATTGAGTTTCCGCAATAACGGAAACTTACAATTACCCACTTTCTAAGGGTTTCCGCACGGTTTCCGTTACCCACACTCCAACAGGTTTCCGCAATGTATCCGTTACCCACACTCCGACAAGTTTCCGTTGAGTTTCAGTTAACTTTGAATCCATCAGGTTTCCGCAAGGTTTCAGTTATTAATAAGACTCCAACAGGTTTCCGCAGAGTTTCAGTTACCAACAATCCGACATAGTTTTCGACATAGTTTCCGTTACCAACAATCCGACATAGTTTCCGCATAGTTTCCGTTACCAACAATCCGACATAGTTTCAGTTACCGGTTTCAATTTCAGGTTCACAGGTTTTCATATGCGCTTCAAAGAGCCAAATTTAACCATTCTTCTTTATTCATATCATAAACTCTTGTTAAAAACAATATAAGAAATTTGTTATTATCATGACATTTACTTAAAGAAAAACAGAATATATAATAAGATTCATTGTTTTATTTTCTCAACATGAATATGAATTAGCATTTAAGGCAAATAAAGATCATACATATAATTAGTAATATAGCACTAAAAAACAGATCTCGGATCCATACAAAAGAATAGTCTGAATTTGACAATCAAATAGTTTAAAGTAAATACTGGGCGTCAATACACCAATTTTCCACAAGGCAGATAAAAGACTTATCAATGCATTCCTAGCTTTCAATGATAAAGCAGTAACAGATGTTTTCCAATTCATAGCGGAAGTAAACTTGACACCAAGATAAGTGTAATGATCAGAGACAATTACAGGTTGGTCATTAAAGGACCATCTTTCTTTAGAAGATATCCGGCCACCTTTTCTGAATATAACAATATTAGTTTTATCTAGATTAACGGATAAATCCCATGTTTTAGTATACCGTTCCAAAATATTCAACTGGGTTTGTAGTCCAACTACAGATTCTGATGAAAGAATTACGTCATCAGCAAATAAAAGAAAAAGTTCTAAGAGATCTGGAAACATTTGGATGCCATGCTTACCATTTGCGATAATATCGTAGTACAATTCGTTGATAAATAGGGAAAATAGAATTGGACTCACAACACATCCTTGTCTTAAGTTGTGTATTGTTCGATTTATAAAAGCTTAAAACAAATAATAATATATGAACAAAAAATATCGGGACTTCGAGGCAGAGCATCTCGTTTGTTTGGATATAATATTGCTAACTTCGGGTATTTTAAATCTAAACTATAACACATGATAAAATATCTTTCCCTTGCTTCTCAGTTTATATATACGGCATATAGTAAAGCGGATAGTGCTACTTCCAGTGGGTGGACGTCCGTGGTTCGAATCCCTCACCTCACCTGGTACATATACGTTCTTGGGTACAATGTGTGAAGCCCATTCCTGGTGTCCACCGCCGTGATATCGCTGTAATATTGCTAAAAGCAGCGTAAAACTCACTCACTCACTGACATATACGTTCCAGGGATGGCATTTATTCTTACCTTTATGATGTCACACATGTTCATTTCAATATTGTGATGTCAAAATGAAACAAGGAATCTCTTTCAGATGGAGTTGAAACTAGTTTGCGTCTTTGTGGCTCTTGTCAGGTACGTTTACACCCCTCCTACACAACACATGCATGTTCGTCACATACCCTCAGAAATTGAGATCGACAGAACCCATCTTTTCAGTTTATAGGAAAAAGAACAAATTAGGAATACCATTTTTGTCACCGCCATAACAATGAAAGGCAGGGCTGGAAATAACTTTAAAATTGCTGGTGTACTCCGGTACAGTGGCACATGTAAAATCACTTGCCCTGATAATTTTTCCACTGTACCGGCCGTTTTCTTGTTGATTTTTTTAACAAACAACATAATTAATATTGGAAAGTCAACTGGCCACCGGTACAGTGTGATATACAAATTTGCTTGTCCAACAGAAAAAAACACTGGACTCGGGCGTCGGGCAATGGGTTATTTCCACCCCTGAAAGGGTGTTTAATAAAAACAGCAATAATAACTGATATTAATTAAAATTTGCACAGTTTTGTAGCGTATTATGAAACAAACCAATGAAACTATTTTTAATTCATTTTCTGATTCTGACATTGGGTTCCTGTCAGTCCAATTCGTAAACATACAATTTTAGAAAGAGTTTATTTTTGGTGATATTTCAGTTGTGGCGAGGCGCAGGAATACACGCAGATATGGAACGACATGCTGAACGGCAACTCCCTTCCCCTCACTACGACTTTGATCGGGTTGTTCTTTAGGAACATGATGAGACCAAGTTTGTATTACTTATTATTATTTAGGTTATTTACACATGACTATAATAAAGGACACAGTGACCTAATGGTCTAAAGCCTGCAAATAGTTGTGATACCCATGAAGATCCGGGTTAGAATTGATCTGCAGTAACCCATGCTTATCGTAAGAGGCGACTAACGGGATCGGGTGGTCAGGCTCGCTGACTGGGTTGACACATGTCATCGTATTCCAATTGCGTAGATTGGTGCTCATGCTGTTGATCACTTGATTGTCTGCTACAGACTTGATTATGTACATACCACTCACTCCAGGATCCGATACCATCTTCGCTCACGATGTGACAGTGGTTTGTCAGCACCGTGAGGCCTTCTTTAAATGCCGTGGCACAGTGATGACCCAGTTCCATAAGGGGCCGTAATTCGCTTTGCAGATTTGAGACCCTTAGGCGTCCCCGGATCCGATGATCAGGGGTTAAATCCCAGTTTTTTATCTGTGGTTTGTCGGAGCCAGTCCCTTGCTCTATGGCTTCATTCGGTAGAAGGGAAGTGGCATATGGTTGTAAATGACTGCATTTATACATTGACGTGCTTGTATGCGTGTATGTCGCTATTATTACTAGTCATTGCCCGATCCACAAAGCGTTCGTAAAATTACGACCTGTCGTAGCATGCCATAGTATAAAATCGATGTCCACTCACACACAGTTTATTGATTTTGAACCAACCGATCCACATTCTATCTCCGTGATAACTGGGTACCAAGAACTACCATCTTGTAAGGTGTCATGGCCCGGCCATCAACCCACGAACCACTGCTCTCTGTGCAGACGAACTTTCTCGTAACGTAGACCGGCGTTGTATTTTCTACAGCACCGGACGCGACAACGCCAACAGCCACGACCCGTAATGACTTCAAATTCTTCTGGATCAACGCCTATCTGGACTCGGAGAAGATTACCGACGGTCTCTTCTCCTACTTCGACGGCGTCAGAGATGGCGTCATCACCGAGGACGATATCCTCCCCATGATGAACATTGCTGACACTGATGGTAATCCGCCCTTCCTTCTTCGTGATCTAAACGGGAAATCGCGAGAATATCGATTCTGTGCGGTTGAAATGAGACTTTATAGGCAGGATGAGTTAAGAGGTACCATCCCATCCTCGGTGAACAAGTGTAGGCCTGAAAAGACGTTTGAGAGCTCCCAAACTATCTCGTTTTGTCTATATGAAATATATGGAGCAGTGGAGCAGCCTAGTGGTTAAAGCTGTTTTCACACCAAAGACCCGGGTTCGATTCACCGTATAGGCAGAATGTGTGAAGCCTATTTCTGGTGTCGGTGGTGGCCTAGTGGTAAAAGCGCCCGGGTTCGATTTCCCACAAGGGTACAATGTGTGAAGCCCATTTCTGGTGTCCCCCGCCGTGATGTTGCAGGAATATTGCTAAAAGCGGCGTAAAACCAAACTCAGGAAGATAAAACTATACACAGTCAAAAGTCAAGGTCAAGTCAAAAGATGTTTATTGTATGAAAGACGTCCGGTCGATATACATAACAGTTACAGTGGTATAGGAATTTTTTTTGATATTTACATACTATTAGGTATTTAAGGGTATACACACAGCCGGTATAATGAGTTTTATTTGAAATAGGACATGGTTCATAGAAGTTATACTTTTAATCGAAACCGGATCTACGACGTTACAAGCGAACGCCTTATCCACCAGGCTACCCCACCGCCTTTATTACATATATAGAGAAACAAAATGGCACAAAATGTACAGTTATATTGATCAGACCTTATGATGCCTTTGGTCCGATTATGAATCTTGGACAGGATACCCGTGTTTGTATCTCACACAGTTAACGATATAGACTTTGGAGTTCTTTTCATGTATACTGAGCAATCAAAAGTTATGCATCATGGATTTGCTTTAAAGTGAAAACTGAGAACATTATTTCATGAATATACCCCCAAATTGTTGATGATATCCGACTTCTTTTGTTCAGTATAATAGAGATGTACAATTAATAGCCCTAAAAAATCAATAGATATTTGAAAGTAACTGATTTTATACCAATGATCTGTTTTATTCAGGGAGCGGAACTGTCTCAAGAGCTGAGTTCAACGCTTACATGGACTTGGTAAGTTTAACAGTTCGATTATGGTTTTGTCTTTTCTCTCCGATGTAACGAGGACGGACACAGTGATTTGTCGTCCATAACGAATCGGTTCTGTATTTTCCGGGTGAAGAAGCGAGGGTTATATTCAGTTAAGGGTGGTTGTGTATTTAACCTTTAGCCTGCTGAATTAATTTCAGCATAAAGCGTTGTAAAGAGGTGGGTGATTTCAAACAGTCGGTGTGTCATTAATTAAGGGACAACTGAAAAAATATTTGGCACATTAATGTCAAAGAAGACATTAATACTAGATACAAAAATGAACATAATTATCTAAAAATATCCTGATAATTTCAAACATACAGAGGTTAATGACAAGGCAAACTTAAATAATGAAAATTTTCTTGAATTTACCTGAATAAAGTGAATTACTTGATTGGCCGTGGAATGCGTTTCATATAAGGAACCTGAATAAATTGTTAAATTAGCACAAATTTTCAAAATTCTTATTTCCGATATCTCATAATTATCTGACTTTAAATTCGTATATTTGTATCGGCAATTATCAGCGCGACGACAAAATTAAAAACATTTCTGAAAAAAATAATCAAAAACGTTTGTCGTAAACATGGCACTACTACGTTATTCCAACGTGTCATGTCATGAAAATTGCAGAATAAAATATATGATTTATGAATATTCACGAGTCCTAATTTCAAGTGTTATGGTTCATTATTTTCGACACAAGCCCACAGAAAACCAGTGTTGCACCGTGTTACACGTACGAAGAACAAACATGGCGTGCTTCGTCCAACCTCAACATACAATATTGCTATTTTGATAAGAACAGACTAACATGTTGAAGCCCTGGCGAAAGTTGAAGAGTTTCTCATTCTCCAAGTGTTTCATTTATCATTTTCAGCTTAATATGACAAGAGAGAAACGAAAATTAAGATCGCGAAATCTAACTTGTTTTCTGGTAAGTGCAAAGGTCACCGGATGTGATGTCACAGATAGGGGGTTGTCTGGTAAAACTCTTTCGTTATTGAATACTAACAGTAAATTTGGAGATATTTCGTCTGGCAAACCCAAATTTATCACAAATCACTATTTAGAATGATTAATCATAGCTCACAGGAACAAAACATTGTTTTTTTTGACTATATAATTGGCATATCACGGAACCAGTTTGACCTTGTATGCTAAAAGAATTAATGCATTCTATACATAATTCAAATGACACGTAAATCCGACTTGTTGAATAATTAGTGCAAGTTTTATTTGGGATGTCATTATGCTGCTCTCCTGTCGAATGGGTTCGACAGTAGCATTGAGAGGGTTAAAAGGGTTAACGCCTTAAGGTATGGCGCGGCGGGATCAAACATCGGACCTTCCGATCTCTGGGCAGTTCATTACCTAAGCATTTGGTTTGTTTGTTGTTTAACGCCGCACTCAGCAATATTCCAGCTATATGGCGGTGGTCTGTAAATAATCCAGTCTAGACCAGTCAACCCAGTGATCGACAGCATGAGCATCGATCTACGCAATTGGGATACGATGACATGTGTCAACCATGCCAGCGAGCCCGACCACCCGATCCCGTTAGTCGGCTCATACTGACTGACTGACTGAGGTTGGTTTTACGCCGCTTTTAGCAATATTCCAGCAATATCACGGCGGGGAACACCAGACATGGGCTTCACACATTGTACCCTTGTGGGGATTCAAACCCGGGTCTTCGGCGTGACAAGCCAACGCTTTAACCACTAGGCCACCCCACCGTCCCCGGCTCATACGACTAGCATGCTTTGATGAAGACCAAATCTAACCCCATTCTCTTCCCACAGAGGTTACTCCTGTCATATCTTCCTACGTAACCTCTGTTCTAATACGGCCCTTTCATGGTGTGAGCGTTCAAGACTCGTGATTGGAGGCAATCAGATTTAGTTGTGCAATCAGCGACGTTGTTTCAAAAGTGATCATTCGCAAGGCCTCGGTAATTTCCGTATGCTTCGAGAAAACTAAACTTCTTCCCCTGCGCGATGTGCAAACGTTTCTTCTAGACAGAACTCAGTCATGTTATGGCGGATCAGTGGCGTCTCCATCGACCTCGTTGACAACGGACAAGCTAGCCATTAAACGTCTTGTGTGTAACATCAACACAAGTCCCCGGCAGATGGGGGGATATTTTTGGCCCCACATTTGCTTGTGTTAGTCAAGTTGAATCTAAGTCGATGTGACACCTGTTCTGATTGGATAGAAAGAAGGGAGATAATTCGTTTTGCGATCTTTTGACGCTAGGGGATTTTACGAGAACCGGGAAATATGGCCGTATTAGAACAGAGGTTCGTAGGAAGATATGACAAGTAACCTCTGTGGGAAGAGAATGGTCTAACCCGGACACGGGATTTAAGCTTTTTGTAGATATTGCCCCAAAGCATTTCAGATGAACAATGTTCCTCGAACAGGTGACGGTGATCTGAGGTTCTACATGTTGTTATGAAAGTGTAGCTGAACATTGTCGTTACAATGGCCAGGTTGATAATCTTTTGTTAAAAAATGGATAGGAAGAAAAAGTCACGCGTCTTCTACATTGACTTAAGTTAATAAACATTGTGTTATACAAAGTGGTGTTTACGGGATTGAAGGAAAATTAGAACCGAAGCACTTTTTTAAAATTCAACATTTTCGGTCCTTTAGGCATACGCTTACGCCGGAAACCAACGTCTGCTGCCTGGCGGGGTCGTCCACCACGTCCACCCACACGGCCACGGGCACGTCCACAACGTGCACGTCCCAAACGGAAGACCCTTCCTCGCCGTGGGATGAAACCATATAATGTGTTTGTTGTGAGACAATAAACAATCCATCGTTGTATTGCGTTGTTGTATGTCTTACACGCGTTGATATCTGTTTGTCGGCAGCACTACTACTACTACTACTACTACTATTACTTGTGGTGTTTTCAGAGTTTTATTTAGTTTTGGGAACTTCACAGAACCTCCGGAGAGGGTAATTTACTGTAAGAAACAAAAAATAAACATTAGAATGACTAGCAGCTCAAGTGGTGAAAAAATATGTCTTTTTTGATAAAATAACAGATAATCTGACATGATTTAGGCTTTAAATGATAGAAAATAACATTACATTGATGAGATGGGAAGAATAATTACTTACATGATAGTGATTGACTTGGATATAACCGGATTGAAGGCCATGAAGAATTTCTGATGTTTTACATGTGGTTTTGTAAAGGGAGATAACTCTAAAACTACCACCTTGAGCTACCAGCTTGCTAAAACAAAGGGAAGGAGTGTGGGTTCAAAACCGCTGAACTGCTAACTAGGAAAATATAGTTTTCTTTTCATTTTTTAAAGTTTTTGTTTTTTAAAGAGTTCCTTCACACTACTACTACTACTACTACTACTACTACTACTACAATTGTGGTGGTGTGCGGTCCTGAGCGTGAAGCTCAGGTCACAAATCGGTGAAGCTAAGCAACGTCGGGCGCGGAGAGTCATTGGATGGGTGACCGTGTGTGACAGCTTAAGTCCTGAGAGTTTCTAGGACTTCATTCCTGCCCCGCAATGAAGAGTACACGTGATACATGTGGTCTCACCTTAGGCAAGTAAGCGTGATCAAACTTGCCTCTGTTCACCCAGCAGAAAATGGGTACCCGGTGGGAAACGTCATGTTATCCGGGGTAATAATAATTAGACTGTGTATTATCGCTTTGAGCATGTACTCAATTATTATTATTAGGTCTTCAGACGAAAGTCTGGAAGACCTAGTGTTATTATCCGAATATTATTCTTATTATTTGTACAAATTTTGTGACAGCTCTCCTGACCTAACCGCTGGGCCGATGTTCGTGAAACTTCCAGGGGTGATAGCCTGTGTGCTGAAATTGTTACATAGTCGAAAAAATCCCGACTTCCGGCTTCCGGTAAGGGCAGACAATCCAAAATGTCGAAATCTTTACGTCTGAATAACTCACAAACTATAAGAGATAAATTGACCGAATTTTCACCCAGTGTAGACAACACCATTCCCCGTCGATTCAACACATACCGGAAGTTGGCCGGCAATTATTATTATTGTTATTATTATTACTACCACCTACTACCACCAGTCAGCAGTCTTCTGAACATGAGCAGTAATGAGTGAATCGAGTCTACCGATGCATTGTCAAATACATGCCACCGCCTGTCCACTTAATATGGAGTCCCAAGATGTAACGCAGGTTTTAATGTTTAACGCAACAGTGACACTGCGTGGTTGGCTCGAACAAAGAGTGAAACTCGGGCCGATTCTCGAACATAAACCCCGATTAGCACCACTTGCTGGCGTCTACAACCACAAGAGCACCTTTTAAATCTATCGTATTAAGTAACACGACATAATCATCAGTATATACAAGGAAATCGTGTATGATACCTCTAAATACACACACGCGTTTAATCGTGATAACACACACTGAAAGAAGGTAGAAACAGCTGTGTTTAGACATGTTATCTTTTGACGTGGGAGTGCCTAGACTTGTGAACTGCCATATGTAGGACTTGTCAGGACCCTGTCAGGCCATATCATTCTGTGTTCCCGTCTATATGTTCTAAGTCGGTAGACAGCCATTTCAGGGGATTGCAGATCGTAAAAGACAACAATACAACGGCTGCTGGATGAAAATACAACTGAATAGCTGTCCGTTGTATTAATAGTATTCAACGAGTAGAATTGTTTCAACGGTAGATCTTTGAAGTGAGTGAGTGAGTGAGTGAGTGAGTGAGTGAGTGAGTAAGCAATATAGCGACAACACCAAGTTTACACACGTACGAAATCAATGGACGGGTCTGTATTCTTATTGGTATAACTGGTAATTATTTGGAATTAAAAATTGTAGGTCATAAGACTACCGTTGCTGGACGCTATTATATATGATTAGTCGTCGCGAAAACACTATCGCATTGCTGCACGTGCAATATGCAATGGAATAAAGGGCGGCAGTCTTGTCGCTGTCGTCACCCAATCGGCATGTTGTTTGGTTTGTGCATGTGCATGGAAAATGAACTAATTGACGAACCTAACACATATATTAAATATACATTCTAAGATGCCTAGCGGTTAGAACAATCGAAAAAAAAATACATTATCAGACAATAAAGGTATAGTTTTTTTGATGACGTAACAATTGAATGACGTTATCCCGTCACTGTGCCATTCTAGTGTGCCCCCTCGTAATCGAACCATTTTACATTACGTCACAATGCAAGCGACGTCACGATGCATGTCAGTTGTCATCGCCTCGTACGGCCTCCTACAGTAAACTACTCCGTTGCTTTCCGTTTCTTGGTTTGCAGCTGCTTCACGCAGCTAACATCACTGGTGGAAACATTACGTTAATGTTTTACGACGGTTAAAATGTGTCAATTCGACTCACAAGTTTTCAGCGACACGGTAACGTTCGCAATGTTTACATTCCCACAATGCAATCGTGGAATGTCGCTTGACTACTCAGCTTCATCTGGATGTACTGATCTAAACTTACGTTGGTAGTAGAAATGCGACGTTCATATTGCCCCATATGGTTTACTTTAATGACAGATGTAATATCAATAATTCAGAGAAGATATTTAATCCGAACGTAAACCGTCATCAAACTGTTATCATTTGTTTTTTTCTGGTAACGTTCGTCTTAACGTAGGGGGGCAGACATATCAATAGAACAGCGCGCCAGTTAGCCCTGTGCGAGCATTCTTAATTTAAGTCACCGACACCGTCGTTTGTTTTCTGCCTTAAATTAATCGTAATTATCCTTAGAAAGTATTAAATTTAGCATCTTAGAAAAGATGTAAAGTTCGCTCTACCCCAATGTGTTTTGTAATAAAGTATAGTTTTGCCCTGAACTATTATAACATCAAAGCTACCGTCCTCGTGCTTTAATTATAATAGTTCAGGGCAAAACTATACTTTATTACAAAACACATTGGGGTAGAGCGAACTTTATTTCCTAAATAGAATGACACAATGTTTGTGACTTGTAAGATTAGTCGTCGCGAAAACACTATCGCATTGCTGCACGTGCAATATGCAATAGAGTAAAGGGCGGCAGTCTTGTCGCAGTCGTCAGCCAATCGGCATGTTGTTTGGTTTGTGCATGTGCATGGAACATGAACTAATTGACGAACCTAACACATATATTAAATATACAATAGAATGACACAATGTTTGTGACTTGTAAGACACAATCAAAACACTATCAAAAATATTTACCTTGTTTACGGGAAAATAATCCCAAACCACCAGGCGTGTACTTTCTTTTGCACGTGAGTGTTTCTCTTTCTTGAATCCGGGGCGGTGGGGTAGCCTAGTGGTTAAAGCGTTCGCTCGTCACGCTGAAGACCCGGGTTCGATTCCCCACATGGGTACAATGAGTGAAGCCCATTTCTGGTGTCCCCCGCCGTGATATTGCTGGAATATTGCTAAAAGTGGCGTAAAACCATACTCACTAACTCACTTTCTTGAATTCATCGTTAGTGCGATGATGACGGTGCATTGTTTTCTTACTTACTAGCTCAAAATTCAGTTCTGTAATCGCACTAGATTTTAACTCAAATGGACGACAAAAGGTTCTCAGAATTTAGACTACATATTTCTTTTGCATATAATTTCCTGTATATAATATAATTTCATAATAATATTCTCTAATACAAGAGGGGAACCTGAACTTCAATTCGAATAGGAAGTATAAGCGTTAACAAATATTTTCAAGACAGACATCTTATGTAGCACCACCATTTCTCTTTATCACCACCCCTAAACACAACGCATGGAATGCACGTGCACAACGCAGTAGTCCCATACACGTGCATGGAGTGTCATTCTTGATTTTGACGGTTTTCAAGATAATCGATAAATCACTGAAGACCATTAATTTTGACAATCATCTTGCATCACAAGTTGTTAGTGCTTGTTTCTAGCCGTTTGTTTTGTTTGAAAATGAAAATCGTACACATGCACATTTCATGTCATACACCAATCATCTTTCAAGAGCGATTACTGTACAAACAACTATGGTCATAAGGAAGTGCAAGTGGTGATGCACTCTCAAAACATTTATTTATTATCATATTCACATTGATTGACTCCGATATATTTCCCATTTTTTTCAATCGTAAATTAAATATGAAGTTCCCATACTTTCTTTTAAGAGTATATTTTAAGATTCTCAATTTGACCTCATGTTCTCTGTTGTAAATCTCTCCTTCCTGTTTCTCGACTTTGTGTCGGCTTGCCTCTGATGATTTCATCTGTTTCAACGGTCTTTAAAACTATATTTAATATAATCTTCTATTTCAAATACAGTGAACAATGAGCCGAATGACGGCACGGAACGGCACGACAGGTGACGGAAACACACACGGAAGGGAGGTAACTCCGCGTGTCTACAATGCGTTTTTCAAGTCGACCCCGAAAAATACGAAAACATTTACAATGATATTTCGGTTCGGGGCTGGGTAGAGTTCATGTTATAGCTTGATAAATATCTTTAGAAACTAGACCGTTTACATTGAACTACACATGTTTCGCTCTCATGCATTCATTGCCAGGGCCCTTACCATGAATCCCTAATGGTCCAAATTCGAAGCGTCGATTAGTTGAAGCGCCATGAAAATCCCCTTATTTGATTATCTGGAATGGGCTTTCATAACTTGTTTCATCCACGATCAGGGCTAATCACCTCGCCACATGGCCCACAAAATTGGATAAAACTGATCTGCGATTCGTCACCATGTAATTGCCTTTTCGAAAATTCAGTTTAATAAACTGGAGCTTTGCGTCTTAGTTAAAGCCTGATTTTGAATTTTTACTATCCA